TATATCAAGTTTGTGGCCTGTCATTTTATTGTGACTGAATAGCCGACTAGGCGAGGCTAAAATTCGAATTAAAAAGAAGAAGAACGAGCGGTTAATTTATTTTCGCAAATGGTCAGTACGCGCGGTTGGGCGTCGAGTAAATAGGAAATATATAGAGCGGATAATTAATATTATGGCAGGAGCGCAATTAGCAGGGAATTAATTTTGACGCAGCTGTCAGCGATGTCGTCGCGCGAAAACGAATTTAACGGTTGCATTATTGCGTCGCAAAGCGGTGAAATATTTCGTCAAAGGGCGCATTTAATTGTTAATAATTGACGCGCGTAAACGTCAAATTTACGTGACCGGTTGATCGTTACATAAGAGGTCGGTGATAAGTGACAAGTGACGTTTCGGCTCTCTAATTATTTTCGATGTAACGTCGAATGCTCGATCGCCCGGAACAATTCTCTCGCCTTCGGTTCGGGAAAGTCGGGCCCGGCGCCAAATTAAATCGAAAAAGTATCCGGGAGATGCTTGCCAAAAATTCCGGAGCCCGGAATTTTGCGGCTTCAACCCTCCGACTACCACTTTTTACGATTCAATATACTACACACTACCCGGCTAAAATTCAATCTCGTTTTAGATCAAAGCGACCCGGGATATATCCTACTTGCAAAAATGTTAATAGTGTCACTAGTGTCATAATTAATTTATCTAAAGTACTCGCTTGGGAAGGGGACGTTGCAACTTCACCCCGCGATTTTTGATATTGACAGTTGCATGTATTTATTTCTCCCTAGCTTCGCGAGCTCAAGTTTACATTGCAAACTTTTGTGCATTTATAAGCACGTCGAGAGGAACATACTCGGTTTTCCGAGTAATTACATTAACCTAATAGTAGTTAAAATTAATTCACAACGGTGCTGTACAACGAGTTATTTCGAAAATGACAACGTCATCGGCCGGACACAAAAGGACCTCTCTCTCTCATCGTCATCCCGCCGGAGAGTTGGCGGAGTTTGCGAGTCCGGTTTGCGCTTCGCGTAAATAGATTAGGTCGCCGAGGATTCGGGCGGGACTTTGCCGGGGACTTTTTGAACTAAGGGTTCATTAATTAGCGCGCTCGATTCGACGGGAAAGGGGAGATTCAGTCGGGGACGTCGCGATGGTGTCGAAATGTAATTATTCAGCGAGGCCTTCGTCCCGAAAAGTGTATTTTCCTTTTGCGACTGGAACGGGACCTTTTTTCCTATGCTCGCCGAATGCGGACGGCGCGCCGGCTAATGAAGAATAACTGCTCGTTAGGTCGCCCGAGATCGAGAGATGGAAATAAAAGGGAAAAAAGGGAGCGCAACGACGGTTGCTAATTCAATAGGTTCTCTTCACGAAGAAGGTATTTAACTCGATCAGTATTCTTATAACTCTTCTTCTTTATACGCTCCTTTTTTGCGTTCGATTTTTATCTTCGGCTATTCGGCTATTCGGACACTACAAAAGATTGTTTTTCCTCTTCGTATTGTGGCCTCATCTGCTTAGACTATTCGGACTAAACATATAGTTAATGGATAACATTAGCAATAACTGAAAAGTTGTATTAAATCACGGTCCGTTGTATTCTTCCTTTTTCCCACGTATCTCTGTATTGAATTGGATAAACTATAACAATATAGAACTAAGGCCAATAACGAACAAGAAGAAAAAAAACACAACCCTTCAGTACCACGTCATTTTACATCAAAATTAGCGCCGTTTACGAATACTCTTATCATTAATCGAGTCTACAAACAAACCAAGTTCGCAATTTCTGCCGCCTGTAGCTAATTACAAAACAAACACACTGTACATATCTACATGTACATATTCGCTGGGAGTAATAGCGTTCGCGTACGCTCCCGAAATTTGCATAATGCGCCGAACGGCTCCCGCTAAAATTCGAGTGCATTTTAAGTTGATTTACGTCGGCGACGCTCTCTCGGCGCCGACGTCGCGGCGTTAATGCCGGGCGCTGTAGCGTCCGTCGTTTAAGCCAAATTGTTTCGAGCACCTGGAGCGACTGCGGAGGCAAAAAAATCGCGCGCGTCTCGTCCCCGTGACGAATTTCTTATTCGCGAGTGCATTCGTAAAATGGCCGCGCTCTTAAATTGGCTCCATAGCAACTAAAGCAAGAGGCCGTCAGTTAGAAAAAGAAGATTTTGCCATCACAGCACGTAGCTGTCACTGTTGTCAGATATTCATCTTCTTCGATTTGAGGCCTCAGTTTATACGGCTATTCGGGCTTACTCCTATAGCTGGTTGGGATTATCGGAGTAAAATCGATAAAATTTTAAAGAAATCGAAGATATTAAATTCGAGGAAGTTTCGGATAAGGTCTAATTGAATGTAAACACGGAGGAGTCGGGGCGCGCTAGGCCCGAAATAATATTATCGCTTAGATTAAGGCGGAATTCTTCTTGTTTGTTTTCCGATAAATCCCGTCCGGAGGAACATTCCGCGAATTTATCTTCGGAGGAATCGTTTCGGGTGGGGGATTCCCCCCGCAAATATAATACGCCGGAAGTTCTCCCACGCCAAACTCGAACCGCTAACTAACTAATTCAAACATAGATATATAACTAAAAATGAAAAAAAATGAAAAAATGAATTCAAATAGAGAGCGCTTATAATCCGGAATATCGGGGAGCACTTTCAACCTATAAAGATCCGTGTATATGCACAGAGTATCCCGGTTTTTAACCCAACTTATACCCGTTTGTACCTTACAAAAACCGATTATGAAATACCCTGTATATGAATTATAAAGGAGCCGCAACAGTATAATGATAACTGCGTCTAATTTAATGGAGAGCACGGTCGTATTTTCTCTTATCTTGGCGGTTTATGTGCGAGCCAAGTAGGTTAATATGCTTCACTTTGTACCTTAAGAATAGACCTGCACACGTATCGCCTGATGTGAAGTCGTTTCGGAAGAGGTAAGCTCCAACATCAGGGATTTTTAGTGTATAGGCACAGGTTAGAAACGATTTGCTGATGGTTAAATTCTTACGTAGAGATGTAATATGTAATGGGTAAAGCTCGGGATAAAGCTTCACATCATCACTCTTATTGTTGGATTTTTTTTTTAATTTTATTAAATTTGCTAATTTTTTTGTAAAAATTTCGAATTTTTCAATCTCATTTACTCTCACTTTCACTGTTTTTTATGAAAATTGCATCAACTACGTTACTCAAAATAATAAAATGATGCAAATATCAAATGGTTTATGTATTATTGCATATGTAAGTGTTAAAAAATTTAGATTCTCATCATCACCCTTATTTTTCGTTTTTTTTGACATTTTTCTTAAATTTGCTCATTTTTTTATAAAAATTTCAAATTTTTCAATCTCATTTACTCTCTCTTTCACTGTTTTTTATGAAAATTGCATCGTTTACATTACTCAAAATAATAAAATTATGCAAATATCGAATGGTTTATGTATCATTGCGTAAGTGTTAAAAAATTTCGATTCTCATCATCACTCTTATTTTTTTGATTTTTTTTTTTATTTTCATAAATTTGCTCATTTTTTTTATAAAAATTTCAAATTTTTCAATCTCATTTACTCTCTCTTTCACTGTTATTTATGAAAATTGCATCAATTACGTTACTCAAAATATTAAAATTAGGCAAAAATTACTCAAAAGATATGCTAAATATACAGGTTGCTCCATTTTTCATTGCAACATAGGCTATGGGTGCAACAAAGACAACTTCAATTAGACACTTAAAAAGGAAAAAGAAAGAGTGATGTTATGTTATTGCAACTTTTCACTCTGACAACTGCTATTTTAATAATCTTTCTTCAAACTCACAGAAATGCCCATGTTGCAATCGCGAATAAAGCACGGTGTATACAAAAAATTACATTTTGCACATAATCCAAGCTTCAGTAATGAGCATCATTACGAAACTATGTATTATAACATCAGCTTCTAGACAAAGCGCGGTCTTTTTGCTAACTTTTACGGTTAAGAAGACTCTCTAAAATCCCCCCCGGTTTCAGCACAAATTCACCTAAAGTTACTGGAAAAGTAACTCCCACGTGCTCGGCATACCGATCCAGATAACCGCACAATATTCAAAGGACACGTTTCCAGTTTTCCCTCTATTCCTTTTAGATGATTTTTTTTGTATTCCCCGCGTCTAATTGAAATTCCGCTTTCGGGATATCTCATTCGGAAATTAATGACCGGTATTTATCATGGCATTGTTACCCGAGAAACTTCGCGTGCTCATTTCGAATACTTAACTTGTTCGCTCTGTTCGTTTTCTGTTCTTTCGCAACGCGAACTAAATACGGCCAATTTTCGAGGCAACCGCACAAAAGATGGCCGGATAAAAACCGCTTAACTATTCCTCGAATTTTCCAGTTTCCAGCGATGCAAGAAACAAGCAACCTGGCTCGACGACAACATGGGAAAAGGCCTCGATGTTCTTAATGTTATTGGCTGCTTCTTTTTAAAATTCGATAGCCTAAATCGGCGCGGACAAGCAGCCACTTCGAGGCGGGATTCACGTCAAACGAATTTCATCCGCTAATCTTTTGGTTTAATTTGGCTCGATCGAAAAAAAAAAAACAAGATACTTTACGCCGGGGCGCTCTCCGTTTTCCTCGCGGGAAACTTCCCTCTCCGGCTCATTCTTATACAGCCGATGTCCCGCGCCGATTTGTCACTAGCGAACTTTCCCCGCGCCAACTTTCCGCCAACTTCTCCAAACTAATTCCTCATCCGGCCGAGACCTAATCATAAGTTATCGGGAATATTTTTTTTGTACCATCTCGTTTTTACTCCAGAGAATCAAACCCGATGGAGGCGACCTCTGTTCCTTCGGAGTACCTCTTGGTGAGTAAAAGAATTTGTGATGTATAGATAAAAAAATGTTTTATTGGCCGATATGATTAGTATAATAATAGTAAGTGAGCGTTATTAATAATAAAACATACTGTTATTGTAGTGTTAGTTGTAGGGTGGCCTGTTCAGCAGGGGGGACAGGAGGGACAACAAGCCGGAGGACAACAAGGCGCGGGACAACAGGGCGGCGGGCACGAGGGCGGACAGCACGGTTGCGGTATGATGTAGTTCTCCTTGTCCGCCCGCTCGGGCGCCACCATCATCTCCTCGTCCATCATGGGCGGCGCGCAGCAACATTGGGTGTCCACCGAGACGCAGGGCACCGGCAGGCAGGGCACGTTGCAGGGATCCAGGCAGGGCGCCCTGTAGCAGACGACGTCGGTGAGACGGGCGTCGATGCGGAGGGCGTCGGGACGCTTGTCCAGGTCGATGCATTTCGCCAGGAGCTTTTTGACCTTACGCAGTTTGGGCGGCTCCTCGCAGGGAGGGCATGTGCATTTTTTGCATTCTTCGGATTTCATTTTTTTTTTTTTCGTTTCGTTTCGTTTCGTTCCGTTCGTCGGATGGTTTTCTTAATTTCGTTAGCGTTTACTGGGAATTTTGGTTGATTTTAAAATGGGTTTTGATGGTGATCTGTGCGCGACAGCCGAGTTTTATTTTTCTCTGTCAAATTTCTCTGTCGTCAACGAGTTTACTTGATCTATATGCGAGGATTTTAATTGCGCTTAGAGACACCTTTCGGCGTATGGAGGAATTAGTTTTCTAAACTAATTACTAACTAGTTACTAACTAGTTTTAACTAATTTATTTATTTCTCTGAAACCAGGCGAGATATTCAAATGAAATTTGGTGGGTTTTGAGAGGTAACTATTACGCATTTTTCAACATAAAATTAAAAATTTTATGTTCATCATTGACGCGCATACGAGTAATAATAACATTTTTTTAAGAAAAAAATTATATTGTTACGCCACTGATGCATTTTTATTAAAAATTCAATTATGACTGAATTCCTCGTTCAATTTGTGACAAAGAAACTCTCTTGTGTTTTTTTCATACGGATCGCTGTTTTCGAGTAAAAAAATAAAACTTCTTGAAGTGTATTTTTCATTTCCTCAATACACGCAAAATATCATTATTTTTCATGTAGAATCACCCCCTGAAGTTTGTCACTCTTATTAATTAACACCCTGTATTTTTCATCTATTCAAACAATCATCACACATTTAGTGATATTAAAACGCGACTTTTTTTTTAATTTTATCGGAAAAATAACGTCCCTTTACGGGATTTCCCGGTACACCGAACGTCATGATAAATTCACCGTTTAATACGACCGTGAATTATGAAACGCATTTTCGCTTTAATTAAGTTGGAAACGGCGGCCGAATTAAATTCTAGCCGAGCGGTCACTTTGCGGTATTTACCGCGCAATTTCCACTAAACTCTTCGAGCAAATAAAACATCTCCCGATGATTTCAGTCGAGAGAAACACACATATTACATAGATTCACTAGAGATCATAGAGAAATAAAACTGAGAGATATAGGGAATTACTTCCCGGAAATCTGTATAGCGATAACCCAAGTGTTGCGACACACTGTACAATGTAGTTGCTCCATTCAAGCGAGTCGGGTTGTTGTGAACAAAAAGTTTCCTGTTCACTGGCTGACAGTTAAGTTCATTATTGCGAAATTAGTTTAATTAGGCCGGGCGAGGTTCATAAATTCGCCGTCGCGGAAAAGTCGAGACAATTCCCGAGCAAGAAGGGCTCCGTCCGGGGGTTTCCCTTGTTCAGTTCGCGGGGCGCGTGTGTGTGCACAACACAGGAGAAACGGGAGAGTTTATTTTGCCGGAGTTTCCGAATTCAAACGGGAAAATTTATCGCCGGGGATTCGTATGTTAATTTCGAAGGTGGTTGAGTTTGGTTTTCCTTAATTTAATATGCTCGAACCGAGCTATAATAAAGTAGAAAGTGTCGTTGATTGACTGATTCAATGAATGTTTCTAATCATGTTTTTTTGGATCATATTTAGTTACAAATTTAGTATAGTTTTTTATGTTTCTACTTCGTCAGGAGTGTCGTTGATTGACTGATTCAATTAATGTTTATATCTGAACCATTGTTAATTAAATACTATTAATTTAATACGCTCGATTTGCTCTATATAATAAAGTCGAAAAGGTCATTGATTGACTAATTAACTTGATACATCCTATATCCACAATCCTACGAAAAAACATTGTCCTTTTCTCCATTACTAGTTACTAATTTAGTACAGTTTTTCTTCGATATTTCCTTTCGACTAAAAAACACTTTCCGTTTTTATTAGTATAAATCTCTCCTTTTTTCCTCCCCGGAGAAGCGGCATCCTTAAACGTCCTAAAACGTCCATAAATCAACATATGAATCTCCGACTATAAATCCCGGTTTTAGTTTTCCCGGCAAAGGAAAACCTCCTAAGTAAACTCCTCGTGCGCCCCCATAAAGAAAATAAGAGAAAACCGAGTTACGCGATCGGATTATTTACGCGAAAACACCGAAAAAAGAAAACGCGGCGAATAAAGCATAATTCTGGAACCATCGAAAACATCTCGAAGCAATTTCCCTCATGCCCAATAAAAGCGGATGATTTGTACAATTCGGTGAATAATTTTCTAAAATTAGCCGATACGCATTTCGTTCGAAAAACGACGGGGAGATGTATAAAAAGCCAGCGAACGCACTCGCCTATCCAGTTATTTGGAAACCTCAGAGTTTTCCAGAAGCACGCCTCAGCAAAACTCCCGGCTAACGAACTTTGTACAACATGTCTTTGGAACGCCAAGTTCGCAACAAGGTAAGTGCGAAATTTTACTTATTTTTATACACTTTACATGAAAATTCTCTTGCAATTCACTGCAATTTTATACTCGAAACTTTCTTGTGACAACCCTCACCATTAGCGGTAGAAAATGTAAACAATTTACGAGCGATTTAGCATTAGAATTCGAATAGAACATAGAATAAGCATTAGGTAATTCCCTCAGATCGCCGCCAAGCGCAACCCCCAGCAGGACAAGGAGGCGCAGGAATGGATCGAGCAGATCCTCGGCGCTAAATTCCCCCCAGGCGAGGTCTACGAAGACGTCATCCGCGACGGCACCGTTCTCTGTCAACTCATCAACAAGCTCTCGCCCGGCGCCGTGCCCAAAATCAACACCTCCGGCGGCCAGTTCAAGATGATGGAGAACATCCAAAAGTAAGTCATAAATCAATTGCATTGAAGTCTAAAGTGGGATTTAAATTAATTTCTCTATTATTAACATCCTACGTTTTTATGTATGAATGTTTGAATCAAGTTTTGTACTGACAAGTTACGCTTTCTGTCCAGTTATTTGAGATGAATCATTTAGAAATGACCCAGAACATTTTTTAACTGTCCAGGGTCAACTAAAGATGTTCGCAAACATTCAGAACTGTATAGAACCATTTAGAACAATCTACCATAAACTAGGAAACTTCAAAACCATTTAGAACTATCTGGAATCGTTTAGAACAATTCAGAAGCAGTTTAGAACGATTTAGAATGATTTCTAGAGCAGGAGAACATCCAGAACTCAATCTGCGCTCTATAACAACGTTTCGTGGATCGAAACTAAAAATACCGGTGACAACGGTTCGGGAATTTTTCTCCAAAATTTCGCAAAATATTTTAAAATTAGCTCATACGCAGCGCATACGGATCGACTGGAAATTTTTAGATTTAAATCGGACGAATGTGTAATCTACATTCTCGAAATAATCGGGTCGGTACGGGGGAGTCCCCCCGCGTCTAAATTTAAATCCGGCTCGTTTTTGGGAGGAATTCGATATATTATTCGGTTCGTTTACTGCGGGAATTATTAATTTATTATTTGATGTCTTGCCAGAGGGAATAAATATTCGTATTTAATTTAATCAGATACGTATGCAACAAATTATTTAAGTGCATTTTTTACTATTTTTTTTGTTTCCAAAATAAACACTTAACACACCTATGCTGGATAAATGCCAGGATATCTCTATTTTAATTCTGACTAACAGATGTTAAAGAAAACAAGTGTCAGACGAATCTAATGAGTTTTGCCACCTTCAAGGATCCCACAATCACTTGCCAATAATATTTAATTTGCTGACACTTTGGTTCGATTTCATAATAAAGTGTTCAAGTGTCCTTTTAAGAGAAAAAACATTGATGATAATGTGTCTTTTGACCTTATTTCCAATGCAAAATTCATAATGATAAATAAAATGTTCCTTTAGGAATATGTAGGTTTTGAATCGTTGGATAACCTGAAAATTGCTCTAAAACCGCTTCAAAATTACTTAGAAACTGACAAAAATATTGGTCAAAGTTTTTTGAAACTTTTGGTGTTATTAAATACATAAAATTCTTCTTCATCGGAGGACAAGTTCTGGATCGTTTCTTAGCGACTCCAGACAGTTCTAAATCCTTCTGAACTGGTTTCAATAGTTTTGAAACGTTATAAATGGTTCTGAACAGTTCTAAATGATTCTGAACACCTTTTTTTATCCTAGACAGTTCCAAAAAGGTTCTAATTCGTTTCTAAATTATCTATCTCACATAACTGCTAAAAAGTGTTAGTTGTTGGTAGAAGAATACGACTCTTTAACTTATTGAAACGCCACTTTATCTTTAAAAAAGTCCTTTCAATCATCAACTTTAAAGTTAAAATACCTACCCTTTACGTTAATTTTGTTCGTTAATTTAATACAAAACTTTGGATAACACTAATATCGCGAAACAATTCCAGCTTCCAGAACGCCATTAAAGCCTACGGCGTGCCCGACATAGATGTGTTCCAAACGGTGGACCTCTGGGAGAAGAAGGACATCGCCCAGGTGACCAACACCCTGTTCTCCTTGGGCAGGCAGACGTACAAGCACGCCGAGTGGACGGGGCCCTGGCTGGGGCCGAAGCCCGCCGACGAGAACAAGCGGGACTTCACCGATGAGCAGCTGAAGGCCGGACAGACCATCATCGGGCTGCAGGCCGGTCAGAACAAGGGGGCCTCGCAGTCTGGGCAGAACATGGGAGCCGGGCGTAAGATCATCCTCGGTAAATGAGGAGGTGATTTGGTGGGATTTTTTTTGTTTTGATTTTCGTTCGGATTTTATTTTTGCACTGATTTTTTTATGTTTGTTTATAAGCGATGTAATGTTAATAAAGTGAAGATGTTTTATTTTATTGGTGGATTTATTTGTTAACAAGTGAAGAGTAAGTTCTGTTTCTAATCTTCTAAAATTATATTAAAAAACTGAGTTATTTATAAGGGCACAATCATCCTTATTTAGTTCACTTTTTCGTCCTTTTTTTTCATATTTAAAGATGAAACTCTTTCAACGATCGATTAGCGTTTAAAAGAAACAGTGAAAACGGACCTTTATGTCTAAATTTTAGCTCCTTTTTTTGACTTTTGAACAATCTTACAAAATAAACAAGAAATTAAGTAATTTTTTGATTTTAATGACGCCTTATTTACCAAAAACTTTGACAATTTAAGTCAATAAACACCAAAAATGAGCGCCAGTCGCCACCTATCTCTATAAAAACAAACTTAAACTTATTTTTAGCGGAGTTTTCTGTCGCGATACAAAGTTTAAATTTTGCGCACAATTTGATCAAAAAAATATAAACATATTTTTTTTGATTATGATAAACGGCGCTCTTTAAAAATAGATTCAGGGTTATCACTGTTACATTTACACTCGGCTATTTTTGTTTTTAAATTATAAATACCAGTGTCACGTTTATTTTTACATTTGTTTAACACGTCGACCGCCATTTTTCATTCTAGAGGGCCTGCCTAAACCATTTTTGAGACATTTCGAAATAGTATTTGATATTATACCTAAATTATCGCCCGTATAGTTATGAAAAATTCAGATTATATTCCTCATTTATCACAGAAACGAGTAATTATTATTGACTTTCTGAATATTATTTCTATTTTTTGTTAATAATCATTCTTTTCCCCCTATTTTCACAATGTTAATTCATCTGAATGAAACGTAACGCAATATAATTCCTTGAATAAAACGATTTATTTATACACAGATAAGAATATATTATAGTAGCTTATATTTTATAAATAATATGTCACAACAAATTCTTTCCACCAGCATATACTACATGTACATTTATGTCGATTAGAAAAGATAATCAAAAATAAAACTATTATTAAATTATAATACTTAAACTTGATAATCCTTACCGTTAACATTTTCTATTAATAGTTTTTAGAAAAATAAAGAAGGTAAAACACAAACGCAATGCGCTAAATAGAATAGCAATCAAACGGTCGTTATGTTCAATTTGTTTATGCACATCTCCGACAGCGGATTGCTCTGCAAATAATAGACGATCTTCGGTGAAATGTGCACCAATTTCTCCGGTATGCACTTGAGTTTGTTGTGATCCAACCGGATCCAGTCGATCGCCTTCAAAGAGCCCAAGCTCTCCTCGCTGATCTGCTCGATCTCGTTCCGGTGCAGGAACAACCACCCCAACGTTTCGGGCCCGTCGAAAGCCCCGTCTTCGATCTTCCTAATCAGATTATCGTTGAGCATGATGTTGGTTTGTATCGTGACGTTCTTCACAACGTGCACGCCTCGTATATTTTGCAGTATCCTATCTGGTATGGTGGTGATGTAGTTCTTTTCTAAATTGATGTTGGCCACTCTCGGGCTTTGCTTGAACCAATCGTTGGATATCCTGGTGATTTTGTTCTCGTTGAGGCCGAGTATAAGCAGATTGGGCAAGTCGTCGAAGGCGTTGGGATCGATGATTTCGATGCGATTGTTCATCAAATTCAGCTCCCTGACGGGCAAATTCGCGAACACCCCGGCCCGAATCACCCTGATGTTGTTGTTCCGGATCCGGATGAGGTACAAGTAGGTGAGGTTGCGGAAGGCGCCGGGCTCGATGTCGGTGACGTTGTCGTCCTCGAGGATGACGTCGACGAGATTGGGCAGGCCGTGGATGGCGTCGCGACGGATCACCGGCACCGGCTGGCCCACCACCTGGATGTAGGAGACCTTGACGAGGTCGTCGGTGGGGCCGAAGCAGCCGGTGATGTTCTTCACGTCCTTGGCGCCCTTGAGGGTGACGCGGACGCCGGCGAAGGTGGGCTCGTCGCAGGCGCCGACGGCCGACAGGAGGAGGCTGGACAGCAGGACGACGCCGTGGAGGCGCATCGTTCGACTACGGGCGAGTTAGTGGGTTTGGATGGTGCAACGGCGATTTGCGCGCCGATGGTGATAATCGGTCTTATCGCTGGTACGGGGGTCGAAGGTCGCCGTTGAACTAATTACTATTTATTATTGTTAATCTGTGACGAGCGAGTCGGGTTTAGACGCGAAAATTTCTAGCGAGGAGTAGCCGAAATCCGAATGGTTTTATCTATTTTATTACAAGTGAATTTTGATTTATTTTTATTGGGTAATTAGGTGTTTGTTTCTGTTGTTGATTATGAATCGGTTCATGAATGATGCGGCTAATAATGCAGCTTGCGTAGATTAGATTGGATCATTAATAAAACTAATAAAACTGTTAAATTAAGGTAGACTGGGGCAAATCGGTTGTAAAATTTGAATAGTTCAAATTAAATCCTAAAATGTGGCTTTATTTTTTCTCTTATTAGAAATGCTGATACCACATTAAATTCACAACTTTCTAAACTAAAGAATCGGGGTATTAAAAAGTTTTTTTGAAAAAGGAAGAAAACGATTTTACATATTTTTTAAAATGTTGACAATATGTTACATTTACCCCGTACCATGGGGTTCTTAAGAGACATCAAACGGTTCTAAAGAGACAATACAATTATATAGAAAAACATATGGGACAATTGTAAATACATATTTGTTTCCTCTAAAATTTGATATGCTGTTTATTTATTTATTTCAAAAAATAACAGAGCTACAAAATAATAAAGAAAAAATAAGAAACAAACCCTGTCTAATACACAAAAGAACTATAAAAATAATAAAAACATAACATAATAGGTAAAAAATATTACATTTACCCCAGTCTACCTTACTATTTTTTGCATCAACATTTCTCTTCCTCCTATTTGGATTGGATTAAAACAAACGTTCATACAAATTCGTTTAATTGTTATACCCCTATAGAAAAATATAATTAGAAAAAAAAAGGTAATAAACTGTATCACATATAATTTCAAGGAAAAAATAACATCACATAACTGTCGCTACGATTCGTTTAACAACATAAAATCCAACTTAAAATACATTTTTTTTGTTCTTTTTAAAACAGATCGTACATCCTATTATAGTTTATAAAAATCGTACAAAAATACTGGCGAATCGAGCCCGCGCGGTGGAGTACCTCTCAGATTCTTCAATTTTCTACAGGATGGACAGTCTAACGTTTGGAATTTGAGTTACCATTTTTTAATTATGAAAAGTATAACCACATTAACGACTAGATAGAAATTTAGTTTTACGTTTAACATTTACAAATAAAGTTGGGAAATTTCGAAAACTCACTCACAAAGTAGCGAGTCTTCTACTCAAACGGTTAAGAAATTTAGAAATTTCATTTTCGACCCGCTTGGATTTGCTTCCATTCAAGCAATTGGATCCCAAACAACAAAAAAAAGTAGTTACTTAGGAGTAACTGTTAGTTTCTCCCAAAAGTTACAAGCTTTATTCAAATTCCTAAAAGTTAAACGGCCCATCGTGTTCGTTCTATTTAGCAGAATTCTCGTTGTCAGACGGAGCCGCCCGAGTCCCCCGGGAAGTGGAGCAGCGTCTCCCCGTAGGGCAGCGGAGAAGCCCGACTGGTCGAGCTGAAACTGCTCACCGAACTGACGTCGTCCTCCACGTCTCTCGATGGATAATCGGTGGTGGAATGATCACCTACAAAACAAAAAAAAATAACCGCTACCGTCGAGTTTGCAGATAACAAAATGTTCAGCTTGCGCCCCTTCCAGGGCGAGTAGAGTAGAGCACTGCAGAGTACACGTAGAGCAATCGTAGAGCATAGTGGAGTAGAGTAAAAGAGAGTAGAGTAGAAGAGCGCAGAGGAAAAGAGAGTATAGTAGAGAAGAGGGTAGAATGAAATACTTCTAGATTACTCGAGAGTAGAGTAGATTAAAGTGCATGGGGAATTTACATTCATCCAAAAAAGACGAGTAGGTTCTTGTAAAATTCGTTTATTCATATAAGACTATTAATAATTAGCAAGTATTTTTTTTCTGCCTGGTTTACTAATTTAAGAATCTAATTAATTTGATATCATTAGAAAATAAATGACACTATAGAATTTTTCAGAATACGAAGATGATATACTAATTTAAAAAAAAAACAATTAATTAGTAGAGCTTATTTTTACCAAAATTCGACTCGATAAATTTAATTGGTAATTAATTGTGTACTTTGTACAACGCGAAATTTCGCTATTCTAATTAGTGTAATTAGTTTCTTCTTTTTTTTGGCACAGCTTATTCTGTAGAAACAAAAATAACTGTCGAAATTTCGCGATGTGCGAATTTTGAGTTTTGATTTTTACAGGAAAAATTGCGAAATTGCGAGAAAAATCTCCTTAAAACAAACAAACCCGATTTTCAATCAGTGGACCCGCCATTTTGGATAATTTCCAATTATCTACTAAACTTTTTTTGCAATTTAAAATCGCATCGAAAAAGTAACGAAATCATTCGAAATTGGACTAAGAGAAAAAAATATTTACAAAAAATACTGTTCGATTCGATTAAAATTAATAAAATATATTTATCTGCCTTAAAAATAGAGTCATGATTTTAGAGAAGCTTGAAATTGAATTATTGGTAATTTTTTTTAATTATTCGCACGTTCGTCAGAAAATTGTGCAGACGAAGCGATGCGAATAATAAAAAACCTATCATACAGGGTGTCACAGAAAGGTGCCAAATTTCATGAAAATTCTTCGAATTTATTATAATTATTATAATTTATGATCCTGTATAATAGAATTCGTACCTTACATAAAAGTATTGGATCTTTATTTAAATAAAAATTAAAATTACATTAGATAAAATGTACCAACTAGTTAAAAGATTAAAATAAAATATAGTAAACATTTTTATACTTTTTTCACATGTTAAATTTTTTTTAATTCTTATTACGTATAATAAGTAAACTATTTCTTTTTATGTGTTTTTTTTTTGGTAAATTAAAACCACTAACCACAAATAAATAGAAAGATCCAATACGCATTTAAAACAAACATTAAATACAAAAATAATTCGTCTAAAAACCATTCCCACAAAACAATTAATTTTATAGTCCATTCACTGAACTTACGAGAGTTCCAGATTAAAATTTACTATTGGAAATTGAAATGCATCATTTTATAAAATACTCTAATTTAAAAGTTAATTAACTAAAGATTGGTCAAACCATTTAGTGCAATTCACCAGCATTCTTGAAGAAACTGTCCATTTAATCTGACAATGAGACCCTCGTGAGTTCAGAGAATGGACTATAAAAGATCTTTAGGTTGTCCAGCATTGCCTAAACACGTACAGATTAAATACAATTACAATAAATACGCTGCTTATGATTAAAATAAATTACATTCGTGCTGTTATTAGAATTAAAATAAATCTAGTAGCCTGTAGAAGTAAATCAGTTTTTGATTTTTCACCGAATTTATTTATTTATTTATATTTAAAACGCATGAGGGGTGGAGGTAAATTGGGCACAAAAATCCGAGTAAATTTATTAAGGAATATTTGGATAAGTATTTAAAAAATAACGGTTATTTTGTAACAGTCGCTACTGCACATCTTTATTAAACTTTTGTCATACGAAATGTCATTAATGTCTATTTTGACAGTTTTGTTTAAGTACCATCGAACGTATCTTAAAATCTCACTTATTCGAATATTATACGAAAAAATGGTATAAAATATCGAATAGTAAAATAGAATAGAGAACAGGGTAAAAAAGTGTAGGTATTTTTCTTTGCACCCAATTTACCCAAAGGATTAAAATCTATAGACCCGTTCGCGCCCAATTTACACCCCTTTTACACAATTTTTTTTATCGATTTCTAAATTTATGGAATTTCTTTGTAAGATTCATAGTTAGTTATTTTTCAAAAAAATCCTCACGTCCCCATTCCAGCGCCGCATCAACCACACCCAATTTCATTGCACAAAATACGAGCCCGCTCGAAGACCAAAAAAAAAAAACTGATTCAAACTCCCACCACTCCCACGAACCAACCCCCCCATTTTTACTTCCTCTTCTTTTTCCGCCTGCAATTCCTCCCGTTGCCGGCCACCTTGGTCTCGAGCACGAGCGCCCCGGTGTCCGGCACCTTGCCCGAATCATCGCTCTCCGTCGCCTCCCCCGGCGACCCGCTCGACTCCCCCTTCTCCTCGGCCTCGTCCGAGCCCTTGCGCAGCTCCTCGTTCTCCTCCGGCGCCCGCTCCTCGCCGATCACCGGCGGATCGTCGTCGAGAAAGTCCAGCAGCGGTTCGTCGTTCGCCGGCTTGGAGGCGGCCACGTTGCTCCACGACTTCCTCGCCGGCGGCTCCTCCACGTTGACGATCTTCACGCCGAGCTTCGGCTTGGGTTTGCGCGCGCGCCGCGGCGCCTTCTCCTCCTCCGCGCCGAGCGTCGTCTCCGACAGACGCTCGAACTTCGCTTTCGGCGGCTCTTCATCAACGAGGTTCTCCAATGAAAAGAACCCGTCGTTGTCGAGCGCCGTTTTCTCCAATTCCAATTCGATGTCGAGCCGATCGAGCGACAGGAGCGGTTCCGGCGGCGTTTTGACATCGAACAAATCGATTATAGGCGCCGTTTTGCCGGCGCGCTTCTCGTTAGATTCGATCCGATCGTTGTCGTTGATATCGAGCGGTTTGTTCAGTATGTTAACGGCCACCTCGGTGGCGGTTTCCAAGCTTTTGGTGAGTATGTTAGCGACGTAAGGCGAGTGGTGGTGTGCTTTGGGCGCCACCACCGGCCTGAAGAGCGTCTCGTCGCGATTCTCGTGTATGCGAACGGGTTCCTCGAACGGCTCGGGCTCGTCGTCGTCCGAATGGACGTTCACTACCGTTCCTAAGGGATTCACTACTTTAGCGACGGCCGGTTTCATTTGCACGATCACACAACGTCCACCTGAACAGAAAAAACCAATGCCAGTTTATTCGCTACTATCATCAATCACACGCTGCTATGTTTTTTTTTTTTAGAGAGGATTGTGCGGTACGTTTGTTCATCCTGTACGTGCGATATGCATGCTATTACGTGAGAAACGAAGCGGGTTTCATGTTTCAAATTCAAAAATTCAAACTACACTCAATCAAACTAGAGATGCTCTACTGCTCTACTCGATATGTCTCCTCGAATACTTCACGTTTTCACCGTCGTTGTTCTACTACGAATCCTATATATGTAACACCACTCTACTCTACTCTGTACAAAACAAAAAATGCGCAAATAACAGACATTATAACTAAGAGACCAAATGGTTTACATTTTTTTTGTGGTAAACCATTACATTTATGCATATAATATATGAGATTTATCATACAAACATTTAGTCTCTTAGTTGTAATGTCTTTGGCAAGTACTCGAGCCGCAAACGACACAACGAAAATCGCCGAAAACGAACGCAAAAAAACACAAAACGAGAAACTCACCCGTATCTCTTATACCGGGCGATTCCAACATGGCGTCGGCCAGATCTTCTTTCAATTGCAACTCCCCGATACCGCCGCCCTCTTCGATGGTCCTGTGGTAATTGTCTAACAGAGATTGCTCGCAACTCGAGGCCGAACTGGACTCGATCAGTACGGCGTTGGCTTTGGTTATGGGCATGTTGATGGGCTTCGAATGGCCCAAATCGATCGGCTGGGCGTCGCCCAACGACAACGGAGATCTACAGTAAAATTCGCCGTAAAGTTCCGGTATATATTTCCGGTGTAAAAATTCGTTTACCCGGCGACGGTTTGGTACGTTTTGAAGGTGAATTGGGGCCCCATCCAGAGCCTCCTGTGCGGCCCGGCGTGCGTGATGATTTCGACCTGCGACAGCCAATGTTCGTCGTTGTAATTCGCCTTATCCTTTCTTCTGTCGTACGAACTTATCGGCGTCTCCTCGTAACCCACATAGGACAAATTCTCTTTGGTCATCGGTGGTACGAGATCCGACGTGCCGGTTTTACGTTGCAACAACCATTGCGCTTTGCCTACAAACGCACCAAATTACAAAATTAAATGCACGCAAGTCTGTGATGGTCGAGTAGACACGTCCGAAATTAGGTCGACTAGCCATATCCAAACGCTGTCAAAATCGGCACGATTGTATAGAGGTGGGAACGAATCGTCGAGAGTAGAGATGCCGTAACTTAAGTGACAAAATAACGGTTATTTACTTACGCGTAACGGTGAGTTCGATGGGCGTGTCGCCGGAAACGCGTTCCTTGGGCACGTGGGACAGTTGATGCGGATCGAGATCGTATTGGACCAAAGTACCGTGACAGGAGACGATGAACAACGAATCCACCGGTCTCGGTTGTTTGGCCAAAGAGGCGTCGCGGGTGACGTCGAGGAAGGCGCGCGGCGTCGCGAAGTACGTCACCACCCGCAGGCTGACGTTTTCCTCCGAAGACGACGGCAATCGTTGGCGACCTGCGTTCGATAGATTAGATTATACAGTGAGAACCAAAAGTCCGTCGCCCCCCTTAAACTTTTGAATGGTAAGAGCTTTTGTCGCGCAATTTGGAGTGTTCATATTGGAGAAAAATACTATTTTTTTACGTAAAAATGACAGTAGAAAAATAAGAAAAAAAGAGTCAAAATAGCGCCTGTCATTTTGAAAGTTTCAACTGTCATTTTTACGTCAAAAAATAGTATTTTTCTCCAATATGAACACCCCAAATTGTGCGACAAAAGCTCTTACCATTCAAAAGTTAAAGGGGGGGCGACGGATTTTTGGTCCTCACTGTATGTTACTGAAAATACAGAGTGGGAATAACTAGCTAACCTGTGGTCGGTCTAGAGGGCGCCGTATTACCGGCGTTTTGCATCAGAATCGGTTGTCGGATCTGCGCCAATGGATGCACCACGGTGGGATGGGGAAACGGCGGTAATCTCGGATTGTGGTAGGGAAAATGCGAGATACTCGGCGCTTCTAACATCGATATGGGACTATTCGATCTACCGTCAACCGATAAACCTGTCGAAAAAACGCATAAATATCAAATAATAACGCTACTAAAATTATAAGTTTATGGAGTATAACTTGCAGGAGAGCTATCGCAAGTTTGTGGAAGAGGAGGTCCCGTTTCCTGGCCTCTGAGATCTGCAGATTTAACACCTCTAGACTGTTATCTTTGAAGATATACGAACAGATTAGCGCATTCTAATTCACAACGACATAGATGAGGTAATTGTAAACATTGGCCAGTATTCAGCGCCCCTGTTTAACTTTAAAGTGACTCTAAAGTCGCGTCTTTAACTTGACAGATTTACATTGTTATTATGGAGTAACTAGGGACTCGAGACGCGACTTTAGAGTCACGCTAAAGTTAAACAGGGGCGCTGAATACAGGCCATTATGTCTAGAAAAACCTATCAAGTAAAGCATTTTTCGACTTAAAAATTGACCAAAGAATATCCTCTTCATCGCGTCACGGGCCACACAGTAGTCTACCATCTTGTACACCTCAACGAAGAGGAACTCGACAACAAAATTAACACCATATATCCACAAAAAAAATAACGAATTATCGATTAAATTTTACATACCAGCAGATCGATGGAATCGAGACATCTTATTAACAACGTGCGACGTAGCATGGGTCCTCATTCCGACGTTGCCCCCGTACGGGGTCACCGGAAACACGTGCGTCGTACCTCTCAGCGTCGATACGCTGGCCCATCTCGAATCGGCCGAGAAGCAGACGTCCTGCACGGTGGCGGACGTGTCGCCGCGGTGCAGGACGTACAAGTGATGGACGGCGGCCAGATTGGAGCCGCCCGGGTGCGGTTGGATCCGGAACAGGTGGAAATCGTGGCCGCTTTTGTCGGCCGTCAACAGCAACGCGCCGCTCGGGTCGAATTGCAACGCCACCAACGGCTTGGCGTGCGCCGTGAAATGGGCCACGACCGGATCGGCCGACGGCGACGGTTTCTCCAACGATTGGACGTAGGAACTCTGAAACACGACGCGCGTTTTCTGTTAGAACAGGATGGAACGGAAGAGAGGAGAGTAGAGTCGAGTAGAGTAGGAAAAGAGTTGACTAGAGTAAAGGAGATTAGAAGAGAAGCGAGTCAAATGGGGTAGAAGAGAGTATAAGAGAAGAGAGTCAAGTAAAGTAGGAGTATAGTAGAATAGAATAGAAGAGAGTTAAGTAGAGTAAAAGAGATTAAAAGAGAAGCGAGTAAAGTAAAATATACTCGAGCAAAGTAGGAGTAGTCAAGTAGGTTGGGGAATTCAAATTTATACACTGTGCTTTATTCCAAATCGCAACATGGTCGTTTCTATGAGTTAAACAAAGAAAGATTAATAAAATAACAGTTGTCGAGTGAAAAGTTGCAATGATACAAATATCACTTCTTTTTCTTTATAAGTGTCTAATGGAAGTTGTCTTTATCGCACCTATAGCCTATGTAACCTATGTTGCGATCTGGAATGAAGCACAGTGTATAAGGATCAAACTCAATCAAGACTTTTTAGAGTAGAAACTAGGGAAAATTCTTTCAATTTAACAAGTATATATATACATTAAAGTGTGTATATTTAATACAGTAGTATAAACAAGACTATTTTGAACTTTTTAGTTCGTTTATACGAAAATTTCAGACTTCAGAGACTTCAAAAATCGAAGCATACCTCTTTACAAAAGAGCCTCGTATTTGATAAAAATCGTACTCGAACAAAGTCAACTTTTTAAACTTAGTTACGCAATTTATTAAATTAATTAACATATTTACCCCAATATCCAAAATGGTAACGACCCCGTTTTGCGGCACGTCCGCCTGGCCTCCGGCTTGCGGGCTATTCGGCGACGTGCCCGGCCTGAAGTTGTTGCTTCCCGTCAAACTGTTCGCCACGCTCTCGCCCAATTCCCTCAAACCTCTGCCCAGAGATTTGGCGGCGTGGATCACGGTCGCCGTATAACTCTAAACAAAACATATATACAGAGCGTCGCAATTTGTACGCGGTCATTTGTACGCAGTACCTGTACACCGTCGCCGTCCATTCCGCCGCTGCTGCGCTTCGACAGATTGGCCTTCTTCTCGGCGTACGCCAGCCACCTGGCGCCCAAGCTGACGGGATTCGGGTTGAGGCCGGGGCTCAAGTAACACGTGGTCACCGTCATGTGGTCCTCCAACGTGAAGGCGTCGAAGGCGGCGATTTTCTCCTGGAACGTCACCACCACCGATTGCTTGTTGGCCAGCACGTCCAGCACGGAGTTTTTGAATTTGATCACTTTCACCTGCGAAACGAATCGTCGTAAAACCCGTCGTAAAACCCCGGAATGTTTTAGTGGATTTTACCTGCTCGCCCGTTTTCAACGAGACGAAATTCAACGAGCTGAATTGGGGCCCCGTGGATGAGCTATCGCAGATGGCCAGTAGCGGGCGTTTCGACGCGAAGGCGTCCCTTTTCGACGCGTTGCCGACCAAATGGGGCGCCGGCAGGAATTTGAGGACTTTCACGTAGCCGTGTCTCCACGACAGGATTTCGGTGGCTTCGCCGTTGGCCGGTATGGCCCATACCTGAGATGTTATACGGCCCATTAGAATGGATTTATTTATTTGTTATTACGGCAGATATACACCTTGCTCCATTTCCGATTGCAATATGGTCATTTCTATGAGTGGAACAAAGAAAAGTTATTAAAATGACAGTTGTCAGAGTGAAAAGTTGTAATGACACAATATCACTCTTTCTTTTTCCTTTGTAAGGGTCGAATGGAAGTTGTCTTTATCGCACCCATGGCCTATATAACCTACACTGTGCTTCATTCCAGATCGCAACATAGGTTATATGGGCTATATGTTCTGATAAAGACAACTTCCATTAGACACTTATAAAGGAAAAAGAAAGAGTGACATTTGTGTCATTGCAACTTTTCACTTTGACAACTGTTATTTTATTAATCTTTCTTTGTTTAACTCATAGAAACGACCATGTTGCGGTCTGAATTGAAGTAATCGGTATATTGCAATCAAAAATTGAGCTCCCTTTTTTATATAAGATATGCAGTATATCTGAAAAAGTTGGCAACTTATGGGATATTTCGTAAAACTTACAATAAAAAAGTTTCCCATATGTTGCCAACTTTTTCAGACATACTGTATTAGAGGGTAGGATGGAAAGTTCTCGGCCTGACAATGAAAGACCGCGATTTTCAATTGGAAAAATACATTATTCCTCTTATTGTTGGGATTTTGGAGCGTTCTAAAATGTTCTAGACAGTTCCGAACGATTCTGGAGCGTTATAAACGAGTCCGGAGAGTTCTAAATGGTTCTGGAGTCGGTCCTTATCGATTGAACACTAATCGAACGCAGTCCAAATAGAGGACACCTTGGAAACACATCCCTCGTACTATATCGAACAGTACGATGACTAATAAACACCCGAATAAATTAAACGAGTAGATGCGCACCTGTATTCCAGTGGCGTAGCCCAACACCAAGACGAGGGTGCCGGGTATGGCGTTGGAGAAGCTCTCCGTGTGAGGTTTCCTGTCGTTTTCGGGCTCCTCGAAACGCGCCCACAGTATTTGGTCTTTGACGTTGTGGATGGCCGTTTGCGCGGTCGGGACTACTTCGTTGATGAAACCGGCCACGCTGTCTAGTATGGTGGGATCGTTCACGTGTCTCGGTAGGACCTTCGTGGGCCCCAGGAAGGTCTCCGAGCCCGGATTTGTCGGCGAATCCGACATTTTGTAGAAGACTAACTCGCTACTAAACTACCTGGAAATAATAATATGCTTATATACAGGATGTTTGTTTCTTAAAAATATATATACGGGATGGTCAAATTTTGCTGTATTCTAAGCGTTCTGTTGGACATCCTGTGTACTGTATGTAAATTTTGTACGTGTAGTACTCGATAAAATAGAAACAATTTTTTTATTAAAATATTATTGTTTGTTTCTAACAAAATATATTACTGTTAAATATTTTTTGTGTAACAACCTGTTAATATTGATAATGACCTTAAATATAAATCACTGATAAGATATTCTGTGTGACGGTAGATTTTTAAAAATTAAATTAAATTCGCGAGTTATGTAAAATTACTCGAAATTGTAAAAAAAACAAACCAAAACAAAATACGTCAAATTACCATAATCTGATACCCAAAACAAAACAAAGAAACTAGGAAACAAAGGGGTGCGGAGAAAATATCGAAAAATGCGAAGATTTTTGCAACCAATATCGACATGTATACGAACCTTCTAATTGAATTCGTTGTGATTAAGTGAAATTGAATAAAAAGATTTCGTTTACCTTGAAATTCCTTACTAAAAATCGCTATTACAGAACTGCGTCATTTCTCGTTTCACTCACTGTTTAAAACAATTCGGCGTAAAAACAACTATTGCAAAGTAAAAATACGTCGAATCGGCGGAATAATCTACCTAATCAGCTACAAATCAATAAGTTCCTTTGTTGATTAACAGTAAAAATTGCCAATAATCGAACAACAACCTTCGCGAAATTATGACATCCAGTTGAACAACAGACACAAATCAGCTGGTAGGAAAACAAAACACTCCCACCATTTAAAAGAAAATCTTTGAGGTAGAGTGGGAGAGAAAAGCAATGTTGCCAAATCGCATATATACCCATCGTATTTTAACACATTATAATGATCGGAAAACTATCCGATCACACCAAACGAACGGAGCAGAACTATTGACATTTTACAACTATCAATTATTCAGCCGTTAAGAGTCACGGTCGTATAATAAGAATAGTAAATAAAAGAAATAATAATAAATAGAAAATAATCAGAATTTCCAGCCAAAGCTGCTGAGGATATTCGGCTTCACGGATATTGTTTTAGCAACACTGACACATTTTGGTGTTGCATGTCAAGAGTGTCAACGTCAAATTTATTTTAATTCTATGTTTGCGTGACAGTTGACAATGACAGTGTGTCCATTCTGTAATGTCAGTTTTTTAACAGTAAAGGATTAATATTATATTTTCATATTCACTTCCAATCAAATAAACATTTTAGTCTGATATTTAAGAATCTCGAAATCGTAATAAAGTAGGAATGGTGTAAGGGTCGCTCGGTGACTTTAAAATGATTGTGCAAGAACCCGTTCAGGTAAATATATCGGAATAACAAGTTAACTATTTCACTCTTTTGTTGTTTTTTGTTAGGCTGCTATTTGGCATTGTTTAAATCATTACGATTACGCCGATGCTATATTTCTATCGGAGCGATTGTACGCCGAAGGTAAGGTTCATTTTTATTACACGAATTTTTTAGCGAATTTCACTATTTATTTTTTTCAGTCAACAACGAGGAGAGTCTCTTTTTACTATCCACAGCTTACTACAGAAACGGCCAAAAAGATCAAGCTTATTACATATTAAAGGACAATATCGGAAGTTCCTCTCAATGCAGATATTTGTTTGCGATTTGTGCTTATGAACTCGAGAAGTACAGTGAACGTTTCGTGAAAACTTTCGATCGATTAGTAAACCAAATTTCCTTTCGTAGATACGCAGAAGCCGAAGGAGCCATACTAGAAACCACGTCTGATGGTAGCTCGTTAAACGACGATGATCTATTGAAGGAATTCGGCGCCCAAACCTGCTTCGTAATGTTGCTACTGGGCAAAATCGCGGCCAAAACGGAACGTAAACACAGAGCCTCGGAAGCTTGGAAGAAAGCCCTGAAATTGAACCCGTTCCTGTGGACGAGCTTCGAGAGCCTCTGCAAAATCGGCGACAAACCCGACCCCAAAGCCATTTTCCAAATAACCAACATCGAGAATATATCAATGTGCCAAGGCAGCAGCGTCAGTAACATCGACAAGGCGATCATCACCAACAACGTCACTACATCGGCCAATTTAGACGAGAGTTTCTCGACGCCCGATCATTGGTCCAATCCCAATCCGATATTGATTTGCAACACCAACGTGAAACATTGTTATACGCCCGATGAGAGTCCATTGGCCCAACCGTTGTCTTTTTCCGGTATATGCCCCTTTCCCGCAACCGGACACAAAACGAGAACCAAATACACCGATGTCGGTGGTGTAAGTACAATCAATTCGATTCGAACTGTTGATTTATTGAATTAAATCGTTTCAGACGCCTCGAACCGGTTATCAAGTATCGACGCCAACATTCGGGCAGCTCTTCGATAGCACCTTCGACGAAAACATGGATAATCTCGACGTGACTCCGCTGACTCTAACCGAATCGAACAACCACCAGCAATCGTTAGCGAAGCGAGTGATAGCTCACATGGATCAATTCATCGGTCGCAAAGAAGCGCTGTTTCAAAACAAGCCCGTGTTGGGCCAGTACCCGGTGACCAAAGCCTCCTCGATACCGCTCACCGTACAACCCGATCAGAACGTTCGCCGGAGTTCGAGGCTATTCAGCAACAGTTACTCGGTGAAGGAGAACAACAAGTCGCCGAATAGGAACAAATTCGTCACGCCGAAATCGCCCTCTCGGAAAACCAAGCAGCGCATGGCCAAGTGCAATCTGAACGAGAATTCCGGCTATTCGGAATTGAATGCGAAGAATAAAAACGACAAGGAGAAGAACGAAACGGTCACATCGGCCGATGCGAAATCGGAGAAGAACATGATGAACAACACCGCCGAGAATTTCCTGCTGCAAATCGTCAACATGCAGAAACAGAGCGCCGAAGGCTTGATGTACCTGTTCAGGGAAGTGGGCCAGGCGTATTTGGATCTGTCGCAGTTCGAATGCTCATCGGCCATCGATCGATTGAACGATTTACCAGCCAACCAGCTCGACACCTCTTGGATCCAATCGCTGCTCGGTCTGGCCTATTTCGAGCAATCAGACTACGAAAACAGCGTGAAACATTTCGAACTGGTGCACGACAGGGAACCGCACCGATTGGATTCCATGGACGTCTACTCGACGGCCCTCTGGCACCTGCAGAAGGAAGTGGCCCTGTCCGCTCTCGCCCAGGACCTCATCGATTCGAATCGCAACTCGCCGGTGACGTGGTGCGTGGCCGGCAATTGCTTCTCGTTGCACAAGGAGCACGATACGGCCATCAAGTTTTTCCAAAGGGCCATCCAGGTGGATCCGGGCTTTCCGTACGCCTACACGTTGCTCGGGCACGAGTACATCACCACCGAGGAGCTCGACAAGGCGATGTGTTGCTTCCGCAACGCCGTCCGGCTGGACGCCAGACATTACAACGCTTGGTTCGGCTTGGGGACGATTTACTCCAAACAGGAACGGTATACGTTGGCCGAGCACAATTTCTCCAAAGCTCTGTCGATTAATCCCAAGAGTTCCGTTATTCTCTGTCACATAGGTAATGGGGATTTGCTTTTTTTTTGTACACAAATGTATACAGTATCAGACAGTTTTACTGATAGTGCTACATCTGTCGCTTGAGTCGTAAATATGAAAAAGATACGTGATTCTTCCACTACTCCCCTTCGGCTAGAGACCGAAAGTGGAATAAATACAAGGGAAGTAGAAAGTGTAGACTATCTGTAAAATTTTGTCCCGATCTGTAGAAGCTTAATCGGTGCTAAATCGTAAATTGTTGTAGGTGTGGTGCAGCACGCTCGTAAGCAAACGGAAAAAGCCCTGAACACGTTCAATAAAGCCATAGCTAACAATCCGAGAAGCGCCCTGTGCAAATTCCACAGGGGATCCATATATTTCGCTTTAGGTAGACATTCAGAAGCGCTTAAAGAGCTAGAAGAATTAAAAGAAATAGTACCCAAAGAATCGTCGGTTTATTATTTAATAGGTAATAATTTTGTCGGGGTCACACGAGTACGTAATATAAATCGTGTTTATTTATTTATTTTAGGTAAAGTACATAAGAAATTAGGCCACACGGATTTGGCCCTGATGCACTTCAGTTGGGCGACGGATTTGGACCCGAAAGGGGCCAGTAGTCAGATAAAGGAGGCCTTCGATCCGTCGTTTGGAAGGAGCACGACTGAAATGGATTCGCCTTTAGAGGTGTCCGGTGTGGACGGTTACGAATCGGAGAGCAATTCGGGACAGAGATTCGTAACACCGATGCTTAGACAAAATTTGAACGAGAGCGATAGCGTGTAATATTACATAGTATTCTTTAAACTAAAGAGAACGTGTGAATGGATGTTTTTTTTCTTTTAAATTTCGCATTAAAAGGATTCAATTTTATTGGTCGAATTATTTTATTTTTACTTTTGTCGCATAAATAGAACTCTAAGAGAATGTATATATATCGTTTCATTAAATTATTGTGATTTGTATTTTCTATTTGTAAGTTGCGAACGAATTATTGTGAATTTTGTTTCGAGAAAAATAAAAACGTATACTCGTAAAAAAAAAACGTCGAACCGATTCTCTTAATCTATTCTATATTACTCTTATTTATCCCTTAACCCGCCATGTTTTTAAACATTTCGCCCAACATCAGACTGTCCAAGGCCTTTTGTACGGTGGGATCTTTCAAAATGGGCGTGGGCTCGCTCGACGGAGGATCCGGGGCCGTGATCGATGCGGGTATCGAGGACTCGTTAGATTTATTCAAAATGCTCATTATTCTACTTTGCAACTCCACCTGCTTGGCGTCCGATTCCTCTTTGGGCGCCAGCCCTTCTTCCACTTCGTATTCGTGCTGCAGGGCTTTCCGTTCTTGCAGATAACCGATTAGTTTATCGTATTGACTGGACGATATTTGTCGGTTTTCCGCTAGCATATTTAACAGCATCTGTAATCGAATAAATTCGCTTATTGAGTAACTAGATTTTTGGTTATTACGTACTTGAATTGGATTAGGATGTCGATCGAGAAGAGTCATTTGACTGGGATCTGATTGCATCGGTTCCCCTTTCATATAAGCTTCGAAATCTCTCGATATTAGTATTATGGCGTCTTCTACTGGCATATTTCTGTGCTCTACAAAGCGTGTACTTAATTAAACGCTACTTAATAGTTTCTAAATAAATACCTTGAGGTATTCCGTGGAGAATATTGAGTGTAAGGCTTCGATTTTCTTCGTTAACAGGCATGACTAGGATGGCGTATAAGCAACCTCTGCTCGATATGTTTGCTAAAACTTTACCGATCGGGACGTCTTCATTGGGAAAGAGCAAATCCACTAATAGTCCGTGATTCTTCAATTTCTGCTCTATAAATTCCGCGTATTCCCTGCAATTTGGTCAGTAAACTAACGTAAAACTAGAGAAATCAGCTTACGTTAGCTGTTTAGCCACAACGATGATTTCGCAGTCGTTTTTGTCCGGTTGAGTAGGGGGAATGTCCAAGAGAGGCGGTTGGTAGACCTCGTTCCGGGGCGGTGGTGGGTAATTGTTACCCGGCATGCCCCGGAAAAAATCCCTGTTTTCCCTGTACATGTCCATTTTCGGGGGCGGTTCGAATCTGTTGGAATACCTATCGAAATCCCGTTCATTTTTTCTCCCTCTTCCTCCTACAACAGCGTAATGAAGTTAAATAGTAAGCGAGTATACGCAATTACCTTTGTGCATATCGTCTATAATGTGTCTGGGGGGGACTACAGGCGGCCGTACGTTAGGCCTGTCGTCTTCGATAATATCTTCCGTAAAATCAGGCTTGTTCTCGATAAACTGCGGTTTGGGTGGAACATTCTGCGCCGGAGGTGGCGGAGGAGTCGGAGCGGGTTGTAAATTATTATTAATAGGTTTGATTAGAGGTTCCTGCAATGGCGGACGCTGCGGGATCGGTCCCGGGGCTCCTCTCTGCTGGCCCCCTTGATTCATGTTCGACTTGGACTTGTCCAAGGCTTGCTTAACTATGATTTTTCTACCGCACAGCATCGTGCCGTTTTCCACGGTGATGGCCGATTGGGCCTCGCTTTCCGTGTCGAATTGTATGAATGCGAAGCCGGCATTTAGGGATAAACCGATGATGTTTCCGTGTTGCTTGAACTTTTGCTCCAAATCGTTGGCTATTACTGTTTTCGCCAAATTTCCGATGTATATTCGCATGGCGGCCGTCGCCGGGTTTTTCATGAATTGTTTATCTGTTCGATACATTTTTAGCTTCGGTTTGTGGCTGAAATTAATCGAAATATTGCATTTTTACTTAAAAATAACCGGTGTATTTGTTTTACAGTTTTACTTTGTTATTTATAACGTCAAACGTCATTATTGTCATATCTTAAATGGCAACTGTCAACGCACTGTTCTTCTTTTTTATTCAACCTCTGGTAGTGAGATTATTCAGCCACCCAAAAATATTACAATTATCACAAAAAGAACATAAATTATAAAATATTCTTTAGTAATTACCATAGACCTATTAAGTAATAGTTAATAGGTCTATGGTAATTACAACTGAACAAAAAAAACCAATCTTTGAGTACCAAACGCGAAATGTGTCATCAAGGTTGTCATAAATGGCAACTGTCAATGCACTTTTCTTATTCAACCTAAGGTAGTGAGATTATTCAGACACCAAAATTATTACAATTATTATTACAGAAAGAACATAAATTATAAAACAAACTTTAGTAATTACAATCGAAACAAAAAAAAAACCAATCCTCGATTACCTGACGCGAAAGTTACACGAAATACGCCGCCAACTGCGACATTTTATCTTTGGGCGGCCTTCCGCGACCGCCTCGCGCGCCCCCTCTACCGCCTACACCGGCCGCCTCCGTTCCTCTACCGCCTCTAAACACTTTCGGCCTCGTCGCCACGGCCACCTTCGGCCTGTCCACCAATTTGGCGAATTCCGGACTGCAAAACGCGCAACCCTTGGCCTCGTTCGATCCCCCTTGCAGTTTGTTCTTCTCCGGCTTGTACTCGACGTGCACCATCTGCGCCCCGCAATCGCAATTGTCGTTCAATATCGTCACCTTCTGCGCGTCGTTGAAGAATTTTATGATCGTATCGCACCTGAAAGTAAACGGAATTAGTTGCGGAAGAGTAAAATAGAGCAGGATAGATGAGGAATCAGATATAGTAGAATAGGATAGGGGTATTTATCAATTCGCCTTACCGATTACAACCGAGTTTCCACTTCGGTCCCGATGACGGATCGAGAACTAGAACGCCGAATTCGCATTCTGCGCAACTTATCACGCCGTTGGTTGTCAAACTGAAAGAGCATGTGGGATGCGAGCAGGAATTACAGCCGTTACCTTTCTTCGTGTCGCTGAGAACAACAAAAAAACCCAAATTACTCAACTATCGGGGAATTTCGAGCGTAATTGCTTACTTGAATGGCGGGTTGTTGTAGCAGTATGGACAGAACACGAAGCTCTTGCCCTTGTTGCCCATCGTCCAGCAGAGCAATTCGAAATCGTCGAGCGGGCATTTTAGTTCTTTGAACAATTTTATGGTTCCGTTTTGCGGTACGTTGTGAGTTTCGTCGCATTGCGGACAATGCAATCTAGCCGGCTTCGCCTGTATATATTTCATGTACCTTCGGCATTTGCCGCACCTAAAATATACATGTTTCGCAAATAAATACAGGGTGTGTAAGAAATGGGGTGTAGGGTAGGGTTATAATACAAACTACATGCCTGGAGAAGGCTCTACCGGAAGCGCTCAAAGGTGAAAACGTCGCTTCGAATAGCTGATCCATCGAATCGATGTGATTTACGAAATACTTGAATTTCAATTTGAATATTTCCGTGGTGTGTTTGAGGACGTCTTGGAAATTCGCTTTGCCGATCGCAATGAGAGTCAGTTGTTCTTCTAGCGCCGATCTCATCGTGGGAAGCACCAATTCCTCGTCGATCTGTTAAATATCAAAGAGAATCAATACGGGATGTCCCATTAAAAATTAGCCCAAAAAACATGCGGTTTTCGCAATATTTAATGCATCCAGATTCCAGAAGCATTCTAATTTATCCTAAACCAGTTCTAGTGCATCCAGAAGCATTCTAACTTATTTTAAACAGTTCTAATGCATCCTGAAGCACTCTTAATTGTTCTGTACCAATTCTAGTGCATCCAGAAGCGTTCTAAACAGTTCTAATGCATCCTGATGCACTCTAAATTCTTCTGTACCAGTTCTAGTGCATCCAGAAGCATTCAAACTTGTTCTAAACAGTTCTAATGCATACTAAAGCGCTCCTGATTGTTCTGTACCAGTTCTAGTGCATTCAGAAGCGATCTAAACAGTTCTAATGCATCCTGATGCACTCTAAATTCTTCTGTACCAGTTCTAGTTCATCCAGAAGCATTCAAACTTGTTCTAAACAGTTCTAATGCATACTGAAGCGCTCTTAATTGTCATGTACCAGTTCTAGTGCATCCAGAAGCATTTTAACTTGTTTTAAATAGTGTATACATACGTACTTTTTGATAACCGTGCACGAGAACGATACCGAGAGGGGTAGGCTTCAATTTCCTGCCGCTTATCACGGACACGTAATTTCTCTGGCAGATATTATTGATGTGTACGGGAATAGAAGCGTCCGTTCCTATACCGTGGTGTTCCATCAGCGTGATCAATTCGGATTCGGTGAGATAATCGGGAGGTTGCGTTTGGTGTTCGGTGAGTTTGACGTCCTTTATCGGCACCATTTGATCCTTGACGAGATCCGGTAGAATTTCATTTTTGCCTATTGCCTATAGAGAAACAGTAGCATTGTAATTGCCGATGTAATTAACGCAGATAAACAGTCGCAGAAAGGCTATTTCGGGGCCATTTCGATTGGGTCGAGCGATGAAATAAAATTACCTGCCAGGGCATGACGCTCGTGAAACCGGGATCGATGAGAGTTTTGCCGGACACGGAGAATTCCTCGTTATTGATCAGAAAACTGGTGGTGGTCGTGAGGTACTTGCAATCCTTCGCTAACGTTCCGATGAAATGCCTCGTTATGTAATCGTACAATTTCCACGAGTCCCCGTCGAATTCGTTTCTCGATGCCGCTTTCATCGGAGTTATAGGCGGGTGATCGCCTTATTAAAAATCACAAATATTTAATGTTGTTACTGGTAGTTAGACAACCAACATTTCGTACTAATAACACGACAGCAAAAGGCCACTGAAATCTTTAACCGCGAGTTCCCGATATTTACCTGCATCGTGTCCTGATTTAGGTTTGTGTATGCCATTTTTGAGTATTTCTCTAACCTCGTCTCCCCAATCGGAGTTGTTTTGCTGTTGCTGCAACGTCCCTCTAAAAATTATTTACTAATTAATACGAGAAATTTTAATTATGATTTAAATTATACTCACAACAAATCGAAATTTTCGGGGTATTTAGTAGTCTCGGTCCTCGGATAACTGATGTAACCTTGCGTGTACAATTTCTCCGCTATTTGCATGGCATGATGGGGCCCCATTCCCAATCCCGAACTGGCCACTCTCATCAACTCCACGGTATTCAAAGCCACCGGCCTGGCCTTGGCCTTTTCCTTCGCACTCACGCCGGTCACCCTAGGCGAAAAAAATCGCATTAATTCCACGCGAAATTCGAACGAACGAGCGATTACTTCGCTTCCCGTTGGTCTTTAACGAACTGCAGAAATATATTGGCCGTTTCCTTGTCGAAGCACCGCACTCGGCCCCAATCTAGTCGCACATCCAGCCCATCCTTAGTGGTTAGAGTGACTTGAATGCACCAGTACGGTTCCGGTTTGAAGCTCTGTATATCATCGTGCCTCTTCACGCAGAAACCCAACGTGGGCGTTTGACAAGGGCCGTACGAAATCAACGCCGCATCCAAATCGCCGTATCTACCGTGGAAAAACTTCGTTTGAAACCTAGTGAAAGCGCAACCAATCCTCAAATCGAGCTCTTGCCGGGCGTCCACGCTTTTCGATTCGTTCTCGTTCGGATATACTACAATCGAAAAACTTCAAATCACTGTATTAATTGTAATAAAACGAACAAATCACCTAGATTATTAAAGGCGGCTTTGATATCCTTATCGGTGATGGCGGAGAACCGGGCTCGGTAGGTAACGGTAGGGGAATAGACGTTCCCGAAGATGTTTCCAGCGACGGCCCCCATCACCTCGAAGCAAATGTTCTCGCCTTCTTTGTCGCAGTCCAGCCACAGGACGAGGTAATCGGCGCCGCGGGCCTCTTGGGCCAAAAACGCCGGCATTTTCAGCTTCGGGGTGGCCTCTTTCTTTTCGATGGGGCAGACGAACAGCTCGGCGGGGTCGACGCGGTCCCAGTTGTTGTATTTGCTGGTGAAGTCGACGCCGAGGACGTGGCCGCAGACCGATGTCATTTTGAATTTGCAGGGGGCGTTCGAGAAGGTTCCGATCCATTCGTGCACCGAACAGGCTCCGTTGAAGCCTGGAATGTATGTTGCGATAGAAGATATGAGTAAATGAGAGGATGAATTTTGTGATTTGATTATGTTTTATTTATGGAAATGTTTGTTAGGGTTGTAAATATAAAACGAACCTTTTCGAGATGTACTTTTTTTGTTACTTAATATGCTGGAAATCGAAGCGGCCAGCGAGGGCTTCTCGGCTACCATAAATACCACTTTCATTTTAAGGCACAATTAGTTATATATTTATATTGTTTCAACTAATTTGATAGTTTAAATTTGAATCAGTGAGCTAAATCGGGCGAATTTATTATAAACACAACCTTAAAATTTGTTTATGTCATAATTGTCAATTTTTTCGCCAATTTTTGGCCTTTACTACTTCGGTTATTCCAGCGACTTTTTAACCAAAACTTTTATAATTGGTACTACTGATATGTAAAATTGTGTGTACTTTTTAGAAGAATTTATTGTTTAATTGCATAATAATTAAATAACAATTCATTAAGTTTCTATCGTTAAGTCTCTAAATAGAACGAACAGTTAACTAGTCTAAAAGGTGCCAACGAATGTAACGAGTAACATATTTTGTTTTCTGGATTTAGAATGATTTGTTTGCGATGGATTATACACAGTCAATTAGTGTTACAAGTAATACAAACTCTTCGAAACGTAAACAACGCAATTTCATTCAAATCCACTGTAAACCGACAGTCAATCTCGCATATGTTCGTTATTTCCAAAGTTATTTTTAATGGTAGATATACTCGTACAAAAAAAATTAAGTCGTATCTACAATATGTTTCATTTTTTTATGTACCTACTAGAATGAAATCGTACTCTATTACTGTATTAATTGCAATGCAAAAAAAATATATGGGTAAGTGCTAATTTGCTTGCAATATGGTCAATTCTATATGAATTGAACAAAGGAGTGTACGATAATTATATAGAAGTGCAATTATTATAAAAAAGCAATGAATTATGAGAAGAGCAATTCGAACAAAAACACAACATAGGTACTATAGGTAGATGATGATAAGTAAAGTAGTTATATTAATATCCCTGGATCCGTCGGATGTTTATTTAAACGGATCGAAATATGTAGAAATGTATGTGTTTTGCGCCGGGCGCTAAAGGTGTCGGGTATAAGGAGTTTTTAGGCGCGCGGGAGTTCCTGGGTGGTCGCGATATGCGGTATATACCACTAGAGAGTGGCATATGTGATGCAACAAATCTAATGGACTTGTGTTTATTTAACAAACTGACAGTAATACGTCACATATCGTGGCATCCGACACTGAGAACCAATTTTTAATGCTACAAAACGAATTTTACCACCTAATTAGATATCCGACCAATTATAAGGTGTACAAGTATATAACAGTTACTATTGAAAAAAAATACCTTATTTTATTATAAATTAGTTTTGTATGTCGTGCATACAGTGCATACAGTGCATCGTGCATTAGAATATAGGAAATATTAATCAAAAGATACTTTTATTGGACCCCAATACTACCTACTTTTTTGGAAGACCTTATTTAAAAAGCTTTATTTAACGTATTACACATATATTTACAAATTATAAGCCTAATTCAATATTTTTACCAATTAGAATAAATCAATGATCTCATTTTTGCATGGGGGAAACACAAATAAGTAAATACCTACATAATTAATTGTAAGGGGCAAATCGGTTATAAAATTTGAATACTTCAAATTAAATCCTAAAATGTGGCTTTATTTTTTCTCTTATTAGAAATGCTGATACCACATTAAATTCACAACTTCCTAAACTAAAGAATCGAGGTATTAAAAAGTTTTTTTTGAAAAAGGAAGAAAACGATTTTACATATTTTTTAAAATGTTGACAATACCCCCGTACCATGGGGTAAATGTAACAAACGGTTCTAAAGTGCAATACAATTATTTAGAAAAACATATGGGGCAATTGTAAAAAAGTATTTGGTTCCTTTGAAATTTGATGTGCTGTTTATTTATTTATTTCAAAAAATAACAGAGCTACAAAATAATAAAGAAAAAAAAAAGAAACAAACCCTGTCTAATGCACAAAAGAACTATAAATATAGTAAAAACATTAACATAATAGGTAAAAATATTACATTTACCCCATTTTTACATTTGCCCCAGTCTACCTTACTACTAATTTCAATATTTCTTCAAATTAGAAGCCTGTATTGATGCATATCTAATCGATTATAACATAATCTTGCTCGGGGAATCACAGAGTAATTAGATAGTAGATATTATACCTACAAGCCTCTATTTCTAATTTCTACAAAATACATCAAGTTTATATCGTTTTATGCTCTAATCTTATCCGGGTATTCACAGAACAACTATAATATTAACCGGAGGAATCTAGACATAGATTCTTCCCCAATTCGTACAAATTTCAAATTTTAAACTAAACAACCAAAACGAATGTTTCCAAAACATCGAAAATCCACCTTACACCCGAAAGCAAAGTTATATTCCAGAGTTTACCCGAGGCAAACACCGCAGATATCAGCTATATTTAAACGGGTATTGAATTCTGCGGGAAAGGCGGTCTCTCGGCCCCGATTGGCCCGAATCGCGTCCTATAAAACAACACCCGCGACAATCCCGCAGGACGATTGGCCGTCGAGGGCCGTCGAGGCGCTGTATCCATCCACGAAACATTTTCCAAAGTCCCTTTTTACCACACCGTATCATTTCTAGTTATATCCCGACAATCGGTTATATCCCAGTGTACTTATACCGCAAAATTTTGTGTATATATTTGTGCACCGTACGCGATTCGTTTCCCGAATATTTTGTGATGTTCGATACAAAAATATAGCACATAAAGAGTACATATAATAGAAGAATTTAGTGGACGTTTCGAGTACCGGCGATGAGGCTGGGATAGAGCAGGATATGGCCTCTCACGTACCGAAACCCGGCAGGGTGCCGAAATGCGCCCGTTGCAGGAACCACGGGATGATTTCGACGCTGCGAGGGCACAAGAAGCAGTGCATTTACAAGAATTGCTCGTGCCAAAAGTGCGGCTTGATCAAAGAGAGGCAACGGATAATGGCCGCTCAGGTGAGGGATTAAATCATTTATCGCATATTCGAGAGATGTTTAAGAGCGATTTATCGCGATTTGTCCACCCTTTGTTTGCGCACGAAAGACACGCGATACGACTCTAATGGAATATCGATCAAGTACCAAATAAAATAAAACCCCACAGACTCCGCTGCGTCTCGACGCTTTCGAAACTTTGTTTTTTTGATTGATTATTTTCGCATTTACTCGATTACATTTGTTTGTTTTGTATACGAATATCGTCTCGTTTTTTGCCCGTAATAATATCCCGTATAATACATAGCATCAAGTACTACCTACAATTCTATTATAGGTATTAATATTTCAATTAAATAACTAATATTAACCGGGGAATTACAGAGCAAGTGCAGTTCTACATGTTAATTTGTATAGGATATATTTCTTAATTTCTTTAAAATAGAAGCCGTTATAAATCGATTATAAACTGTACTTGCGCAGGCAATCACAGAGAAAGTACTACCTTACAATCATATTTGAAATTTCTATAACAAAATACAATATCTTATCCGCCCGGGTATATTTACAGAGTATTTTTATACCCTCCTCTAACCTTTCTACTTTCCCTCAACCCTTTCTACTTCGATCTACCCATCCTACCCTCTCCTACTGTACCCCATTCTACCCTCCAATACTTCCTTCTACCCTTCCCAACCTCCACCTATACCCTCCTCTAACCGGAGGAATCAGCGAGCAAAGAAACTCCCCAATTCTTATACGAATTTCCAAGCTTCAAACCCAAAAAAGCTTCATTCCCAAATGGTTCGTATTCATGTCATCGTATTATATACCCTCCACTAACCTTTCTACCTTACTCTAACCTTTTCTACTTCGATCTATCCTTCCTATCTCCTCCTACTCTACCCTCCACGACTTAATTCTACCCTTCCCTACCTCCACCTATACTCTCCTCTATAACCGGTGGAATCAGCGAGCATAGAAACTCCCCAGTTCTTATACGAATTTCCAAGCTTCAAACCCAAAAAAAGCTTCACTTCCAAACGGTTCGTATTCACGTCCAGGTGGCGCTCAAGCGCCAGCAAGCCGCCGAAGACGCCATCGCCTTGCACCTGGCCTCCAAGGAGAACGGCACCACCTACGAGTACCTTCCGCCGGGCCGGATATTCGGCATGCAGGTCACCTCGCCGGAGGCGGACGCGCCGCCCGTCCAAAAAACCGCCGCCGAACCGCCCCGCCAGCACCACGAAGACATCGACGTCAGTCCGGCTTCCATAGACATGCTGGCGCAGCTGTTTCCCAACAAGAAGAGGGCCGTCCTCGAGCTGGTGCTCAAAAGGTTTGATATATACATCGTTTCGTCGGCGTCTCGAGACGTTATGAAGGGGGTTTTCCAGGTGCAACCACGACCTCCGGAAGGCTATAGAGCAGGTGAATGTAGCTCCGGGAGGCGGGCAATCGTGCGAAGAAGCGCCGCAGGAATCGGCGTCCGCCTTCAAGCCGGTGAAGGACAGCGCGAAGTCTAAACCATACGCGGTGCCGCATTCGGGCGGCTTCTCCTTCGTGCCCACCAACAAAACCTTCAGCTTGTACCCCTTCTGGCCGCTGTTCAACTACCAATTGCCCCAGCCTATTCTGCCCAGTCCGGTGCTGGTGCAGGGGATCTGCGAGTGCGATCAGTGCGCGACCGCTTCCAGCAGATTGAACTCGGTGTGAATTGGAATTAGACCTGCTTTTACTTGTACCTTGCTCGATTGTACTGGGTGGCCCGTTTAAAACAGCCCGGCGATCCTCTATTATCAAATTACTACCCATTTACTTACATGCAGTGATACAGTTTTTGTTTAACATATTCCTGAACATTTCAGGCTTTTCAAACTTCTTTTCAAACTGCTCAACCTGAGCATTTCAGGTTACTTTTCTACGTGCTTGGACTGTTTTAAATGGGCCACCCTGTATACAGCGTGTCCCAAAAAGTTGTATACAAATGGGGGAAAATTTTATCTTACATTTCACAAAAAAATATTCTTGATAAAATTCTCTGCATGACTTGTAGATCCACAATCAGGTATAAAATGTTTAAAAAATTGCCTTGAATACAGGAAAAACAAAAAAGAATGATTTGGACCGAGAGAAAAATATGGACAAACTTTAGTGGAGAGCAAAATGTTCATTGAAATTGTGATTAAGTAGTAAAAAATTATGCATAATTTTTTCGTTCTTCCTGTATTCCTGCATGCAATTTTTTTAACATATTGTATATATTGCAGTAAGAATATTTTTTTTGTGAAATGTAAGATAAACTTTTTCCCCGTTTGTATACAACTTTTTGGGACGCACTGTATTTAATGAGTCGCTCTTTCGTCTCGTTTAGAATTCCGCTTTGTTATTGATTGATTCGAAATAAAAATGAAGCTTTAATTGTGTTTGAATTGTTTTGTAAATTGATACACAGGGAGTCCCATAATAGTGCGGTTGTAATTGGGCCACCCTGTGTATCTACACACGAGAGGAGAGATTTTTATTAATTCTGGACGCGTGTCAGATGTGTTGGTCCGCGTAGACTTTCAGCAAATGGCAAATAAACAGAGGAGATCCTTCTTAACTTACCGTGTAAACAAAGAGATCGAGTTATATACGCGCGGTGGGGTCTCGGGATGGAAGAAAAAAAAGTAATCGAGTTAGAGGGGTAAGTTTCGAGTCTCTCGACGAAAAAATCCGGACCGGCGGTGTATTTATTACGAGACGTGATTTAAAACGGGTTCTCGGGTAAATCGAGCAAATACCGGAGGAGAACTGTTTGATTTCATTTCATTAGATTTGGTTTAATTCGATTTTTTCTTGTCGCTCCAAGGAGATTCTTTCTCATATTTTTATTAGCATATAATCGCTTGTGAGAGAAAAAATTTACCAATATCGGCTACCATCCCAATTTTATTAGATAATAGACATTTTACTTCGTAACTCGGAGTTCCCGTTCGTCCTCCAATCGGTCATACATCGACGCAGAATCGCTCATAAGAGGTACAGATTCCTATTAAAAAAAACACAATATAATCGCCAATAAACCGATAGAGAAACTTCAATTCAGTACCGTCTTCGCTTCCAATTCCAACAACAACGGACACACCAACAAATTCAAAAACCCCACGATGCGAATCAACCACGGAAATCCCAACATCTGCACCGTTTGGCCCCCGATCAAGGGCCCCAACGAGTACGACACCGACACGGCGGCTTGCTGGAGCGAATAAATCGGCCCGTACTCGTTCATCCCTTTGTTATCGACGAACGAAGCTAGAACAAAAAAAAACCCACAATTTCCCCAAACTTCAAAAAATCCGAGCTCACCGAGCAGAGGCACCAAAGCGGCGTCCACCGCCCCGACGCCCAAACCGATCCCGAAATGCGGAAGGGTCAATTGCGACAGGGCCGTCGCCAGCGGCAGGGCGTAGCAACTCAACCCCGTCACCACCATAGCTATCACGGCGATCCTCCAGGGAACCACCGCCAGAAGACCTGCAAGTTTCGATACAAATCACAATTATCCCAGTAGGTTATCTCATTCGTACCGGTAAAGTGGGATCCAACGAAGTACCCCACGCTATCAGGTATGAAAACAGCGCCCAATTGCCACTTGGACGGCGGCGGATCGAACTTGGCAAGCAACCACATCGGCACACAAGGCTCCAATATAGCCATAGTAGATGTTGATATGCTGATCACCAAAGCCGCTATCACTGTCCTCCTATCTCTAAACACCTCCAAGTACTTCACGTAACTCTCCTCTGAAATCTCCGATTCGCCGTGCTCTTCTTTCAAATACACCACCTGCAGAACTAACAACGATTCCACCAATTGAAACTAAAATTCTATAATAAATACATACCGATAACGAGAGCTATACAAACGGCGAGTAGTATAAACGGAGCGGATTTTCCAACCGCTTGATAGGCGGCGCCTCCCAGTGGATAACCGATCAATACGCCGAGCGCTATACCTCCGAAAGCCATCGGCATCAGCTTCACCCGCAGCTCGGCGGGGAGTTTCTTGGCCAGCAAACACATCCCGCTGATGGCGGTGGCGGCGGAGGCGCTGCCGTGCAGCGCCCGCGCCAGCACCAGCACCTTGTAGGAGCTCCCGCAGGCGAACACTGCAATCGCGTTTAGAGAACTATTTATTAGCGAAATCGAAGGGCTTACGTATGGCGGCCAGCAGCATGTTGCAGGATCCGACGAGGAGCGGCACGTAGCAGCCGCAGACGCCCACCAGGTAGCCGACGAGCGGGGTGCAGGCCAGCTGGACGAACGCCTTGGAGGCGAGCAGGGCGCCGACGGGGCCGTTTTCGTCTTCGACGTCTTGGTATTTCCTTTGGAGCTGGCTCAACGACGCCGGACCCAATCGCCTGTCGGTCGAGCTGGCGTTGATTTCGTTGTGGAACAAGTAATCGGGTATTATTGGTACTGCAACAACCGAAAAAATACTATAGATCGATGACAATAAAAGTAAGTACGCGTTTGTTAGATTTAGTATTTATTTTTACCTATATTTGTATCATCTTCGCTACTAAAACCGACAATATTATATCCAAAAGTGTGTCAGCAAATATCCGAGTCTGTATTTGGTTTCCTCCTACTTCTCACCGCTGTTGCTCTTCCTCGGTTGCTCGATCTTCCACCCGCGATGTTTCGCGCAGTCGATCCTCTTCCATTACTCACGCTTCTGTCTGTTGATTGTCTCCTGTTGCTGACGCTTCTATCGGTGGATCTCCTCCAATTCGTATTTCCATTGCTTGTGGATGCTCCTCTGGCGGTGCTTGCTCCGACTGCTTGTCCTTTACTGACGGTCGGTGTTATCGTTCTTTCCCTACTGGTGCTTCTTCCAGTTTTACTACCTCCAGCGCCTCCAAACGGTGTGGTACTTTTACCGGCGGTTCTTCTTGCCGAGTCAATTTTCACCGATTTGTTATCTTTTTTTACGGTACCCTGTGTAGATACTCCCGTTATAGATACATCATCCGGCATTCTTCTCGCCGAACTTCTACTTTGCCTCGTTTTCTTTACCCTTCCACCAGCCTCCCCTTCATCTTCATCGATCTCGGAGTACCGCGGCGCCCCCGATCTTTTCTCCGTCAACATACTCCGGCTGTCTTTGGATCTGTACAGCATTTTGTTGATGAGCACGTCGTCCAGCACGCTATCACTCGACTCCACGGAATCCAATCTAACATTCTCCTGCTGTACCTTCTTCTTCGGCTGGTCCTCACAGTCGCAGCAATCCAGGCCATGATCTTTCTTGCAGCCAATGGCTGGGATGCCCACCGTCTGCTGGATCTCCCTGTGGATGATTTCGAGGAGTTGCTGGTAGTCGTCGATGCCGCCGGGCTTCCTCCAGCGAGTGGGTTTGTCCGACGTGCCCGGATCGGGTTCGAACGCGTCGCAATCGGATTTGCCGATGCAAACCGGTAGATTCGCCGCGCATTGACCGCCGGTGGAGAGCTCGACGGGCGACTCGAAGCTCAAAATCGAGGCGGTTTCCGCCGCGCGTTGTTTAGATCTCATTTGTTCGCAGATCGATAGAGATTTGCGTTGGTTTGCGGTTCTTTCCTTGCCTTTCCTGCCGGATCCTCGCGATGTTTGCGAACTGGTGCTGTTTCTGCGGTTGCTGGACGCCTGCTTGCTAAAGCAATCTTTGACGTCGTCCTTTTTCGATTTCGACATGCTCGATTTGATGTCAGATAGTAGCTTCAATTCGTAATTGTACTCCACCATTTCGTCGCTGTTGTCCCTTCTTCTTATGCTGGTACGAGTGCCGGTGCTGGCGCGTCTGCTCCGGCCTATTCTGCATACGCGATGCGTTGGGAGCTGTTCTTCTTCTATCGATTCTTCTTCTTCTTCTTCTTCCAGCTCTAATTGGCCTGATAGGTCGTCGGTGAGAATCTTCCGGCCTGGCAGCATGCTGATTTCCCGAGAACTGACAATACGAAAATTTTGTTGACACGCCAAGATGATGGGGGTTAGAAATAACAAGTGATTTTTGCGTGATAGATTTATTAGTTCAGTTTGTGTTGGTATCCAGTTTTTCACTTTCTTTTCGAAAAGAACGTTTAGTGCAGATGGAGGTTGCTACCTTTTCCTTTGAACATTAAAGTGTCCAATTGTTCTTCGTCGATAATTCGAGTTTTGGAGTTTGCACGTCGCGTTGTTGTCACTCTATTTCATCTTCACTGCCTCTATATGCGTTTATGTTGCAAACTGGTTTTCTGCTAACGTCTCTTTCTTTGGGTTTCTCCGTTTTTTCTGGTTGAATTGTTATATTGTAAGATTGGCTATTCTTTTTTCTACTACCGCCTTGACCTCCTGGTCTACCGCCTGCGCTGCTTTTACTACCCCTAACTCTACGAACTTTATCTACATCATCATCTTCTTCATCTTCTTCCGTATATTCTTCTTCGCTTATCGACGAGGCATCATCGAAATCTTTTGCAGATTTTTTGCGTCCTTCTCTTTTTCCACATACACTATCGGCTTGCACCGATGTTCTACGCTTCGTTCCTGCTTTTACGGAACCGCTTCGCTCTCCATCTGATGCTTTCCTCCTTTCCGGAGGCTTATTACTCCCAGCTGCGCAAATTCGAGTTTTCGATTTCGTCTTATCTACCGACGTCCTGGCGCCCCGCGACTTCGCTTTCCTCTCTTCCTCGCTTTTGCCCGCCCTGCTGAAGCAATCGTCCACGGTGTCGCTGGTCCTTCCTGCTAAATTCTTTCGAATTTCATTCAACAGAATCACGTCGTAGTCTTCTTCTTCGTCGATTTCTTGACTTGTGGTAGATTTCCTTCTTTGCGATGCTGCAACCGGGCTTGTGCACTCGTGTTGTTCTCTCGATGCTCTTCTCTGTCGCTTCTTTCTGTTGGCCGCTTCTTTTTCTTCTTCTATCACTTGGAGCTCGTCGAACCCAGTGATACTTAGCGCGTCCGTTAACGTCTTCATCCGGTCCATCGCGATTTTTATCGATTTGACAATACGTTAATTTAGTTGACACGAATGTCTCATGATGAGCTTGAAAATAAAGCGATGAGAACATGAAAGGTTTATTTAATAGGTTATATACAGTGGGATTGGAATTCTACCGTTACATTTTTTCTTTATATTTTTAATTCAGTCTCGTTGTTATTCAGGTGGTTGTGTAGGTTGTACAGGTTGCCCAGGTTGTCCAGGCTGGCCAGTTGTTCCGCCGCCGCCGCCGCCACCGCCTACTTGTGCCCCAAGACCTCCTCCTTGTCCACCTAAACCTCCTCCTTGTCCGCCTAAACCTCCTCCTTGTCCGCCTAAACCTCCTCCTTGTCCACCTAAACCTCCTCCTGGTCCACCTACACCTCCTCCTTGTCCGCCTAAACCTCCTCCTTGTCCGCCTAAACCTCCTCCTTGTCCGCCTAAACCTCCTCCTGGTCCACCTACACCTCCTCCTTGTCCGCCTAAACCTCCTCCTTGTCCGCCTAAACCTGGTCCACCGACGCCGCCTCCTAGCCCGCCGAGACCTCCACCTAATCCACCTCCTGCGCCGCCTTTACCGCCACCGGTCGCGTCTTCGTCCGAAGCTACATCGGTAGCTCCGGGTAGTCCGGGTTGGCCGGTTTTTCCGCCGCCGCCTCCGCCTCCGCCTCCTAGCGCTCCGCCTTTACCGCCTCTACCTCCTGCGGTGTCTTCCTCTTCCTTCGCCAGCGCCTCGTTGACCGATCTGATGATGCTAGATTTTCTGTTTGCGCCGGGAAGTTGTCCGGCTGAGCCTCCTTTGCCGCCGGTGAAGGTTTCCTGCTTGGCTGGTTCTTCGGGTTCTTGGGCAGCGGCAGGAGTGTCTGCTGTCACCGGAATCGGAGTACTGGCGGCTCCCTTGCTGGCCTTAGCGCCTTTTCCGCCGGGACCTCCGGCTCCTGCTCGACTGGTTCTCGTGTCCCGGCTCGCTCTCGTCCCGCCTCCTGCTTTGGGAGGTTGCCCGGTTTGGTCTTCGTCTGCAGCTGGTGAATCAGCCGCGGGTTTGTCGCTCGCCATGGATGCTCTTGTATAAACTATAAAACTCTGGTAATTTTGAAGCCTCTCGCTTGTCGCAATCGAACGAATTGGAGGCTCTAACGCGTAACCTCTTTTCCACGTTGGATTTGACGTTGTCACAATTCCGTCACATTTCTATATATCGCCGGTACATTTTCGTGGTTGTTCAGAGATTTTCGAAAAATAACAAAAAAATTCTTCGTGTTTCCATTCGCGTCTTCCGTTTCCCCCATTCCGACCTACGATCATGAATCCCATCGATGAAATCCTCAACGACGACGACGACGACCTGGACAAATCGCAGTCATCGTTCTCCTGCGTTAGCCAAATGGAGAGCGTCGCCGAGGAGTTCGATCGCTGCAAAAATCCCCTGCAGGACATTGCCGAGATCCTCAGATTGAAAGGCGGCAAGCCCAAACGTAAGCCTATACAGTAATTTCCTAAAATTCCTCTGATGGTGTCCCATAAGCCCAATATTCCTATAGCCCCAGATTTATTTCCTAATACACACACCGGCTAATTTAAAGGAATAGATTAAAATCAGTATTTTATTTTAAATCTGACATCTTCGACTTGTTCTCTTCTTTAACAGGTTGTATATGATATATTTTTGTGAGAAATGTTCCAATTACTTCACCTTACTTTGTGTTAAGAGATTATGTTAGAAATATTAACAATATTCATAGAGAAAATACTTAGTTTTTATATAAGTTCCTTTAAATATGCCGGTGTATATTCCTATAGGCCAAGACTAAATTCCTAAAATTTCCATAGCCCCAAAATCAATTTCTACAATTTCTATAGCTCCAGAAATACGTTCTAAATATCCCTATCTAACACATCCTAATATTCCTAATGCTCCAGAGAATCACTTCCTAATTTCCTAAAGCTCCAGAATCACTTCCTAATATTCCCATTTTCCCAAAATCACTTTCTAATATTCCTAAGGCTTCAAAATCACTTCCTAATATTCCTATCGTCTTAAAGATGCCTTCTATAATATTCCTTCAGCCCCAAAATCACTTCTTAAGATGACCCCATAGACTCAAAATCACTTAAACCTAAAACAATAGCCCCAGTAGCATCACTTCCTAAAATTTCCATAGCCTCCAAGTCAATTTCTACAATTTCTATAGCTCTAGAAATACGTTCTAAATATCCCATTGCTCCAGAATAACTTTCTAATATATCTAGAGTTCCAAAAACACATCCTAATATTCCTAATGCTCCAGAGAATCACTTCCTAATTTCCTTAAGCTCCAGAATCACTTCCTAATATTCCCATTTTCCCAAAATCACTTTCTAATATTCCTAAGGCTCCAAAATCACTTCCTAGTAATCCTATAACTCCAAAATCACTTCCTAATATTCCTATCGTCTCAAAAATGCCTTATATAATATTCCTTTAGCCCCAAAATCACTTCTTAAGATGACCCCATAGACTCAAAATCACTTAAACCTAAAACAATAGCCCCAGTAACATCATTTCCTAAAATTTCCATAGCCTCCAAGTCAATTTCTACAATTTCTATAGCTCTAGAAATACGTTCTAAATATCCCATTGCTCCAGAATCGCTTTCTAATATATCTAGAGTTCCAAAAACACATCCTAATGCTCCAGAGAATCACTTCCTAATATTCCTAAAGCTCCAGAATCACTGCCTAATATTCCTATCGTCTTAAAGATGCCTTCTAATATTCCTTTAGCTCCAAAATCACTTCCTAAATTTATTCCTATCGACTCAAAGATGCCTTCTATAATATTCCTTTAGCCCCAAAATCACTTCTTAAGATGCCCCATAGACTCAAAATCACTTAAAAACCTAAAACAATAGCCCCAGTAGCATCACTTCCTAAAATTACCTCATACTCCCATATAGAACCATTTGAGCTGTCGTATACCCAGTTTCGTAATTCCAGGTTCCAAAATATGCCCTGACTGCGAGGCCGCCAAGGCGGACAAAGAACTCAAACTGGCCTCCGCCACCAAAAAGAAAGAGCTGCGCGAGGCGATGGCGATGAGCAGCCGGTGCGCCCTGCACGAGCAACGCGACAGCGAGCAGAGCGACACCGCCCCCGTCGCCGCCCCCGCCCCCGCCATCGTGGAGGTCCCGCCGGAGCCGGCGGCGGTCGCGACGGAGGGCGAGCCCGTCGCCGACGTGGGCGAGCCGGAGCCGGAGGCGGTCGTGGAGCGGCGCAAGTCGAAGATGAAGAGCGTGCTGAAGTTCGCGCGGCTGTCGCGCTCGGAGGTGGACGTGCCGGAGGCGACGGTGACGCGGACGGACGAGCAGCCCGGCACGTCGGGCTTCCAGGGCAGGGACAAGAAGGAGGGGTGGTTCCCGCGCGTCGGGATGCATTCCACCGAGATCTACAAGCTGGCCATGTTCCTGCTCTTCTACAACGTGTTTACTTCGTTCAGATAGACGTGGGGGAGGTTATTCCGAGCGATTGTTTGCACTCGATGGATTTTTTTTATACAACTATATAACTTACTAAACGACTGCTGAATTTTATTCGAACGTTTGTTTCTTTTATTTTACCGAAAATACAGGTTGCTCCATTTTTGATTGCAATATAAGTTATATAGGCCATGGGTGCGATAAAGACAACTTCCATTAGACACTTACAAAGGAAAAGGAAAGAGTGACATTTGTGTCATTACAACTTTTCACTCTGACAACTGTCATTTTAATAACCTTTCTTTGTTCCACTCATAGAATGACCATATTGCAATCGGAAATGGAGCAAGGTGTATAAGCACTTACCTTTAGACCCAGTCAGGCCAAACAACTTCATTCAAATTATGTATGTTTACAGATTGCTTCAATTCAGACCGCAACATGGTCGTTTCTATGAGTTGAACAAAGAAAGATTGATAAAATGACAGTTGTCAGAGTGAAAAGTTGCAATGACACAAATCTCACTCTTTCTTTTTCCTTTACAAGTGTCTAATGGAAGTTGTCTTTATCGCACTTATAGCCTATATAACAATGGTTGCGATCGGGAAAAGCAAAGGAAAAACGAGAAAAAATAACCAAAACACGTTATTTCTACTGAGATTTCATCGAGTTGACGTTGCCTTGACATTAATGACCTTTATTACATATCTATGATTAATGACAGTATTTCAATAACTTATTTTTTGAGTACCAACATAAACATAACAAATTTACTACGTTCATTTCGAATTCGATCACGTGGTAAATGATTGATTCATTTATGAAGAACATAGAAAATGAAGTAATAATGAAGGCTCTGTACAACGCGATTAGAAGAAGAATAAACGTCAAATTTCAGTACAATACTCCATAAAAAATGTTATTGCGGAGCTAAACCTTCAAGTAAAACTAAAAATTATAAATTCCAATGGTTATCGGCTTCCTGCGGCATGGCCACGGAGGATCCGAGCGAACCGGGCGAGATCGCCACCACGTCGACGGCCCTTGGCTTGGAGACCATCGCCGAGGGGGATCGGCACGCGAAGGACGGGCGGCCGGAGCCGGTGCGCAAGGGCGACGGTGAATCCGGCAAAGGCAGGCGGGAAATTTCGGATTTGGCGGCGATCGAAAGGGAAATGGACGGCAACAAGAGGGACTACGAGCGCCGGTTGGACGGCGTTCAAATCGAGGAGAAATGGATGGAGGAGTACATGGAGAAAACGCCGGCGGACGAGCGCCCGCCGCAACTCGGAAATGCCTCCGGAACGAGCGAGACTTCCGCCACGGACGATAACAAAGGGTTGATTTACTCCGAACCGTTGAGATTGAGAGGCGGATCGATTGTTTAAAACCGAACAGAAGAGAAATAAACCGTTACGAAAATATAAAAAGCGCCTGTAATTCTTTATCGACGGGCGCACCTTAATTTGCTACATTCGTGGTGCATTAATCCCACTTTAAGATGCGTTCGATGATACATTTAAACGAAAACTGTCACAATTGACATTTAATGACAGAATTTTAGTAGAGGTGGGAATCAATTTTTTTGGTACAGAGGTGCAATAACGACTGTTACAAAATAACCGTTATTTTTCAAATCTTTCTGATTACTCGAAACTCGAAATCACGCATTTTACAAATTAATTCCTGGTAATCATGTAGGTATTGTTATTTTTCGGTGTGGAATTCCGATAAAGGATTTTGATGGGGAATTGCACTGATGGTATTCGACACCTTCACGATAACCACTTACCTACGACAGTCAACAGCATGTTATCCAACAAAAACAGCAAATAAACAATAACGAATACGATCAAATCGGTGTCGACGAGTCGCCGGATGGAGTGCAACATGTCCGTATCGCTCGATGTGCCGAAGAAAACTCCCGAAGTTTCCGGGAAACGGGCACCAGCAAGGAGCATCTGGTCTATTATCAGAACGAATTACCGTACGGTCGGTTTCGATGGGAAATTTGTCGCTTGGATGGAAATTGATTACGCGTTTCCCTTATCGGCGGGAAACAGAAAACGGGGCCGCCGAGAGTTTCGTTTAATTTCATTTGTCGGGGTAATTCGATTCGGGAATAACCACACGCACACACTCGGGATTTTATTTGATTGTATTGTTATTTGAGAGGAGGATTTATATGAACACAAATCGTACATTGGGGTTTTAATATAGTTTTCTGTTGCTTGGAATATTCGATATTTTTAATGTATTATTTTTTTTTTTGTCTTTTTGTGTTCATAAAGGGAAGCTTAAAGTGACGCGTAGCCAACAAGTTAGAGGCCATCAACAAACGAACTAGTTTGACAAACGCACAAAGAAAGAAGAAGAAGAATTGACTTTTGACATTTGACGTTTACGCGTTTCATGTCGTTTTTTTATCAGCATCAGCCATTTGCTGTATGTTTGGTTTCGTTTCTAATCTAAACAATCCACAAAAACCGCACGAATAAATATCACACAAACGCGCGTTCCCGTAAAATCCATTAAAATGGACAACATTCCGCGTACGCACGAAGGTAACGCCACCCATATTAACCGCCTACATGCCCGCTTACTATGCATTATTCCAGATATCGAGGCGCAAATACGCGAGATCCAGTCGAAGAAGAAGGAAGCGGCCCCGTCGGAATCGCCGCCCGAAAAGGTGGCCAAACTCGGCGAAGGCGGCTACTTCGACAGCGACATATACGAAGGCAAAGGCAAGTACGAAGGGTACGTAACGTCCATAGCGGCCAACGATGAGGTCGACGACGAGGAGGAGGACGTCGGATACACGCACAAGAGACCCGGGCTCGGCGCCCCCGTCGCCCTTTTGAACGATGTCGCTCAAGTAAGTTGTTATCTAGTATGATTAGGATGGTTCGTTTATTTCGTATGAGCATTCTACTATGCTTTTCGAGTTCTCGAATAGTACAGAATAGTACTCTATTCTGTTTTACTCCTGGTGTTTCTTGAAGATATCTGTTAAGATTGCGGGGATATAATGAAATAGTAGATATTTAATTTGTTTTATTTTTTTTAGAGCGACAAAGATTATGATCCGTTCGCAGACCGCCGTAGACCCACCATAGCGGATAGAGAAGATGAATATAGACAAAAGAGAAGAAGAATGATTATTTCACCGGAAAGAGTGGACCCGTTCGCTGACGGTACGTTTCTACATTATTTAAGTATAATAATCTCTTAAGCAATAGAAATTAATTGATCTGTTTGAAAATTGTCTCATAGTTCGTCTATATAATATGTACAGTGTGGGACTAATTGTTTTTTTTTTGGTGCTCTGTATATTTATTTATTTTATATTTGAAAGGTCCTATCCTGTATACTATAAATATGGATGAAGGAAATAGTGATGAGAAAGTTTTCTAATTGTTTTGTTTTCGGAAAGTGAATGAAGACTTTCCAGAAATGAACCATACGCATTATTGGGGTATATGTGAATGTTTCGTATGAATTTGAGCCGAATGAATGGGACAAAAAAATAAATCTAAAACAAAAAAAAAATTATTGAGAAAAGAAAACTAATCTAATGATTTTGTTGTTTGGAAAAAGTGTCGTCGTTTAGGCGTCGAGAAGAGAAAAATACCGGTTAAAGCACTCGTCAATTGAGGAACAACAAACGAGAAATGTTGGTAAAAAATATAATAAAAACAAAAAAAAAACAAGTACAATTAACAATAATTAACGAGAGTGAAAGAGCGCGTGCAAAGTACATGAAAATTATTAATTACCCCAGCCTATTTCTAGGTGTATCGATAGAGCGGTTTTTCAAAAAGGAATTCTACGAGGAGTTTTTTGTTGTGAACAACATGCCTGTGAACACGTACGTATTACGATTTGTTCTTGCCGAATTTCTCTTCTTTTATATATACGGGGTGTAAAGAAAATACGAAGAAAAAAAATTATACGAGCTATTGAATTGTAATTTATGATAGGTCACTATCATGAGACGCCCTGTATATGCATTTAACAACTCTGGTTTTTTTTGTGAACGAAATATTTTGAGAGAAATGTGGCAACGGCAAATCTTTCCGATTATTTTTTGCGAAAAAAAAGTACTATTAAAATATAGTAAAAAAATTGAAAAAGGAAAAAAAAGAAATAAAAAATAAAGTGCTTCGTTTTTACTAATTGGCGTTTTTGACGCCCTTCTCTGTGCTTTTCCAGGTGGAAAAACGCCCGATGTCCAGGCGAGAAATTACTCGAAAATTATGAAAGAGCAAATGCTGAAAGGCGAGGAATTAGAGGTAAGAAGAATCTAACGATACGCCATCGTTTTGTAATTTCTAACAAAATTTTTATATTTCTAGCTCCGTAAAAAAATCATCGAAAAATCCAAGGACGGCTCGCTGAAAGCGTCCAACGGCGACGCCACCAAATCAGCGGCGCCGAAGAAACGGGGCCGATGGGATCAGACCGTCGACGACGCCGTGGCGCCGCAAAAAAAGAAAACCCTCAGCGTATCGACGAGCAGCAGCGCCGCGACGCCCGTTTGGGAAGGAGACGTAAGTCCGAACAATCCTTTTTCTATTCATTGCACTAGTTTACAAGGTTTATGTGCCAAGAACTTGCGATAATGAACCATTTAGAACGCTCCAGAATTATTTAGAATTGTCTAGAATCATTTAGGAACCTCCAGATCCATTTTTAATTGTCTAGAATCATTTAGGACACTCCAGAATCATTTAGAATTGTCTAGAATCATTTAGGACCCTCCAGAATCATTTAGAATTGTCTAGAATCATTTAGAACTCTCTAGAATCGTTTAGAACTGTCTAAAATCATTTAGAATTGTCTAGAATCATTTGGGACCCTCCAGATCCATTTTGAATGGTCTAGAATCATTTAGGACGCTCCAGAATCATTTAGAATTGTCTAGAATCATTTAGAACGCTCCAGAATCATTTAGAATTGTCCAGAATCATTTAGAAAACTTCAGAACCCTGTATAGAATGCTTAGTTATTATACGTTTGTTATTTGTTTGACAGAAAACCCCGGCCGATATACGTTGGGACGAGACGCCCGGTCACAAAGGCAGCGAAACCCCGGGGGCGACGCCCGGCCAATCGACGCGAATGTGGGACGCGACGCCGGGCCCGGCGACGCCCGGCCGAGAGACGCCCGGCCATTCGGGCGACAAGAGCACGTCGCGACGCAACCGTTGGGACGAGACGCCCAAAACGGAACGCGAGACGCCCGGCCATTCGAGCGGTTGGGCGGAGACGCCGAGGACCGATCGAATCGGCGCCGATTTGATACAGGAGACGCCGACGCCGGGCGCTTCGAAACGCCGATCGCGATGGGACGAGACGCCGTCGGCGACGCCCTCGCAGGCGATGACGCCCGGCGCCATGACGCCCAGTACCCCGCACGGTAAGTACGAAGGGTGTAAAACGTCATTTTTCAGCTCGAATTATACAAGGAATGTTTACGTTTTAGGTACCCCGCACGCTACGCCTACTCACGGTCACGCCACGCCGCTTCTCACGCCCGGCGGTTCGACGCCCGTCGGCGCCAAGGCGATGTCGATGGCGACGCCGACGCCGGGCCACTTGGCGTCGATGACGCCCGAACAACTGCAGGCCTACCGATGGGAGCGCGAGATCGACGAACGCAACCGGCCCTATTCGGACGACGAGTTGGACGCCATGTTCCCGCCCGGGTACAAGATCCTGCCGCCGCCCGCCGGCTACGTGCCCATCCGGACGCCGGCCAGGAAGCTGACGGCGACGCCGACGCCGCTGGCGGGCGGCACGCCGACCGGCTTCTTCATCCAGCAGGAGGACAAGAGCGCCAAGTACATGGACAACCAGCCCAAAGGGCAGAATCTGCCGTTCATGAAGCCCGAGGACGCGCAGTACTTCGACAAGCTGTTGGTCGACGTCGACGAGGACGCGCTCGCGCCCGAAGAGCAAAAAGAACGGAAGATCATGAAGTTGTTGTTGAAGATCAAGAACGGCACGCCGCCGATGCGTAAAGCGGCCCTGCGGCAGATCACCGACAAAGCGAGAGAATTCGGCGCGGGACCGTTGTTCAATCAAATACTGCCGCTGTTGATGAGCCCGACGCTCGAAGATCAAGAGAGACATCTGTTGGTCAAAGTCATCGATAGGATTTTGTACAAGCTGGACGATTTGGTGAGGCCGTACGTGCACAAAATCCTCGTTGTGATCGAACCGTTGCTGATCGACGAGGATTATTACGCGCGCGTCGAAGGTCGCGAGATCATCTCGAATTTAGCCAAAGCGGCCGGATTGGCGACGATGATCTCCACGATGCGTCCCGATATAGATAACATCGACGAGTACGTGCGTAACACCACGGCTAGGGCTTTCGCCGTGGTGGCTTCGGCGTTGGGAATCCCCTCTTTATTACCGTTCCTTAAAGCCGTGTGTAGATCGAAGAAATCGTGGCAAGCCAGGCATACGGGTATCAAGATCGTTCAACAAATCGCCATACTCATGGGTTGCGCGATTCTGCCGCATCTGAAAAGCTTGGTGGAAATCATCGAGCACGGTCTAGTCGATGAACAACAAAAAGTCCGTACGATTACGGCTTTGGGGATAGCGGCTTTAGCGGAAGCCGCTACGCCGTACGGTATCGAAAGCTTCGATTCCGTGTTGAAACCGCTCTGGAAAGGTATAAGGACTCACAGAGGCAAAGGCCTGGCCGCTTTCCTCAAAGCCATCGGTTACCTGATCCCTCTTATGGACTCCGAATACGCCAACTATTACACGAGAGAAGTGATGTTGATATTGATCAGGGAATTCCAATCGCCCGACGAGGAGATGAAGAAGATCGTGCTGAAAGTGGTGAAGCAATGTTGTTCGACCGACGGTGTCGAATCGCAATACATCAAAGAGGAGATCCTGCCGCAGTTCTTCAAGCACTTTTGGAACCACCGGATGGCCTTGGACAGGAGGAACTACAGGCAATTGGTGGATACGACGGTGGAGATCGCCAACAAAGTGGGCGCTTCGGAGATCATCAATAGAATAGTGGACGATTTGAAGGACGAAAACGAGGCGTACAGAAAGATGGTGATGGAGAGCATCGAAAAGATCATGGGGAATCTCGGCGCGGCCGATGTGGATTCGAGATTGGAGGAGCAATTGATCGATGGGATTTTGTACGCTTTCCAGGAACAGACCACCGAGGACGTGGTCATGTTGAATGGTGAGTATTTACCGATTTCATAAATGATATTTTAATCGTTTAGTGGATGTAATTGATTTTGAAATCGTTGCACTTTCTGTCAGTTTTTGAACTATCTAAGATAAACTAGGGAGATCCAGAACCATTTAGAACTATTTGAAATGGTCCAGGATAAACTAGGGAAACTCGGAACCATCTAGAACTGTTTACAATCATTTAGAACTATTTGGAACGGTTCAGTTAATTCCCGTTCAGAACCCAAACAGTTCTAGACAGTTCTAAATCCTTTAGGACGCTTTAAAAATCGTTTCTAATACGTTAATATTTTTTAGGTTTCGGCACGATCGTCAATCAACTAGGCAAACGCGTCAAACCCTACCTGCCACAAATTTGCGGTACAATTTTATGGCGTTTGAACAACAAATCGGCCAAAGTGCGCCAGCAGGCGGCCGATTTGATATCGCGCATAGCCGTCGTGATGAAGACCTGCCAGGAGGAGAAACTGATGGGCCATTTGGGCGTCGTCCTCTACGAGTACTTGGGCGAGGAGTACCCGGAAGTGTTGGGTTCCATTTTGGGCGCCTTAAAGGCCATCGTGAACGTCATAGGTATGACCAAAATGACGCCGCCCATCAAAGATCTCCTGCCCAGACTCACGCCGATCCTCAAGAACCGACACGAAAAGGTCCAAGAGAACTGCATCGATTTGGTGGGTCGCATAGCCGATCGAGGGCCCGAATACGTATCGGCGCGCGAATGGATGCGCATCTGTTTCGAGCTATTAGAACTGCTCAAAGCCCATAAGAAAGCCATTCGAAGGGCCACGGTGAACACGTTCGGTTACATAGCCAAGGCCATCGGACCTCACGACGTTTTGGCCACTTTACTGAATAACCTCAAAGTACAAGAACGTCAGAACAGGGTGTGCACGACCGTCGCCATTGCCATCGTAGCGGAGACTTGTTCGCCTTTTACGGTACTGCCGGCGTTGATGAACGAATACAGGGTGCCCGAATTGAACGTGCAAAACGGCGTGTTGAAATCGTTGTCGTTTCTGTTCGAATACATCGGCGAAATGGGCAAGGATTACATTTACGCGGTGGCCCCGTTGCTGGAGGACGCTCTCATGGATAGGGATTTGGTACACAGGTGAGTTTGAATCGTGCTAGCTTAGATTAGAACCATTTAGAACTATCTAGAATCGTTTTGAACTGTGTGAAACGGCACAGGATAAACTAGGGATGTTCAGAACCGTTTAGAATCTTAATTCGTGTAGTTTTTTCCCATCGTTGCACTGGTAAACATTCTCCCATCCTCTGAAATTGCGCCATTTGAACTACCATTTGAAAATTGTGTTCTAATTGTTTTATTTTCAGGCAAACGGCGTGCGCGGCCATCAAGCACATGTCCCTTGGAGTGTACGGATTCGGTTGCGAGGACGCTCTGGTGCATCTTTTGAACTACGTGTGGCCGAACATATTCGAAACATCGCCGCATTTGGTGCAGGCCTTTATGGACGCCATCGAAGGTATGCGGGTGGCCCTGGGACCGGTCAAAATACTCCAATACACCCTGCAGGGATTGTTCCATCCCGCTAGGAAGGTACGCGACGTGTACTGGAAGATCTACAATTCCTTGTACATCGGAGGCCAGGATGCTCTCGTTGCTGGTTATCCGAGGATCATGAACGATCCTAAAAATCAGTACGTTAGATACGAGTTGGATTATATATTGTGAACGATAGGTAGGTGATTTTTTCCGTATGTATTAATGATTACAGTTAAAATTGTGTGTTTTTTTTTTAGTTGTACTGTATAAATGATAATAAAGTTGTTGTAAAATTAATGTAAATTTGCTTCTGAATTCCAAAAACACCCTATCAAGTTTATTGAGGAAAGTTAAAACATTAAATCGATTAATAATAGCCTCTTATTTAATTCGTTTCTTTCGTTCATTATTACATATTATGTACATAATATTTTGTAAATTAAAATTAATAATTATGGAATTCCGAATAAAATTCAATGGGGTCGATTGATTGTTCCATCTAGTCAGTGGTGCATTGTCAAATATATCCCGATGGCAATTTGGAAAATTCGCTGGCCAACTTTTCGATTTGTTCGATATCTTTGGGACAAAAATCGCTCAAAACCACTGGACCTGTTTCGGTTATTAAAACATCATCTTCGATGCGCACCCCGATGCCCCGGTAATTTTTCGGAAACAGCGTGTTTTCCTCGTTGATGTAAATACCTGGAAACTCGAAAAAAAAATTCCCATTCCGAATCGAGAAATTCGGCCTCTTACTTACCGGGTTCCACGGTTATAATCATCCCGGGCCGCATTTTTATGCTCCTTTTTATCATGGGCGTATCGTGAACGTCCATTCCTAGGAAATGGCAGCAATGATGCGGACACAATTGTTGAGCCACCTTGATAAACACGATTATCAATATACAGAATGGCCAAAAAACAAATCATATCCCAAATTACAATGGACCGTATTCAGCCCACCATTCCTATAACGCTAATCAATCGTTTAAAGAGTCTTTAAACTCTTAAAACTACGTAATTAAATTAGTTTTAAAAACGAATCGCTAACTACGGCCCTGTATATATTCATTTACCTTCATGACGCTCTTGATCGTCTCGTATCTGGACAACAAACCCAAATGTTGCAATTTCACTCCCACGGTGATCAACATTCTCTCGTAGAGGGCGTCCAGACTCGGAAACGATTTGCACATATCGATCAATTCGCAGTTGGCTTCGTACACGATCTTATAGATGCTCTTCTGTTCCGGCGAGAAAGCGCCCCCTACCGGCCACGTTCTCGTTATATCGCTGCAATAACCGTGATATTCGCAACCTATATGTAAAGAGTATAATTTTAATGACAGTATTTCAAATAATCATTATTTTCTTCGAGGGTAGGGTGAAAAGTCCTCGGCCTGAATAATTTGGAACTGTCTAGAACCATTTAGAACGCTCCAGAATTATTTTGGATTGTTCTAGAACTATTTAGAACACTCCAGAATCATTTATACCGTTCCAAAGTCATTTTGAACCGTCTTGAAAAATTTAGAACGCTCCGGAATCATTTATACCGCTCCAGAGTTATTTTGAACCGTCTTAATCCATTTAGAACGCTCCGGAATCAATTAGAACTGTTTCGAACTAATAATTTTGACTTGACAAGAAGAATAATGTAATATTTCGAGTATCGAGTGTGACCCATCGTTGAAATCACTATCAGTATTTTATCCCAAATTCATATACATATACAATATGTCCCATTTAAGAGAAGGCGATTACAATTAGTAATTTATTATAATTACCTCCGTCCATTAAAACTACATCATCCTTGGACAATACTTGATTGTTATTACTGTAGTGGATGATACAAGCCCTTTTCCCTCCGGCTATTATAGGAGGATAGGCCATGTTTTCGGCGCCCCTGATTTTGCACTCGAAATCGAATTTTGCGTTCAATTGACTTTCTATGATACCTGAAAATTAATACATATGTATACAGAATGTCCCAGAACAATCGTTTAAAGAGTCTCTTTACCTTCGACCTTACGGACATTGGTTAAACCTTAAAGAGACTGTTTAAGCGATTGATTCGTGTTAAAAAAGAGCACCAACTAAATCTCTATAAAATACAGCAAAAAAATTAAATTTCTCTAACGAGATTAAGAGTAGTTATTACCGGGCGACGAGCACTTGATTGTTTCGATAAAAGCATCGCTAGCGATCCTGCAGGTTTTCCTCATCAAGGCGACTTCGCTGGGACTCTTTATCAATCTCATTTGCTGGATGAAAATGGTGGGATTTTCGCAAGTCAAAGTCGTCCCGAAATCCGACATGAAATTCTCCATGATGGAATGCACGTGCATTTGAATGGGATTCACGAAATTGTACCTGAAATGCGGTTTGGTTTGGCGTGTAAAATTTGAAGAATGAATTTTGTTGTTATAATAGAAAATTGATGCTGGTAATTTGAAGTGTATGTACCTACAGAAACTTGGAAATTTCTCGAAAACTACGAAATTTGAGAAAAATTATACAGATATACAATTCGAAAAGCAAAGTTTCCTCTACCAAACAACCCCTCCTCAAACTTTCTAACCCCGACAATTCCAGAGTTACCCGCGTACAAAATCACCTTACCACACGATCAAATTAGCCACGTATTTGACGAACCCCCGTATAAAATCGTTCAATACGTTTATCGGTAAACTTTGATTGACGCCGAAGAAATCCGCGGCGTCCCGGTGATTCGTTCTGGGACCGTCCCATTTCTCGGCGTTTTTATCCGTTTCCCTGGTGAACAGAGTCGTGCTGAATTCCTCGTTGATTATCGTTGTCACGAAACAACAATCCGGTTCCAAGCAACCGGTCAAATAGAGGAAATCGGTGTTTTGGCGAAAATTGTAGGGGATTTTACCGGACATGTATTGCGTCGAAGAAGCTGGAACTACGATCTGGAATGAGAAATTAAAAGTTTCGGATTGTTATTTAAACAGATTCCGAACCGTTCTAGATAGTTTTATTCTGAACCGTTCTGGTGCCATTCAAACCGTTGCGAATCGTTTTAAATCGTTCTGACACATGTTCTGAACGTTTTACGTTAATAAAATATTAAATTTACCAAATGGTTGTTGGAAGCCATATGCATTTTTTTCGCATGACTCTTAATTTGATCGATTAGAACGAATCTCCTGTGTTTATATTCGGATCTCGTTGTCAACGAGGTAATTTCGCCCTTGTTGATTATGTGAGGGTGGGTAGCGTGCGTTGGTTGTCCTAACGCTTTCATTTCCATTTTCTTCTGAATTTACTGGTTATTTCTTAAATAAAAAAATCGTATAAATACATGAAGAGGTGGACAGATTAGTTGATTAAACTACTTGCACTGATTCAGCGCAACATTTTCTGATTACTGATACTGTACTGAGTTTAATTAAGAATTGTACTAGATTAGTTGAATAATTGATATATTTTTATGCAAAAATATTATCCTCTGTAATTGTTGGGGAAAATTGTACCTTACCTGAATTTCGGGTCGCAAATTCGAAAAAGGAAGGCTCTTTAAACATATTTAAAAATCGAAAAGCCGGTAATTTAGTTGAAAAGTAATATGTAATAACATATTTTAAGGCTATAATTTAATTCATTTTGACGAATAATTTCGGAATGTCAATGTATTTTGAAAGATATACCGAGTGTTCTCGAATAATCGCACTTATATATAAAATAAAAGCCACTCCATATAATTTTACGGTTGATTACAGAATGAAAAATCTAGTACTTTTTTCAATTAAGAATAAAGCTTTAAACATCTAAAATATGGAAAATTAAACAAAAAATTGGACTATTTTTACCAATTAAACAATTAAAAAGTACAAATAAACTTACAAAACTCCATTTTTAGTTACAAATAGAAATCTAGTACGTTTCTGATTTGACATTCTGGCCTCTTTTTTAATAAGTAAACAGTCACCTAGCACAAATTGACATTAACCTAACCTACCTATACAATCCAAAATACAATTTTATATGTATAGGTTTTTATTTCCCCAATGAAATCAATTTATATTCCTGAATTTAAACTGTGATTTAACAACAATAACATGCTCAAATTATATCGGAAATTGGGTAAGTAAATTAAACATATTTCCATTCTAAAACAAGCGTTACATTATGTGGAAATTTACAAAATCGCCCCTTTGTTATTTTGAATTTTTATCTTTAAAATCAAAAGCGAGACACTACAACTAAATAAAAAAAACATCCCATTTTCCACGAAACACCCCGTATAAATCCGTATCATTTCAGAACGCACGAGGCAAATATGCACCCGAGCCAAATCTACACTAACATCCAAAAGTACCATCAAAGCGACGTCAGAAAGGATCCTGGGACAGCCTACTGGCGATTCCCATCCTCATTTATTGAACGAAGGTGAAGTTACTCAGTTGCTGAATAAACGGGAATACGAGAATAGACGGATCAAATTGGCCGAGAGCGTTGCCGAATATTCCATCAAAAACGGCTTGAAATCCAAAAATCACATGGTCAGTATTTACTACAAAAAAGTTTATTATATTTTAAGTTTTCTTGGCATTAATGGTATAATTAGTACAATTCCGTTAATATGTAATTTGTTTTTTTTAGTGTTTTTTTTTGTTGTCAGAACGAGTCTCGAAACTGTTTAAAATAGTTCAGAGCGGTTTAAAACGGTCCAGTACAGTTCAGAACGATTTAATGAAACAATCTAGAACGCTTCGGAACTGTTTAGAGCAATACAAAGCGTTTCGTAACGGTTTAAATTAGTTCAGAACCCTATTCACGATTTGAAAACGATCTAGAATAGTTCGAAACAATCTAGAACTGATCAAAACGGTTTAGAGCCATTCAGATCGCTTCTGAACAGTCTAAAACAGTTCCGTAGCGAGCGCACACCGTCCGGAACGTCTCCGGAAACCTTTCCAAAGTTAACCGCTTAAATTATCTTCATAAATCTTTTATTCCAGATCGTTATTCCGGCCGCCACGACCCAATACATGTCCGGCAAAATTCCGTACGTGTTCCGCCAGAACACGGAATTCCTCTATTTGACGGGTTGCTTGGAACCGGATTGTTGTTTCGTGATGACGACGAATGGAAATTCGGATTTTTCCACGACGGTTTTCACGAGGAACAGGGACCCACACGCCGAGATGTGGGACGGTCCGAGGACCCGTCCCGACGACGTCCGGGAATTCTTCGGGATCGATCGGGGATTACCCATCAGCGAATTGGAGGATTTCATCGGCGCGTATTTCAGGAGGGCCAGTGAGGTGAATATATGGTGAGTAATCGAGTAGTTGATATCGATTAATTGATTGATTCGTTTGGAGTGGATTCAGATTAGGTTTGGAGTAATTAAATCGATTAATTGATTAATTAGACGATTTTTGTTTGAAGTAGATTCAGAGTGGAGTAGATTCAGATTAGATTAGAAGAAGATTAAATAATTGAATGGACTAATCGATTGATTAAACGATTTTTGTTTGGAGTAAATTTGTAGTAGATAATTCAGATTGGATTAGAGTAGATTTAGAGCGAATCTGGTGTGAATTTCATGTAGATAAGGAGTAGATTGAGTAATTAAATCGACTAATTGATCAATTGAACGTTTTGTTTTTGAGGTACGATTATTTAACTCCAATTCAAAATAAGGTCCATTCGATCGTGCAAAAATTGATGGGCGACAGCCTGAACAAAGCCTGGGAGAACCCGAAGCCTTTGATACAGCGATTGCGCCTAATCAAGAGCCCATCGGAGGCGGCCTTGATGCAGAAAACCTGCGACATAGCCTCCGAGGCCTTGGTTCACACAATGGGAGCATCCAGACCGGGTACATATTAAATTTTAATCGAAACACCCTGTATATTTTGTGATTTTTTTTGTTAGAATCACGCGTATTGTAAACGATACAGGGCGTCCCGCATGTACATGCAGGGCGTACGTTTGGGACATCCGGTATAATTCTTAATATATATTTTTTGTAGGCGTGTTGGAAAGCGAATTGTACGCGAAATTCGAGTACGAATGTAAAATGAAGGGGGCTCAATTTTTGGCGTATCCTCCGGTAATTGCCGGCGGAAGCCGATCGACTATTATTCATTATGTGAATAACAATCAAGTGGTCAATGACGAGGAAATTTTGCTGATGGACGGAGGTGAGTAATACGATTAAAATCGCTGGCTTTTTTTTAGAATTTATTAGATTTTTTTTTTCGAGGGACGTCGTCCTGTATACAGCGCGAGTCACGTTGAATAGAATCGTTTAAAAATGTTGTTAGTTTTCGAGAGACGCCCTGTATACAGGTTTCTCCATTTTTGATCGCAACATAGGTTATAAACTATGGGTGCGATAAAGACAACTTCCATTAGACACATAAAGGAAAAAGAAAGAGTGACATTTGTGTCATTGCAACTTTTCACTCTGACAACTGTCATTTTAATAATCTTTCTTTGTTCCACTCATAGAAATGACCATATTGCAATCGGAAATGGAGCAAGTTGTTTGTATATGTATCTAATACTATAATTTGATGTTTATGTGGATTATTTTAGGTTGCGAATACCACGGTTATTCTAGCGACATAACGAGAACGTGGCCTATAAATGGGAAATTCACTGCCGAACAACGGGAACTCTATCAAGTAGTCTATGAGATCAACGAAGATCTGATCGAAGCTTGCCGAGAATTTCCCAAGTTGGATCATTTGTTCGAGAAAATGTGCTATTTGTTGGGGACGAAATTACAATCTTTGGGTTTGGTGTCGAAGAATCAATCGGATGCAGATTTGATGAAGGTAATATTTAAAAAAAATGCATACATTTTTATGCAATTTTGTTTTATTGGCCAACTTGATTTTTTTTCAGACTGCTTATCAATTATGTCCCCATCACGTATCGCATTACCTGGGCATGGATGTTCACGATACGCCTACTGTAAATAGAAATATTCAAATTAAACCCGGAATGGTGGTGACTATTGAACCAGGTCAGTACTAAGGGTTGTATTTTTATATTTTTTTAATAAGGGGGCGTTTAATTTATAATCCAAGATTGCTATAAATTTGACAGTATAATTAATGCAGTGTTGTCTAATGGTGGAACATATCCCTAATTCGGGGGAGACTTGTCACTTGTCAAAATTAATTATTTGTTTTTGCAGGTATTTACATAAGTAAAAATAACACATTATTTCCGGAGAAATACAGGGGAATAGGGATTAGAATAGAAGATGACGTTTTAATAACTGAAAATGGACCGATTGTGCTCACTAAAAACTGTCCAAAATATATAGAAGACGTTGAAAAAATATCGAATAAGAACGCTTAAAATGTAAATAATAAAATATATTTATTTAATAAAGTTTTTTTATACAGAAACGTCCAAATTTACTTTTAGAATTATTACAAAACGCAGGAAAACTAACGTCGTAATTGTGGCAACACCGCGCACCTGCACACCTTAGCAAATCCTATAGGTAAGTTAAAAAGGTAGGAGAGAAACAAAACAGAAACGAGAAACACACTCGGCACGGCACACCTTGCTCTCTTCTCTAGTTTTTAGTTTTAGTTTCAGCCGAGTCGAATCATCAGTAGGCCGTGCATTTAAACTAATAATTAATTCTAACCTGTCATTTAATACTCGAATTCGTTCCCACTGTTATTACCTCTAAGTTATTATGTGCTCGTTTACGTGTAAAGGTAACTCGATGTGAAAAATATGCCGTTAGAAATGCGAAACAAAATCGAGCGATCCTGCGGTACTCTAATGTGATCGACGCCTACTCGATCGGCGGTGGAAACTGTCTGTCATTTTTCCATGGAAATTTCGCGAATTTATCGATTATCGCGCGTGGTGAATCGTCCATTCGTGATGTAATAGTGATAATAATGTTGTTGTTGTTGATGTTATTGTGATAATGGCGGAAATAAAGCCTTTGTATTCGACCTGCGTGGCCGTTTTGGGATTCATTTGTTTCGTTGTCGGGGCAACGGCCGTTGGGATTCCCATGTGGGGTTATTTTAATGTTCCTCACGGTGAGTTTGTAGCCCTGTTTTTTGGTTTTTTTTCTGTGGTTTTTGTATACAGGGTACAGGGTGTGTAGAAATACGGAAATCGGTGGAAATTGTGTCGATTTGGCAACGGTGTTGATGGTAAAATGGAATGTTTAACCTGTGTGATTTGTTGGGTAAATTAAAAGGCGGCGTTGCCGATGTGTTTTTGAAATCGGGTAACTAGGAATTATTTCAATTGAAGTATAATTATTTTAATTCGTTTTTGAATATTTTATTGCGGAAGTTTTTATTCAATTATACAGTTGTCCAGGTTTTTTTCATTAATCATTGAAAAATTGAAAAGCAAAATATTTATAAAATCATTTGTAAATCACTCTTTAATAACATTATTTTATTATACTTACACCTCAATCAATCTCAATTTATAACCATAAATATCGAGATAACATCAATTAAAATCGATTTATACGATAATGCGTAGAGGTGGCAACGTCGAAACGACATGCAATTGTTCAGCAGTAGGTCATGCATAGGTATCCATGACAACGACGAAATACGCCAACGTCAACTTGATCAATTTCCATAAATTCTAAATAGCCTTAACCGGTATTTAATGTATTTGTTAATATCGAATTGCTAATTGTACGTATAATAATTAGGGAAATTTTTCGTTTTCGTCACTTTCAAAGTAAATTCATACGTAATTTAATGAACTTTGCGCTTGCGTTTCATTCGTAATTAAATTACTGCAGGTGATTTAATTGTTATAAGATTTATAGGTAATTCTGTGTGATTGTGGTCAAAAATTAACACAGGGGCGTATTCAGGACTATTTAAAGAGAGTATTCATTTCAGATGAACTGTTTTATAAATTGACCACCCTGTATATGTAAAAAACATACATTTTTTTTAATTAACGAGGAAATAACAAAAACAACACAAATATGAGCCAACTAGATTATACCTCTAAGCATAAATAACAATGTGTAAATTGGGACTAGTTTACTCACCTTTTGTTATCTAGGACTCTCCTAATTAATTTTAATTCAGTTCAATCGTTAATTTGGCCATAATTAATCGTTAATTAATGTCATATACAGCGCTGGCAAAAAGATATCTACAGGTTGACCCGCAAGTAATGGCTCTTTTAATTGATGGGACCCTGATGTACCCTGTATATTTTTGGATTTTGTTTCTCACACTTTTCTAATAATCCGAGTTAAAAAATGAAAACTGACATTTTATTTTCCAGCGAAAGTTCAAACTCGCGCACAAAACACAATAGAGTACGTAAAAATAACGAATGAGAATACCCCGGTAATTGATAATAGCAAATAAAAAGCCATGGGAATTTATCCGGTAGCAGCTAATTTTATTACAATAACAGATGAATTGGGTCGAAAGTGTAATGTTGAATTGGTCGAAATTTAGCTTAGTAGGCTACTGTTTGTTAATCGTTTCCATGACAACAAAGCCGATAAACAATCGATAGAATTGTCGAATTGAATGTATTATTTTGATCGCCATATTTATTTACTTTATTTATTTATTTGACAGCACCCTCCTATTCAGATGAGGAAGGAGGCTATTTCGGCCCTTGGAAAACCTGTAAATACTTGCTGTACAATAGGGAAAGATGCGGGGAAGGGCAAGCTAGATTTAGACCCTCAAGTAAGTATCCATTTTATTTTTTTTAATGATTTTAGAGAATTTTCAAATATATTTTTAGCTGCAAAGTCGTTAAAATTCAATCAATAACAACGTAAAATCGAATAAAAAATGTATATTTAACGAACCTCTCTAATGAAAACAAAACAATGTCGTGTTATTTATCTTACAGGTACAATAATTAAATGACGCTTTATCCTTGAGATATGTATATGTAATAGATAAATAATTTAATTGCATTTTTCTCTACACGATTTTGCACTATAATAATCATTACGTATTGAAACAATTTTTCGCGAATTTATCTAACAGGCTCAAATAGATTTTTTTAATGTCCACGTTATTTATTTAGCCCTATCTGAGAGAATATTTGGTGATTTTTCAATTATTTATTTATTTTTTAGTTGTCGTTTGGGTGGCAGGCCTGATAGCGTGCCTGGGCGTCTCAATTTTGGGCGTTTTTTGTATACTAAGCGTCCTCCAATTAGCCATGTTGAATTCCAGGGATCAAGTAGTTCTTAAATATAGCATAGTCGTAATTACCAAAGTTGGCCTTGGATTGTTATCAGGTAAATGCAAATCTATGTATATTGAATATATTACTTTGTCTACGATTTTTTTTATTATTAGATGTTGTGCAAAATTTTATCGAGTTACCTTTGTGTTTGCAACGTAAGCATATCGACTATAATTAAGAGATTGTAGCATTGTAGATAGCATTCTGCTCGTAGATGCAATGGTGTTTTAAATGCTCCGATTTTTGACTGATATATACAGGGTGTTACGTGTGAAACAGGCGTATTTTTTTTTATTTTACTAAATCCCCCGGACTAACGCCATACGAATTACAGGTTAATAGTGCTGGGGATTCGGATAAAAAAAATAATTTTAATAAAAATACACTATTTTTCTTATTTTTTAGCTCTATTAGCAATCGCAGCAGCGGGAGTATTCGCATTGCAAATCGACGACAGGGAACACAACGGTTTCGTATTATCCCGAGGCCCCGCCTTTTACATACAGGTCAGTATAATTTTTTATAAAGGGTGTTCCACACGGGCCCGTTCCAAGTTTAATTTCCATTTGCAGATTCTGTTGATAATTTTAAATGGCGCGCTATTCGTGATGGCCCTGTATGACATGTTCTTCGCTCGAAGAGAAGGCGGCGACCCGACCACTGTCTCAGTTCCCGTCGAGGCCACCTCATACGGGAATCCCGGATTCCGGGAGTCCCAGACTAACGGGAAAGGTAATTATAAAATCTATCATTTCTCCGGTGCATCGGAATATTCCCATTAAAAATACTAGAAGTTGTACCTTTTTGGATCGTAGTTTACCCTTAATCTACCCTACTATATAGACTCTACTCTGCTCTACTCACTTCTGAACTATTCAGTGCAGAATTCCCGCGCTCCCGCCTTCTCGATTTCACATTCATTTCAATATATTCCCGTTTAATCAAACAGGCCGGAGCGGGATCTCCATGACGGACGCCAGCGGGAAACCCTACACCTCCAACGGCAGTATGGCTTCCATGCAAACCACCTCCACCACGTTGGGCTCCACCAACGGCTCCACCGTGGCCTCTTCCATCACCAGGTCCCCGCTCAGGTCCAGCCTGAAGAAGCCCAAGCCCAAAGAGGGGGCGGGGGGCGCGGCCGGCGGCCTCGGTATCCAGAATCCCGGATTCTCCGGCACCTCGCCTACTATGACGAGGCACGGCAGCCAGAAGAAGGTCAGGATACAGACTCACAGCACTGAAGTGTAAGTACTTACAGAGGGCGCTTTTGTGTACTGTAACGTAAAGTACGCTGTACACTTAATGTGAAACCGGTGGATCTGGCGAGATATTTTGAGAGTTCGAAAAAAAGACTTAAATCATTCCAAGTTTAGTGTTCATTCCGATTAATTAGGGGTATATCGTTCGAATCAAATCGATTTAATTAATTATCTACACGCAATTTTCGTAATTATTGTTGTTGATGTTTAAATTGTTCATGTGCATTTATAAAAATCATCACAAATTATATTAATGTTTATGTGGAATTTATGGATATTTCAAAATGAAAAAACTTCCGGAAATTTCATAGAAATTTTTGGAAAGTGAGAAATGAGAAATGATCTGGAAATCGAGTACCTGCGAATGTTGGGTTGTTTTTTTTTAATAGGACTTTAAGAAGGCAATTTTAAAAATTTTAAATTTAGACGTTTAATTTGTTATTCGAATGTTAATTTTATGTTGTACTTATAGGTAAAAATTAGTCCATTTGCAATCGATCGTAGTACAAAATCTGATCCAATCTGTGCGCTTATTATGCGCTAAATATGCTCTCTATATTTACTCGGAATTTATACGAATTATGCGCTAATTACGCGCTCTTTTCTATCGGCATTTTTTTTTATTTAAAATGTTTATAAAAACCTAGCGCATAATTAATTCATAATTAGAGCATAATGAGCGTATAATTCTAAAAAGATATGGGCCAGACAAACATAACATGAAATGCTGTTTTATATGGTAAACATTTCTGAGATAATAAGAGAGATTCTTTATATATATATTATATAATGCCGTTTGTCATAAATTAGGGAGAAATAGTCGAGAAAAAAATCAGAAAAAAATTATAATCCGTCCATTTTGCAATTTCTCGTACCTAAAACATTTAAAAAAGGCTGCACAATTAAATCATAATCAGCGCATAATTCCAGTGGGACCGGGGGCAGATTTTTTATATAATATATATTTTATTTGTTGTAAATTAGTGAGAAATAGTTTTTAGTTATTTTGATGAAAGTAATTAAAAACAGAAAAAAATGACAATTTGTCCATGTTAATCCGTCCATTTTGTAATTTCTCTTAAGAAATTGAACGTTGCTTTTTTGTGTTTAACACATATTTTTATATATTTTATATATGTATATTGTAAGTATTGCTTAGCCGTTAAGAATATTATTATTATTATATTTTAAATTTTTATTTAATAAAAGATTTTTTTTTATTTGTGTGTGGGTAATATACAGAGTGTTGAGTAAAGTACTTTTATATTCTCGGTTTTGTTGCGATTTTTTTACAAAAATATCTAGGTGGCTGGAAATTTATTTGTATAAAATGTAACGGGATGTTAAAAAAATGTAAAAATTACAAAAAAATTTTCATTTTACGTATTTTACAGGTTATTTTAACAACACTGTGTATATAATTTATTATATTTTTCAACAATTGGTTTTACATGAAAGTTTTATGAAACTATAAGGCTTTTTTTATTTTATATTATTAATCAATTTGTGATAATTATAAATAAATCGTGTAATTTTAATGTCATTTCTTATTACATTAGCTGTAATTTCTGGATAATTGATTAATATATAAACCATGAGTTTTTTGGAATTTATGAAATTGTCGAAATGGTTTTTGACATTATCGACGGTCATTTCGTGGAATTATTTTTTTTAAATCTCGAAATATTTGCGAAACTAATTTAAATCTCGAGAAACTTTCTTTTGAAAACCAAAAAAACAAACTATAAAATTTTGTATATTTACCCAACAATTTCCATCGAATAAAACAACGAATAGAAACTACAATCACCACCACCGTCATCGTCCATCATCGCACCTCCTCCGCAAACGTCTGATGCCTAATCAAATCCCTAAAAGCCCCGTCGTCGCGTCTCGTCAACTCCTCGTACGTTCCCATCTCTACGATTTTCCCATCGCGCAACACCGCAATCGCATCGGCGCTCCTGATACTCGACAATCGATGCGCAATAGTCAAAACCGTCCGTCCGCGCATCACCCGCTCCAACGCCTCCCGTACGAAATGCTCCGATTGCGCGTCGAGCGCGCTCGTCGCCTCGTCCAACAACAAAACCTTAGGATTCTTTATCAAAGCCCTCGCTATGGCGACGCGTTGCTTCTGCCCGCCGCTCAACATCACCCCTCTCTCGCCCACGATCGTATCGAACCCTTCGGGCAGGGCTCGCGCGAATTCGTACACGTTCGCCTCCTTGCACACTTTCACGAATTCCTCTTCGGTCACCTTTTGATCGTCTTCGGCTCCGTACAGAATGTTGTCTTTGATCGAACAGGAGAACAGCACGGGTTCCTGCGAGACCGCGCCTATGTGCTTCTTCAGCCACTCCGGATCCAAGTTTTTGATGTCGTAATCGTCTAAATACACGGCGCCTTTAGTGGGATCGTACAATCTCAATAGTAGAGCGCCCAGGGTGCTTTTACCCGTGCCGCTCGCTCCTACGACGGCTACATTTTCGCCCGGTCGTATGGTCAAATTTAATTGTTTGAATATCCCCACGTCGCTTCTCGACGGGTAATTGAACTCTATGTCTTCGTAGCGGATCGAACCGTTCGGTAACGCTAAAGGAATCAAACCGCCTTTCGACGGAATCGCCGGTTCTCTATCGATTATCTCCCATATTCTGGTAGCGGCGCCCAAAGATTTGTTCAGCTCAGAATAGAAACTCGACAGACCGCCCACCGATACTCCTATGTAAGCGGCGTAGAGCAGAAACGAGGAGAGTCCACCGACGGTGATGGCGTTCGAAGAGACCATCACGCCGCCGTAATAGAGCACCGAGATGATGATGACGTTGCCGGTGAAACCCACCATGCCGTAGAAGAAGGCCGTGGCTTTGGCCTCTTTGTAGCAGATCGATAGGACTCGATCGATGGAGGTGTCGTAGGTGAGGATCTCGCGGGGTTCGCGGGCGAACGATTTCACCGTTCGCACGTTCGAGATTTTCTCTTCTGCTACCTAAAAAAATTAAAGAAAAGGAAAGAAACGAACATATTAGGAAATTGGGAATGCATATTTGGTAGTGTTCGGTTATGCTGGGGCTTTATTAACGAGGATCCCAAAGAAATTGAATGAGTAGAGTAGTACTGTGATCTGCTGTAAGAGTATTCTGCTCTACGAGTACTCTACTATACTCTATGAGTACTCTTAATGCTCTACGAATACTCTACTGTCCACTGTTTGGCTCTAAGAATACTGTACTGTGAATTTAGTCTGAATTTAATACTAATTCTACTCTGAATCTGTTCTAAATATACTCTGATTCGATTCTTACTCTGCTTTTATTATACTTTGAATCTACTCTGAATTTATTCTTATTTTACTCTGAATAGTCAGAATCTACATACTCCTACTCTACTCTGATTCTAATCTGAATTTACCCCAAAAGTTACTCTAGATTCTACAGTAAAACTACTCCAAACATACTCTAATTCAATTCTAAATCATATCTACTCATAGTACTTTGAAATGTACTCCAATACTCATTTATAACATAACACTACCGCATAATGGGAAATACCTTAGTGGTATCGGCGAGCCTATCCTGCAATTGTCTGGAAATCCCCCTTACGTACTTTCCGTACATAACAGCTACCACAGCAACCGGTGGTACGATAGCCAGTCCAACGCAGGCCAGTTCGGGAGACATGTAAAACATCATACCCGTTCCGGTACAAACCAATACGAACGAACGGATCCCATCTGATATGTTACGGGAAAGCGAAGTGCCGATTATCTACAAATAATTTATGTATTAATATATGAATGGTTGCTTAATAAATTGAATTAAAAGTACTTGCGTATCGGCTGATAGTCTGTTAACAAGTTCACCCGTAGCTCTCGTATCGAACCAGCCTTGTTCTTGTCGCAGAACGGACGAGAAAACTCGTTTTCTCAAGGCGTTAGTCATTCGATAACCGGCCGAGGACATTAAATAAACCCTAGAAAAGTTACAAACGGCTCCAAGTATGAAAACCGCTAATAATATACCGCATATTTCGTTCAGTTTCGCCCGCGCCACGTCTTTGTCCTCTTCTCTGAAAATTATATCTAGAATTTTGCCCAGACTGAACGGAATAGCCATGGTTACTGAGCTCGAGACCAATATGAATCCGACGGCGCTGACTAGTTTCCATTTCTCCTGTTTCGCTAACGAGAATAGCCTCTTTAATTCCGATGTTTTCAAGCGGGGCTCGCGGTTCGAGTCGGGACCTTTTTTCTTGAATATCCTAGCGAATAGACCCTTCGAGGTTTTGGGTTTGTTGTCGGGTAGCTCCACGGAAATGTACGATTTGCTCTGGTTGATTTTCTGAGACATGTTGCCGAAATTCCTTCTGAAACTGTGACCGAAATACTTCAAATGTTTCAATGACTTTGATAAATTATTGTAGGTTATTATCGTCAAATACATTCTTCTGATGTGTATTTTATAAATCAACAATACATTTACGTTTAACAATGTAATTTATAATCTAAATTATGTCCCGTTAACGTTGGTTATCACATTTCTTATCAGTAATGAAACATATTTATTTTTTTTGTGTTTAGAATTTCATATTCTAACATCAAACATCAACAGAACACAGAACACAGAACACAGAAAACTGAGAAAACAAAACCCTCACTAATCAGGTTAGCCAACTGTAAATAAAACTAAAACCAACAGTATATTTTTGAGTGTTTTTATTTTTTTATTACAATAAATTTAAACCCAAAATTATCATTAAAGTATTCTAATGAGCAATGATAAAAAATATACAGTAAATGAGTGTCAATTACCTCTTTAATAGCACTGTTTTTGATAAAATAAAAAAACTGTTGGTTGCATTGTAATTACTAATAATGACAGATTACAGATGTAAAACGTCATACAAAGTGACGTTTTTCGTTTGATAACCATAGTTAAAATAGCAAAAAATAACAATTAATAATGGATTATGAATTCCCGAAGGAATTCGATTTAATTGTTGTCGGGACGGGTGTAGTAGAATCGATATTATCAGCTGCTGCCAGTCGAGTGGGTAAAAGAGTGCTGCAGATCGACGAAAATGATTATTATGGTGGACAATGGGCCTCCTTCAGTCTGGAATCTATTATAAAATCCAAACACCACAAGAAAGATTACGGCGGTAATGAATCAGAAACTAATTTATTAAGGTTCGGAAACGATTTAGTGTCTCTGAAAAACATAGCTCATAAGTTTCATATGACTTCTAATAACACCTTAGAAGAGGAAACGGATAAGATTGAAAACGAGGAACAACCAAAAGAGAATAAATGGACCGAAGAAAATTTACTAAAACTCTCCAGGAAATTCAACATAGACCTTTACCCTAAACTGCAATACGCCAGAGGAGATTTCGTGGAATTGCTAATTTCTTCAAACATTGCTCGTTACTGCGAATATCGAAGCGTAAGCCGAATTCTCATATGGTTCAATAACCGTTTGGAGTCCTTACCTTGCTCTAGATCGGACGTTTTCGCCAACACCAAAGTTAGTGTAGTTGAAAAAAGAATGCTAATGAAACTCCTCACATCTCTCAACGACAAAGAGAAGCACGTTCAGAATTACGAAAACAAAACGTTCAAAGAATTTCTAACAGATAAGAAATTGACACCTAACTTGATACATTATGTGTTGTATGGGATTTCGTCTAGTTCCGATGATACTTCTTGTGAAGATGGGATAGAGAAAGCTAGAAGATTTCTGAACAGTTTAGGACGTTTTGGAAACACTCCATTTTTGTTTTCCTTATACGGTAGTGGGGAAATTCCGCAAGCTTTCTGCAGATTAAGCGCAGTTTTCGGGGGTACGTTCGCCTTGGGACAGCAGATACAAGGGTTTTCCATCAGCGACGACAAATTTAAATCAGTAACTTTACAATCTCAAACTGTCGAAGCAGAAAAGTTGGTATTGAATATAGAAAATCTACCGGCGAGATTTATTAAATCTGATAAATTAGAATACATTTCCAGATGCATTTTGATTACTGACCGATCAGTATTGGATAGTGAAAAGGAACATTTATCATTGATATTCTATCCTCCAACGGATGGTAAATCATTCACTACGGTAATTGAGATGGGATTTCTCACAGGAACGTGCCCTAATAACTTGTACTTAGTTCACTTAATAGCCAAACAGAATACTTCACCTCAAGAAGATTTTCAACATGTAATCGATAAATTATTTGCCAGCCATGTGGAAGAAACTAGCCAAGAGAAACCTTCAATTTTATGGTCGTATTATTTTTCAATGCCTGAGACTAACGACATAATTTTAAGTGATGATTTACCTAACAATATATTTGTTTGTCCTGGCCCAGAGATCGATTTAGATTACGATACATCAGTGGATAAGGCAAAGCTATTGTTTGAAAAGATGTACCCAGATTTGGAATTTCTACCGAGGGCTCCTGATCCGGAAGAAATAATTATAGGTGATGATAATGAAGAAGAAGAAAGCACAGACATTAATGAAGAAGACCATGATAAAGTAATCAATGTAGAACAAGAAGATAAAGAAAATGTAATTAGTGCAGAACAAGAAGATAAAGTAAACGTAATTAGTGCAGAACAAGAAGATAAAGTAGACCAACAATAAGTGTATTATTTAATTGTCCTATTTTTTTATATATTTATTGAATGTTGTTTTACTTTAGATGTTTTATATAATTATTTCTAGTTGGTAAATATTTAATAAAATAAATGTTTATTATAAATGTATTTACGCTTGTGTTCTCGTAATAACGTAACACTGTTTAGAATTTTAGAAAAGAAACTATAAACTATTTGAACTCGACGCGAACCATTTATCAATAGTTAAAGTTGTCTTTTTCTTGTCATAAAAACAGTCAACAATAACTTCAGGACAGTGAAACAAACATATTTGTTGACATTTGACATATTCTTCTTTTTCGATTAAATAAAATTATAAACAATTCCCATCATAAACGTAAACCGTAAAAAGTTTTTAACCTTAATAATGCCTTTAAGCAATTAAATTAACCAGTTTAATTAAATAATAACGCACCGGAACGAATTCAACATTTTGTCGACCAAATGTCTACGTTAGAGGATAAGATTTTAGGCGAGAAATCCCAGTATTACTGCAGCAGCAGCGAGGACAGCGATCATTCGGACGATGAATCGCCCCCTAAGGGGCCTTCTCCGGGTTCAAGCGAGCCACCACCGCCTTCGGAGGTCAATAAATGGGAAGGCACGTCGACGAATACGGGCCCCAAAGGCGTGATAAAAGATTGGCAACGCTACAAGCAACTCGAAACCGAAAAGAGAGTGCAGGATGAACAGGAGAAAATCGCTTTGATGAAGAAACTCACCTTAACAGTTCGGTCTTCGTTGGACGAAGAACGCGAAAAGGCGGCTCTGGACGATCCAGAACTGGCAGATCTTCTCGACGATGAGTTTCTCATAACCTATCAGAAGCAACGAATGAAAGAGATGATCCAGAATACTAATTTGAATTTGAAGTTTGGTACGATTCATACCACTTATTCTTTATGTAAATCTCAACATCATTTCTCTATTACAGGTGATTTGATAATGTTACGATCGGGTCAAGAGTTCCTCGAAGCTATCGACGGTGAACACAAATCAGCGACAATCATTGTTCACATATACGAGGACATCGAGGCTTGCAGGAATATGAACGATTCGTTGAAAACCCTCTGCAAAATCTACACCAACGTTAAATTTTGTTGTATTAAAGGATCCGCAGTAGGAATCAGCAGCCAGTTCAAAGCAGACGGTGTACCGGCCTTGTTGGTGTATAAAGGAGGACATTTAGTCGGAAACTTCATAAGGTATTGTGTTTGAATATAAACTGTAACGTATTATTTATAATTACTTATTATTATTGCAGAATATCTGATGAGTTAGGCGCGAACTTCATTGCCGAAGACGTGCAGACTTATCTAGTCGAGCACGGATTACTCGAAGATAAAACTTGTACTCCCATTTTGGTATCGAATGCAAATCAAGACGACGACAGCGATTGAAGGCTATTGTAAACACATTAGTGTTAATGCATACAGAGTTTGTATTGATTTCTTCATGATGCAATGTGTATTTTACTTAATTTTTCATGATCATTGTATTGCTTTGTTGTATACAGATAACTGCAAAGTTTTACGCAACAGTGTCTATGGGTGCAACAAAGACAACTTGCGTTAGTGTCGTCTGAAAGAAAAAGAAAGATAATGTAGCTTAACTTGTTGCTAAGTCGCTAAATTAGCATTATGAGTCAACTCATAGAATTGAACAAAGATTATTAAAATTACAGTGGTTAGAGTGAGAAAGTTGCAATCCCACAATACTACTTTCTTTTTCTTTATATGAGATTAACAAATGTTGTCTTTGTTGCACCCATAAACCCTACTGCGTACAAGTTTGCACTTATATGTATGTTTAAAGCGCCACCACTGACTGCATCAACTCGTAGTTTAGGTTCTTAAGTACATACTTTTTGATAGAACTTTTGTCATATTTGATAGGCTTTAAAAGTATTGTCATTACTAGGCTAACGTCGGTTTTGTGAAGGTTTTTTTTTATTAAAAACGAAGAAAAAACTGCCATAAAAATATTTATTCTTGTACAAACACTTATTAGTAGATACTGTAGTATTGCTATATTTGTAAATACTTTTTGTGTACTTTTTCATATAATAATAAAGCCTTTATTAAAAGTAAGAATTAAGTTATTGTTAGCTGATTGAAGTGCTGGTTTAGTTTAGTTTTCGTTTCGATCGAGCTTTTATAGTCCTTGTACTTTTGCAGTATATCATTGTATTCTTTGCTGGACACTTGATCGTATTTCGATTTGAGTTTACTCAATTCTTCTATGTTGTCTTGGCACGTTTGTTGTTGCTCTTTCAAGTCCTCCATGAAACTGCTGTAGGCCTTCAACGAGAAATCGGTCTCGGTGAACATGTCGAGTTTGAGTTTCTTTTCCATCATTTTTTTCTTCATGCTGACAATGCTGAGACGAAGTGACATTTCCTCGGATACGGCGTCGCTTCTTTCGGGTAAGATTTTCAGGCGCACCTCGACAATCTCTTCCAACAGACTGTGGTATTTGTGAAGGAGATCGAAATGCCTTTGCTGTTCGTTTTGTAACTTTTTAAACTGCTCCGTTACGAGAGCTTCTTTTGGGTTGGTGTCTAATCGGGAAATGTTTTCAAATGTAACAGTCCAATTCGGATGGGAGGCAATTAGTTCGGTGCTTCTTTCAGTTAACTTCTGTTTCAATTTTCCTTTCAATAAATTCAATTCTGTATGAGACAAATCATAGTTTTGCTTCTCGGGGATATTTAACAATGAGAAGGCACTCGCTTGTCGTAAACATGTTGATGTGATTAAATCCTTGATTTTATATCCGTCGTTAATATTACCATCGTTAATAACATCTTCAATGAGATCTCTAATAATCGTTCGTTTTAAATATTTCTGTTGTTCCTGCTTTAGAGTTGCTAATAGACTTTTCAGCTCTTCTTCTTCATTACACTTTGCTATTGAATTTTCTACATAAGCACTCATTTCGCGTGAAAACAAGTGAAAATATTTTTCTACTATTTGTTGATTTCAAAAACAAAAAGCCAGTAAAAAATTGTTGTCATTGACATTGACATTGACAATATTGACAGTTCATCTTTTTACAGAAATGTGGTCTCGTATACTTGGTGTATTCGCTTATATTAACTTTGCGGTTTCTTACAAGTAGAAGACTTATTTTAGGGAATTGATCCCCGATAATATATGGATATATAAAATGGATATAAAAAATATATAAAAGGCTTATGGGGTTATATAAAAAGGCTCGAATGTGCCTAAATTAGAGATAAATAAGAAATGATGATTTAAAAATTTTAAAAATAGTTGCAATTAGTTAACCATTTATAATTTTTATTACTGTAAATTAAATTGTTATTACCTCACAATATAATAACAGCACTTAGGAATTTAAGTGATTTCCATAAGGAAAATATGTAGATTACGATTTTCATTACTCACGAAAAACATGTACCTGTATCGGTGCATTAAATTAAAACAGGAAAACACATTTTTATGTAATTAATTTTTTTTGTATTTTCAATCTACGGAATTTCCAATAATCGAAAATTTTCAAGAAAATTAGTAATATTTTTATGAAATTTGAATGTAAATGTATCGATGTAAATCGATATAAACTACATAGTTATATTGAATGCAATACTAATACTAACAATACTAATACTACGTTATTCTTTAATGTTTGTTAATACATAATATTCTTGAATATTTCGAAAATGGTACACAGTATCGAGTTTTATCAGGAGTACCTTTTTGGTGTAAAATTGATTGGTCTTTAAGATCGGTCTTTAAGATTGCCAATAGTTTTTGAGACAATCGTAAAAATGTTTAAAAATTTTTTTCAACACTCTGTATCTTGAAAAGGGATGCCGTTACCAAATTTTTTTACTGAGAAACTTATTACTGAGCAACTCCCCACTTATTTTGTAATGTTCTACCTACCCTAGAAAGGAGGAATCTTTTTTTATACACTCTGTATAAGCCAACAAACGACAAATAAATCCAAACCGAAAAAATATTAATTTCATTTGGTTCCTAATATGTTTTTTTACAAATGTTTGAAATATTTGACTGTAATGGTGGCGTGATTTTTGAATTAATCGTGAAATACTGCACCAGTATCCAATTTATATAAAGCGAAAATTCAACCGCTTTAACATCAGTCACTCAGGCGAATTCGATAATGTTGCCTCTTCACCTAGGTTTATTTGGTTACCTCTTGTGGTCTCTCCATGGAGCCCATAGTTTCGAACCAGCAGGCTATTCCTTAGAAACCAGGTAAGTGCATTTTAATACCCACAACACTCTACTAGATTCTAGTTTTTTCAAACATCCAGATACATAGAAGTCCCATTGGATCATCTTGAATGGACCGACAAAGTAAAAACCTTTAACATCAAGTACCTCATTTCGCACGTCTACCACGTCCCAGGCGGCCCCATTTTCGTCTACATCGGCGGCAAAGGCAACATTGAAAATTACGCTCAAAACTCCGGCTTTATATTCGACATAGCCAAATCCTTCGGCGCCCTCATCGTTTTCATCGAACATCGCTACTACGGGGAATCCCTGCCGTTCGGCAACGATTCCTTCAGACCGGAATATATCAGGTTAGAATTGACATTGTTATATGTATTTTCATTGTAACTTTTTGTGAGTAATTCTCCCAAAGAATCTAATAATCAGTTTAACGTTTAAGCTCTTTAACACTTGATTGAATCAACTATTACTTAGGATATTTTGTATCCCCTCGATGTCTCTTACATTATAGACATAATTATTATATTCTGCAGATTTCTAACAACTCCCAACGCTCTATCGGACTTCGTCTTCGTCATCGATCACCTGAAGAAGGAGATGTACGAGAACGTGGTGGCCTTAGACACGTACCCCATAGTGGCCTTCGGGGGTGGATACGGGGGCGCTTTGGCCGCCTGGCTTCGCATGAAGTACCCATTCTCAGTCATCGGCGCCATCGCCTCATCGGTGCCCATCGAGTACTCCTCATCGGTCTCGAGTTGCGAATGCTTCTACGACGTGGTGACCAAGACTTTCGAGAGGTACGGACGCGACCAGTGCGTGAAAACCATCAGGCTCGGTTGGGATGTTGTCATCAATTTGTCAAAGAGCAAAATGGGTGAGTATTTGCGAGCGCATCCGCGAGTTGCTGTAGAGAACTCATATAATTCGCTTGAAGGAATGGACTTTTTATCAACCAAATGGAAACTCTGCCAACGGTTGACCACAGCGGAGGACGTGGAGAAGCTGCTGGGCTGGATGGCTACGATCTACGTCAAGCTATCGTTGAACAACTACCACTACCCGACGAATTTCTTCACGTCCCTGCCGGCGTACCCCGTCAAAGTGTTCTGCGACAAGCTGACCACCTCGTTTTTCAACGACACCAAAGGCTTGGTGGAGTACTTCGGGCAAGCGCTGGAAGTGTACACCAATTACTCGGGCAAGCTGGCGTGCAACGAGTTCGAGGACACCACGGATTACGTGTACAACTACCAGCTGTGCACGGAGCTCATCATGCCCAAGTGCTCCGTCGATTCGGACATGTTCATCAACAGTCCGTGGAATTACGAACAATTCGCGGCCGATTGCAAGAAGAAGTACGGCGTGAGTAACGGCAACCCCGATTGGATTTTGCTGGGTTACGGCGGTAAAAATGTGAAGTACTTTTCGAATATTGTGCTGAGCAGCGGGCAAATGGATCCGTACTCTTGCTACGGCGCCAAAACGAACGTTTCTTCGAGCATTTGGGCGTTTGATATCGCCGACGGACCTCACCACATTGACCTGAGGAACTCCGATGTTTCGGATAATAATTACATCATAAATGCTAGAAGAAACCACGTTAGCGCCATCAAATCATGGCTTAATATTGCTTGAGTTCTCTCATATTTATTAAATTGCCGATTAGTTATTTGATGCAGTAAAATCAATTGTATATTATGCAGATTTACCAATAAATAATATTATTTGACATCTACCAACATCGATTGTTTTTATCCTTATACAGAAAACCTACAAAAAAATAGTTTTTATGCCTATGAATGTGGAAGTACGCATTTTAAATTTTTGCATTAGTATCTCGTTGATTAGCATTAAACATTAAATATTTAATAGCTTTAGTTCCTCTTCCTTCAAAATTGCCTGACGAACTCTATAGGGATAATAGTATATACAAAGTAACTCTTTTCCTATTTTCGATAACTCACAAAATAACATGATAGTTTGAATATCTGTTTTATTACCAATTCATTATTAAAAGCGATTAGGTCAATTGTGTATGGAAGAATGAGGCATTCGATAACGATTATTATTGTAGATTATAGTTAACATTAATCGACTTCTCGTGCATTTCCAATCAGGTGACATGCATTTTATATGACGAAAAAAACGTTATAAAAGAAGGAAAACCTTTGGACGAGGCTTAGATTAAAAAATGGATCTAACAATTCACCGTTTTTGTGTCGTTTTTCTTATATATTTAGAGCTAAAAGGAACCAACTGCGAACAGCGGTTTTCCTTTGAGACAAGGTACGTGTTATTTAATTCGATTTTGAAATTGTTTAATTTCATTAATAACTTTGCTTGTTCGAGTGATTTGCGCCAAGGGTGATGCAATTTAGATTACTTTCGGTTTTAGTACCATCAATAAATTCTTATACCAGAGTCCACTGGGCTAAAATGAAGTAGATATCCGCGGAATTAGTAATTTAATTCATTTGACTCATTTCGCGTCGGTTTCCTTCATTCCAGATTCGCAGAAGTACCGGTAACCCATTTCGAATGGCAAAAGGAAGTCCGCACCTTCAAACTCAAGTATTTGATAAACACCAAGCACTACGTCAGAGGCGGCCCCTTTTTCATCTACTTGGGCGGCAGGGGCGACATTGACGTGTACTCCCAAAACACCGGCTTCCTCTTCGAAGTAGCCGCCACCTTTAAGGGTCTCTTGGTGTTCATCGAACACCGGTACTACGGCCGATCTCTCCCTTTCTCCAACGAATCGATGACCTTGGAAAACTTAAGGTGAGTGTGTATATAGAGGCAGTTCGTATGCATTTATTGATAATTCCGCAGGTACATGACAACTTCGGAAGCTCTAGGAGATTTCGTATCGATCATCGACCTGCTGAAGAGAGAAACCTTCGAGAATACGGCGTCGATCGACAACCACCCTGTTATAGTGTTCGGGGGCGGCTACAGCGGCGCCTTGGCGGCTTGGATGCGCATGAAGTACCCTTTCCTCGTGCTGGGAGCCATAGCATCGTCGGCGCCCATGATATACGGCTCTTCGGTGAAGAATTGCGAATGCTTCTACGACGTGGTGACCAAGATGTTCGAGAAGTACGGGCACGAGCAGTGCGTGAAGACCATCAAGCTCGGTTGGGAAGTTCTCATTAATTTGTCGAGGAGCAAAATAGGTACATAACGAGCTACTGGCATTAATAAGGTTTAGCATTGCGTTATTTCAGTATAGGTTTGGACTTCATTTCGTCTACTTGGAGGCTCTGCAAGCGATTGTCGTCGACCGAAGACCTCGAAATGCTGCTGGAATGGCTGGGCGAAATCCTCGTGAAACTAGCGTTGAACAATTACCATTATCCCAGTAATTTCTTCACGCCGCTGCCGGCCTATCCGCTCAAAGTGTTCTGCGAAAAACTGACCACTTCGTTTTTCAACGACACCAAAAGCCTGGTGCAGTACTTCGGGCAAGCGTTGCAGGTGTACACCAATTACTCGGGACGGGTGTCGTGCAACGAATTCGAGGATCAATCGGATTATCTCTACAATTACCAAAAGTGCGTGGAGCTGATAATGCCCAAATGCTCCATCGATTCGGACATGTTCATCCACAGGCCGTGGATTTACGAGAAATTCGCGCTGGAGTGCAAAAACCGGTACGGCATCTTCAACAACGACGCCGATTGGATCAATCGTGCGTACGGGGGTAGTAGCTTGAAGTACGCCTCTAATATAGTCTTCAGTCACGGGGAATTGGATCCTTATTCTTGTTATGGAATCCGCAGTAATGTTTCTTCCACGGTGAGAGCGGTCGACATCACCGAAGGCTCCCATCACGTGGATTTGAGGAACCCCGACGTGTCTGATAACAATTACATCACAGATGTCAGGAAGAGTCATATACAAACCATCAAAGCGTGGTTGAGCAAGATTTAATTAGATTTATGATTGATTTAATAATTATTTTATATACTCTTCAAGTGCTGTCTTCTATGAAAAATACCGGCAAAATGTTTGTCATGTTTTTCAATTTGATATACTGAACAAAATCTTTATTATCTTATATACTATGTAAAATAAATATTGAGAATGAACCTTTTGATGCGCATTGTTCTTCTGGAGTTTTTTAGATATACAAATTACTTCATTAATTTTTAACAATTACCATGTTATTAACGATTTTTTTTTTGTATGACGAATTATACTTACTCTTATTCTTACATTGTGCAAAAATAAATATTTAATCATCTTTAGCCTTCTTTAAATTTTTTTCCTCTAAATGATAATGTAATTGATTGGAATATAAGTAGGACGAAAATATTCGCAACAATAATAGTCACACAAAAAAATTAAAAAAATATTATTGATTCTTACAATACATTCAAATAATGAAATCCACATATTCAAGTTATTATAGGAAAACAGGGAAATATTATTGCAATCAATCCAAAAATACTATTTACAATTTTTATACCAAAGGAACCCAATTATACAAAAAAATAAACAAGCACTAATATTAATTCCTTGGGATAATTTAGTTTATTAAACTATAAACGACTATTGAGCAAATGTATTTAAGTTCAGAATAGTTACTCTATTTGTATTACCTCATCAAATTCCTCTTCAATCCGAGAGGAGTTGAAAAAATATCAAATGAAATTTATCTATGAACAAATTCGATCAAAATGCAGCAAATAAAATTTCTTACATACCTAAGCCTAATTGTTAAAATCAAAAAATTAAATATTAGTCATCGATGAAGCGATAACATCCAAATTCAACGCCGCCAATTCGAAATATGTAGAAGAAAAGAGATATTTTCGTTACATAATATCTAAAATTTAAGGAATTCTTTTTTTCGAAAACGAAATCGCTATAAATGAATTCGAGTAATACTTCAAGTATAATTCGAGCAACTATTGTCATTCGATTTCATATACTCGTAGTTACACTAGTAAAAGTTGAGTCATGCGCTGGGTTCTCTACTCTACCGCCATATTTTCATTACTGTTACAAGAAGTTACGCCTCAAGGACAGTATGATGTGGAAACTCGGTAGGTAATTTTAAAAATTATATTTGGTGGTCTATCCTGTAGATAGAATGGTGAATAAACTTCCAATTTTTGGTTTAGTTACATCAACGTTCCAATAACGCACTTTCAATGGCAGTACCAGCAAAATACTTTCAAACTAAGGTATCTGATCAACACCAGGTATTATGTAAGAGGAGGACCGATGTTCGCTTATCTCGGCAACAGCGGGGACATTAACGTATTCGCCCAAAACAGCGGCTACCTATTCCAACTAGCCAAACATTTCAGCGCACTTTTGGTCTTCATCGAGCACAGATATTATGGAAAATCCACTCCGTTCACCAACCAGTCCCTATTGGAAGAAAACTTAAAGTGAGAACCGTTTATCAAATTACCAACAGTACATCAATCAAGTATAATTTTCAGATTCCTAACAACAAGGGAAGTACTGAGAGACTTCGTGGACGTGATCGAAATGTTAAAGAGTACCTACTTACAGGATGTCCCTGTGACGGAGACGCCGCCCATCATCGTCTTCGGGGACAGTTTCGGCGGCTCCCTTGCCGCTTGGATGCGATTGAAGTACCCCCATTTGGTGTTGGGGGCCATCGTTTCTTCGGCTCCCGTGAAATTATCGCCGCTCGTCAATAACTGCGAGTGCTTCTACGATGTCGTCACCAAAAATTTCGAAAAATCCGGCGGCGAGCAGTGCGTGAAATTCATCAAGCTGAGTTGGGACGTGGTGATCAATATAACCAAAAGCAAATCGGGTAAATTTCTTAACAACTTACCTACCTTATACCATAAATTCTAATCATTTTTTTAAGGTATGGACTTTCTCTCGTTGAAGTGGAAGCTCTGCCACCGGCTTAGAACCGCCGAAGACATCGCTAAGCTGCTGGATTGGCTGGCCAAAATCTACGTCAGATTAGCATTGAACAACTACAAATACCCCAGCGACTTCTTCGTAAATCTGCCGTCTTATCCGATCAAAGTCTTCTGCCAGAAATTGACGACATCCAAAATCGACGACCCGCAGGCGCTCGTGCAGCATTTCTCGCGAGCTTTAGAAACCTACACTAATTACACGGGAACCAAGCCGTGCAACGTACTCGACGACTTGACGGATTACATCTACAACTACCAGCAGTGCGCCGAGCTGGTGATGCCCAAATGCTCTGTCGATTCGGACATGTTCATGAACAAGCCGTGGAGTTTCGCGAACTTCTCCCAAGATTGTGAGAGAGTGTACGGCATAAGCAACACCAATAATAAGTGGATTTTATCGGAGTACGGCAATGTGTTCAACTACACATCAAACATCGTCTTCAGCCAGGCGAAATTGGATCCTTACAGATGTTACGGCGTAAATGGCGTCACGACGTCCGCCATTTGGGCGTTTGATATCGTCGATGGTATACACCGCACTGAGTTCAAAGCACCGGATATGGTGGATGATAATTATATCATTACCGCTAGGAATAATTTGGTTAAAGCTATATATCTTTGGTTGAAGTAGCGATTTTTAAGATAGATTTCTGTACAGGTCATGATTTTTGTTGAAGCTTTTTCTTTTGGTTATTACTCAAAAAATAAATTTATCTTTTGTTGAAATTTGGGATAAAATCACCTTTCTTTATTCCTCATTAGAAACTTCTTGGGTGAAACTTTGAGAAGCAAATTATACATACATATACAGCAATTAATTAGGCCACATAGGTTTTATTGCAAAAACAATCTCAGTTCATCATTACTCTGTACTCAACTTGGTCTTGGATCATTCGCAAAAAGACCTTGTACTTTTTCTCGTGAAACTCGGCGACCTGCTCCAAAGGGGCGACGATGACGCCCGTCCCGCCCATGTTCTCCACAGTGGTGACTAAATCCGGGTAAAAACCGCTCGCTTTGGCGCCCAACATGGCCGCCCCCAACAACACACTCTCCGCCTGTTGGGGCACCAGCACCGACATTTGGCAGGCATCGGCCAATGTTTTCGTATACAATTTATTCCTGCCCAGATCGCCGTAAATCAGGAGAGTCTTCAGTTGATAGCCGTGGGTTTTCATGCGAGTTATAATTTGCTTGGTACCGTACTGAAATTTAAACAACAGATGTTGTTGTACATCTGACTAGTACCTACTGATAATTATACTTACAGCGAGTGCCTGGATGGTTGCAAGATAAAGCAACGCTAGGTTTTTAACGTCTTTTTCTAAAATTAGCCCGCTTATCTAGAATAAAATTCGGATAGACATATATTTTGTGAATTTTTAACAAAAACCCTACCATTCCTTTTAGAGATGTTTCGTTAATGGACAATTTGTTATCCTGGAAATCGGGTGACATATGTATATTCGTGGTGAGATAACACACATCGTTTTCGTTACTAATCTTATTTAGTACGGTGTTTAGATAGCTTGTAACGTTGCTGAAATAAAAACAAAATAAAAATAGCCTTTTGATGATTAAGTTGGGTGTAAAATGGGTTACTTTTTGCTGACTTTTTTCACCAGAAACTGCATAGCGGGATGGGTGTCTAATATCTTGTTCAATAAGCGACCGGTCGCCGCTTGTCCACCTTCGTTCACCCACAAGCCGGGGAAGATCGCGTGTCTAAAGGGGCCCCAGACGTTGGGGATGACGATCGGATCCACGGATAATGTAATGTGACTGGTTGAGGTACCAGAAACTAACGCTAAACATTCGACAATTAACTACTTATCTTTAAACTCAAGCTATTCTCCTCTACGTACCAACTCTAGTATCGAAATCTGGATCGATTCCTTTAGCTGTGCATCCAATCAACCCCAAAGCGCCTGCGTAGGTGTCCAAAATGGAGGTGCCCACTTTGGTTTCGGCATTCAAACCCAATTCTTTAGTAACTTTATCGGATAAATCGCATTTGCATCCGCACCCCGGCACCATGATGTTGGCGCCGATCTTCCGCCAATTATCCTGCGCCAAATCAGCCAAACCGATCCGCTCGAAAAAGGATTTGTCCCAGCCTTCGGTGCCGTTCACCCTCGAACCGTCCAGTTTCACGTTGAAATTCCATTTTCGTACCAACGAACACACCGACCTGGAACCCCCAAACGATCGAATCGAATCAAACGATTAGAATTCATTACCTGGAATCCACTCCGGTAGCTCTCCAGGTCAAAAAGTCCGGCAAATCAAAGAAATACCCGGCCTTCTCCCAGCAATTCGTCCGCAGGTACTTCTTCAGCCACATCAACTTGGGCAACTGGTGCTCGGCGGTGATGGCGCCGCCCATCAGCTTCAACGTCGGATGATCGATTCGATTCAACTCGTTGGCTTCTTCTGAAGCCCGTTGGTCTACCCACAGTATCACGTTTTGTTTGTTGTGGCCCGAAGGGCTCACGCTCAAGGGTTGGCCGGTTTGATCCAGGCACACCAACGAGCAATTCGCGTCGAATCCCACGCCTTTCACCATGCTTGGATCGACTTGAGAGGTGATGTTCTAAAGGAAAAATTGACTAAGTATTCGAATTCAAAGTCAGAGGAGGATTGGTATACACCTTAATGCAAACGATGACGGCGTTCCATATATCTTCGGATGATTGCTCGAAGAATCCCGAAAGGACGTTCCAGGTTTTGATGTTGTGCGAATGGATTTTCAGTATATTGCCGTTTGTTGTGACTAAGGCGGCTCGAGCGCTGCTTATTCCCACATCAACGCCTAAGCAAACATATGCAGATACTATTATCATCTTCTGTCTCCATTCTCCATCTACTTACCAATGAAAAATCCTGCCTCTTGATCACCGTTTATTTCAGAAAGCCGTTTAAAAATGTTCTCATTTACAGGCGCCGAGATAGTATCCCCAGTCGATTCCAAATTCTCTCGACGTCTGCTGCTATCTTGGTTGAGCGTACTAGTTTCTTCGTTCGAAGGCGGTTCGTTAACTTTCCGTATGTCTTGGTCGAGGTTAATGATGTTCATTAATTCTCTATTGATCGTTTTTTCTTGACTCGTTTGGTTTCTCATCCTCTGCCTGGAGGCGGAATCTTGAAGGGAGGCATTCAAGGACCATTGGGTGTGCTTGGAGGCCGCCCGAGTCATGTCACGATCTTCGTTTTTGGAGTTATTGAACGATTGATTCGAAACATGAGATGGCTGGAGGTTGTTCGGGTTCGAGGCCAAATGAAATGAAGAAACGTCATATTCCGGTTTGGATCCTTCTTCGTCGGCCAAACTGTTCCTCGTCTTTACAAAGAAATAGGTACTTTACTAATTAGGTAAATTTTATTAGATGCTCGATGGAAAAAAATAAATAGGAAACATATTTGCAAAGAACCTCTTCTCCTTAAATATCGCCTAAACTTAGAACATTGACATTTTACTGCTTAAACAAAGCTAATAGAATGCATAAAACGGTTAGAACCTGCGCGACTTTCGGCGGATTCTCCTGCGGCGTCTCGTCAATGATATCCGGTTTGCTCGGCGCCTTCGCCAGATTGGACTCTCCCCCATAGTCCACCACCGCCTTCAGCTCGCTGTGCTTCGACTGATTCACGGAAGCCAAGCTCTTGAACGTCGACGATTTGTTTTGGACAAACCGACTGGCGATCGGTTGCAACGAGGACGACATGGAGGATCCTTCTAAATGTAGCAAAAAATAATTTAAGAGATACCTACTAACTAATACATTCTTCTAATCCAACTGTTCTAAGGAGATCCGTAGGATTGGAGTTATTAGGTAGGCAAAAATGGCACTACTAATTCATCCAATAATGAATTTAGAGGGTTTTCTAATCCCAAGTATTGTTCCATGGAAATGTGTAGGATTAAAAGTTCTTAATTTGGATTAGTAGATACGCAATAAACACTACTAACGCGTCCAATAACTCAACAGATTGATTTGAAAATGCAGTTAAAGTTAGAAGAGAAAAATGTATGTTACCTTTAGATAGTTTGGAACCGGATGTGACGTAATCTAGCTTTTTAGTACTATTTTTAGGAGTCGGTTTGCTGCTTCTCCTCTGGATACCTAAAAGAGAACGACCAATTAGTACGATAAGCCAAAGAAGAAACTTTTATGCAGCCTCGTTTATTTGGTATTATCTACGTGCTTCATCAATATTTACGATTTTCCAATCATTTCCAATCAATTCCAATCTTTTTCAATCATTAGAAAATTGACAAAGGGTTTTTGTGTTGGAAATAGAAGATGAAGTTTCCATCAGAAGACTTAAGTACTTCTTAGGTAATATTTCCAAATTTGCCATTCATAGCACCAACACCAACAATTCAATAGATGAAGCAAAATTTATGATTAACGAAGATAGACAGGAAGGAGTGTGATGGATTTGTTGTATGAGATGGTCCTGTGGTGCATTATTACATACTTGACAAGGAAACTTTGGGTTGCCTCGGGAAATTAGCGGACGAGGTCTTCTTCTGTTGCTCGAACAGAGTTCTGTAATCGGTCGAGGGCTTGTAGTTGGGTGGTGTTTTCTTGCCTCGCGGAGATAATGTTTTGGGCCTCGTGGCTGGTATGGCGGAGGGGCCGGGAGTAACCGTGCGCCGATTAGTCACAGGCATATGATTGTTCACGTAGAAGCTTTTCTGGTCTATTACGGGGTTAGATTTGTACAGCCAATGTTTGATCCATAGCTGTTTGTCCTTGAGCGACGAGTCCTTGGGTAATTTGTGCTGTTGTTCGGGGTTCTTTGGAGGCGCTACGCTCTTTTTTGTCTGTTGCTTAGAGGTTCTGCTAGTACTACTCATTGGAATGTCGTTGCGGATTGTTTTTTAACGTGCGCCCATTTATTTTGTGAGTTTTTGTTGCGTTTGGAATTGAATGATGACTTGAATTTTATTTCATGTTTGACATTTTTTTGCTTGACGGTTTTGACAAAGCCAAGGTATCGTAATCCAGCCATCTTGTATTCACCAATTTCCTTGGTAACGTAGAAATGTTGGTACTCTTTTCTTTGATACTTATTCTAATTTTACAAAATTCAAAAACGAACCCATTTTATTTCATTTTCATTTTAGACAGACCATCTTAAATTAAAGTGTAATAGGTAGGAATATGATTATGTTTAACTTACCAAGAGTAATATAAAATGTAAGTTTTACTTACATTTATAAAGAATTATTTCAAAGTTCCACTAACAAAAATAATTAAAACATGACAACATCAACGTCAAAATTTTTAAAACTAAAGTGAAGAGCACCGAATACAGAACATAGATACATAGATAACCTTCATAGAACACAGATACCATACATAGATAGATACCTTCTGTGTTCTGTGCTAAAGAGTAATAAAAGAATTACCCCAAAACCAGATTGAAAAATAAAAATTATCAAAGAAAATAAAATAATAATTTTATTCTGTAGTATATGAGTATGAGCAGAAAGGTCAATTCTATGAGTTCAACAAAGCAAGATTATTAAAATAACAGTGGTTGGAGCGAGAAAGTTGAAATTCGGGAAATCCCACAATATCACTTCTTTTTTTTCCTTTCTATTCACTAAAATTTATATCTCACAACCTTCTATATAAGTAAAAGGCACCCAATACAAAAATGAAAGAATCATTTTAATCACTAAAATGAAATGCCAACAGTTCGTATCCTAGCAACGTACTTTCAATACAATCAATAAAATATCTACGAAATACTGGATAAAATAAAATGCAAAGATCTTTCTCTGTAATAGATGTAAGTATATTTCTAAACTAAAACCAATTATACGCAATTTTTTTAAAGGATGACGATGATGATGGCGATGAGGTTTTCCTACCTGAAGGGAATCCCAAGGAAACAGCCACAAAATCTTACAAAACCAACAGTGAGTCCGACTTATCGTTCTCCGAACAGAGCAGTATAAGTCCCAAACGTATCGAAAAAGAGGTTAAAGAACAAGTAAGTAAAGAGAAAAAGTATTTACCAAACGGTTTTTAAATACCGCAATCTATGTGTTCAAGATAGCATTGTTATTTGCAAGTAACTCGTCAAGTGTAGGAAAGTGTTTTTAGTAACCTAAAAATAGTTGGTAACAATGATAAAATGCCGGTCGAATGCGGTATTTAACCGGCAACTTTAGGAGTTTTTGTACAAACGCACAATTGCGGGGATTAAACGAATTGATTTTGATCAACGAATATATTTTTGTCCAACAGAGTTCCTATTCGGAGGAGGAGAAAATCCTTGTGGACGATCGAATCCCCTCTCCCGGCAGTTACAAACGCGATAATGCCAAAGAAAAGTGCCTATTACGAAGCAGGATCATGAAAAGCCATTACTTTAGCGACAGCAATGATAGCGAAATAGAGGATGAAATTAATGTAAATTTACCATCATTTCTATTCATATCATTTCTGTCGACGGGCGATTATTTTTTGAGAAGTTGGTCACAACGTCAAAAAGTCCAGTTCTGCCAACGTAATTTTAGCATTCGCGGCCAACTTCTCAAAAGAGTCCGGATGGGACAGGTCCAATCTCATCAAATCTTTTACTAGACTCGACGGGGAAACTATTCCAGCAAATCGAATTATATTACCGAGCAGGAACCGCCGGAACCGCCGCCCCCGAAGGAATTGCTTTTGAGCGACGTGACGGTACCGCCACTAATATTCACCTACAGCGACGAAGACGATTGCGATTACCCCGAACAAGTAAATTCACCCTTAAAGCGATTCAATTTAATCCTCGTACGGTGTTCATTCTTTCGATATAATTTCCACTAATTATCTCTACAGAGCCCGACGGCGGAGGTACCAACAAATTTGTCAGGCAGACAAACGGCCGTGTTGAAGAGGCGCACCCTCAACGAACCCAAAATGGAGCATTTGATGAGCGACAGCGACGACAGCTACAACGAGACGAAGGCCGGGGATTTACCCGGCGAATACAACCCCAAGGATTTCGAACAACTGGAAGTCGACGATGAAGTCAAGGATTTGTTTCAATTCATATCCAGGCAAGTACTACTACTTGGATAACCAAAGAATTGTTCCTTTTTAATGGTAACATCGCTGTACTTAATATCCTTTACAGGTACACCCCTCAACAAATCAATTTAACCCACAAATTCAAGCCCTTCGTTCCGGAGTACCTGCCCGCCGTGGGGGACATCGACGCGTTCCTGAAGGTGTACCCGCCGGAGAGTACCGTCGACGACGAGAAACGTACCGAGTCGTTCGAGCATCTGGGGCTGACCGTGCTGGACGAGCCGGCCAGCAATCAGAGCGATCCCGCCGTGCTGTATTTGCGGCTCAGAGCCGCTTCGGGGAATCCCCGGCGGAAGGACGACGAGAACGCGGTGGTGAAGAAAATCGACGATGTCGAGAAGAACGCGAAAACGATCGAAAAGTGGATAAAGGATATATCCGATTTGCACAAGAGCAAGTCGTCGGTCGCGATGAGATTTACCGAGTAAGTATTGGAATAGATCCGCCATTTTGAGCGAGTGATGTTCTGTCATAATGTATCGAAATGGTGGATTGAGAATAGTGGATGACTAATTGGGATTGTTTGTTAGGCCGATGCCGGATTTGGATGATTTGATGCAAGAGTGGCCGGAAGCCGTTGAAAATGAATTAAAGGAGAAGGGGTTCCCCAAGCCGGACGGGGTGCCATTGGAACAATACGTTAGCGTTGTGTGTAATTTGTTTCAAATACCGCAAGCTAAGAAGAAAATTCAGTCGGTATATTTGCTTTTTTGTCTTTACGCTGCTATTAAGCAAACACAATTGTACAAAGCGTCATCTTCGTCCATTGACGATGGAAGGGCACAAGTCCCCATGTCCAAAAACCAAACAGATCAGCTCGTTTTGGAATAAGATAATCTTGCAATAGTAGACATTATCAGGGAATATGCTATTATAATTTTATTAGATTTTTTCGTAATTTTTATTCAACAATAAAATAAAAAATAACCTATAATTTTTACATGCATTTAATTTTAGTTGAATGTTACTTTTGAATTGACAAAAGTCAAATAATATTCCGGAAAAAACATTACGAATTGCTTGTTACGAGGGAATTTAGCAAATATTTACTCACCTTGAGGAATATTCTTAAGAAAACATTTAAAATATAAAAATTTAAATTATAAAACAATTCATTTATTTATATATAAGTACATGGTACATGCAATACCAATAAAAATATATGTAAAACATTGAACTATAAAATTACAATTGTATTCTCCTTTAACTTTAAATTACTCCTTACAAACTATAGTGACAGATTTTCATTAGAATTGATGTAAAAATGTAGAAACTTTATTAAGTGAACAATTAGTACCTATCAGCAGCCATAAAAAAAGTTCATCTAATCATCACTTAAATGTAAAAAATAAAAAAATTATGAGTTCTTCCACATTTGATAAAAAATTTCAAAAAAATCTACCTATTCAAGTTGTTTATAAATCTCCCTAACTCTCCGACAAAAAAAGTTTATTTTACGAGCAAGCCATCCCAAATAAAAACTAATTGATCACTTTCAATTCGTTCCTAAGGATCTTCCCGCTCGGATTTCTGGGTATCGAATCGATAAATTTAACGCCTCCCACCAGTTTCTTGTAATGCGTTACTTTTCCGTTTACCCAACGTTGAATCTCCTCTTCGTTGATATTAATTCCCGGTTTACGTACCACGTAAGCTTTAGGCACTTCCCCGGCTAAAGTGTCCGGCACCCCAACTACAGCCACGTCCAATATTCCTTCTATTTCCATGATCAAATTTTCCAATTCGGTCGGCGATACCTATAAATAGAAATTAATGAACTCGATTAGAATTATCGTAAATTTAAATTATGATTAGGAATTATCAGTTTGTATTGGGTAAATTGTAAATAAGATATTACGGATTTCTTTCTGTATTTAGTCGAGTGTATTTAGTGATTTTCATATTGGTTGGTTGGTACAACTGACGTTTGTGAAATTGACATTGACTTTGACATATGACACCGATAAGACAACAATCGCTAACATATACGACCTTTGTTTTCAATTAGATCGGTCGATTTAGGTTTTGTGTACTAGTTTTAAACGATTAATTATGGAAAATCCCGAGGAAATATTTCACAGTCTACAAGAATTCTCCAAAATGAAGCCGAAAGACATTCCGCGCGAACTAGAAGAATACCTTTGTTTTGTCGCCAAAACGGGCAACACAGTGTACCAATGGGCAACAATAAAGAGCCTTTTTCGCGAAAAACTCATCAATGTGATCACGGAGTTTTACGAATCCTGCTCTTCCATGGACATACCGCCTTGTCCCAACGTAGAAATGTTCAATTACGACATGATGAAGAATTTCATACTAGAAAAATTAGACACGTTCGCCGCGGCCCCTTTCACCGTGCAAAGGATCTGCGAATTACTAACGACGCCTCGAAAGGAGTACAATCGAATAGACAAATACATGCGGGCGTTGGAGAAGAACATTCTAGTGGTCAGCACGACCGAACCGGGCAGGAGATCAACCGAGAACGGTGACGGTATTTTGAACGGCGTGGAATCCGAACATCTGCCCGAAACCAGCAACTCTAGTCACGACATAAACATAGAAGATATGGACGAAAGCGCTTCGAATTGGGTCAGGCACGAACCGGACCAAACCGCACCAGTTTTATATAAAAGTTTAGAAAACGAAGAACAGGCCAAGAATGATGTGGAGCCCGAGGCTTCGTCGAAAACCGAACAAGAATCCAAACAAGGTTAGTAAACCCAATTAATCTACTATTAATAAAACTAATCAAAGTAAATATTTTAGAAATACCAGAAGTACCGGAAGTAGCATCTAACAGTAGCGAAGAAGAGATAAAACCACAACCACAAGAGACCGTTATTACATGCACTAACGTGGAAGAAACGATAGAAACCTTCGTAGCCGTTGATACTCGAGAATCAAACTATCAAAATCTATCGGAAGAAAGCAGCAGCAATAGCAGCGATTCCTCCAGCTCAGCATCTACCTCAGATTCGAAAGAGAACACAGAAGATAAAGAACCAGTCGAAACATCTCGGCCGGTAATCAAACCCACCGTTGTACGTCCATCACATCTAATCACCTCATCGTTATTACAATCTGTCAATTTTCAGGCTAAAGAAGAGGAACAGATCGAAACAGTGGAAGAAACACCTTTAGTTACCGTAGACGATAAGCAACTGCCCGAAGAGCCGGTGCTGGAAATCCAACGGGAAATCGTCGAGGAAATTCTGGGGAACTCGTCAGATACCTTAAACGTATCGGAAGTGATAGCCGAGGTGAGTTCAGAAGCCGAGGAAAAAGCTGATGAGAAACTCGACGAGGAATCCAATACAGCCGAAACGCCGGTTATCGAAAGTGAAGTTCTACCGTCGCGGAAAGAAGAAGAAGAAGTAACCAAATGCGGAATTGTAGCGGATAGTTTGGAAGTAGAAAGCGAGAAGATATTAGTTAAAGAGAAATCGGAGGAAGAAGTAGATCGACCTAAAGACGTTGTTAAAGACGAGGAGGAAGTTAAATTGCCAGAAACTACTGTACCTATGGAAGTGGAGGTGCAAGATGCAGATGAAAAGAAAGTCAAACCCGAAGAGTCGAGTTCGGCCGAAGAAACATTCGCCAAATTGATGTGTACGTATTATTCGAGGGATGGTTTTAGCGAATAGAATTTTTTTTGTACATTGATTTTTTACAGTACTCGTATCTAAAAGTAATTGATGCTTGTTTATGTTGAATTTATGTTAGTAATAATCAATGTACGGAAAAAAACGTGCGTTTAATTAAATTGAATTCTCGAGATTGTGATGATTGTCCGAAAATTCAACAATTTACTGTGCGAGGTAAAGATTACGGTGATCTCTTATTGTATTTTTAATTTCCAACTTCGCATTTTCGCAAACTTGAATTTCGTCGATTAAGTATTTTCTTTTCTATTAGTCTTAAGTTCCTGTATGTTGCAAGATACGTGCAAATGTTCGTTTTTATTTAGATCAAACTTTCTTTAGCAGTAACTGTATCAACCAACAAATTTCATCTAAGGTCATTAGAACATAACTTATTATTGATAACGCGTTTAATTAATTTTATTTGTATTCAGGTGCACTTCTAGAAATACATGATTTTATTAATACAAGAATAGTTTTATTTCGTTTACTGCGCACCGAGGGAAACAGAGCCCAAGCATCCGTGGTGCACTAAGAAAACTTACTGGTTCTCACCTTACAGAAGAAATTAAACACCTTGTTTGGGTAAGTTTCTTTAAATGTTAATAATCACTTCTAAAACTAGCCAAAGTGGTCACAACACTCGTAGAAATGACCACAAACTCTTATTACTCACAGAAATATGATTAATATCTTGTAGATTACTGACCATATTTATTAGCAAAGATTAGCTAGAGGATGGCATTTCAAAACTTTGTAGGAAAAAACAATTTTTTCTTACCAAAAATTAACATAAAACATTACGTACCTGATTCCCTTTAACTTTGATTAACTCCTTGCACCTATCGACTACATAGAAATAGGCGTCTTCATCGTAATAGGCTACATCCCCAGTGTGCAACCACCCATCGTCATCGAGAGTCTCCGCAGTAGCTTTCTCGTTATTCAAATACCCCATCATTACCTAAAAACAAAAACCGCAAACATAGAACCCCTGCAGGTTCGCGCGAATTTTTAGCTCCCTCACCTGCGGCCCTCTCACCAACAACTCCCCTGAACTGTGAGTACCCAGGTTCTCTCCGGTCTTCAAGCACACGATCCTGGCCTCGGTGTTGGGATAGGGAATGCCGATGGTGCCGATCTTGGAGGGCGGCGTCAGCTTGGGCATGATGAAGGTGACCGGCGAGCTCTCGGTCATGCCGTAACCCTGCCTGATCATCATGTCGTCGGGATTGTCGAGCTTCGCCTTGAACTTCTGCAGCACGCCCTCGGTGAGGGGCGCCGCGCCCGACTGGATGCCCTCCACGCTCTTCAGGTGCTCCTTGGTGACGGCCGGATGCGAAGCCAGGAACAGCAGCAGCGAGGGCACGACGAACAGGAACGTCGGCCTGTAGGTTTCTAAGGCTTTCACGTAGTCTTCGGGCGTGAACCTGGGCAGCGTGATCATGTGATGTCCGTCCCTGATGACGATGTTCATGATGCCGTTGAAGCCGAAGATGTGGAAGAACGGCAACACGGACAGCACCTCGTGTCGAGTACCGTCTGAATAATTCCGTTAGAAGATAGATCTTCGAAATGGGATGTAAAGTACTTACCTTTCCTTCGCTTTATCATCAGTTCTTCTCGTTCTCCTTGCACTAAATTGGCTATAAGGTTGTAATGAGACAGCATCACTCCTTTGGGTAGCCCGGTCGTACCGCTTGAGTACGGTAAAACGGCTAGTTCTTTCGGGGAAATGCCGGGCAATTCGCTCTCGTATCCGGCTGGAAAAAATCCAAACAATCTCCACTATAATTCATCTCGCGTATTTTCAATTTTACCTACCTGTTAGCAAACTCTTCAATCCGTGTATGTTCTTTTCGATGTCATCTTCGCCGCCGATGCAAACGGTGGTTCTGTATCCAGACAAACGCGGCGCAATAGTCGTTGCTATTTCTAATAGTATAGGAACTGTGATGATCATCTTGACGCCGGCGTTTTCGAATTGCCTTTTAATTTCGTCTGTAAGCAAAAAAATGCAGGATGAAAGGTGAGATGTTAGTATGCATCGTACAACCGGAGAAATGGACAAGTTAGAAGGAAATGGTCGTACCTGGTGTGTACAGAGGATTGGCGAAAGTGACCACCAGTCCGGCTTCGAGCGCCCCGTGACAAACTATAATGAATTCGGGTATGTTGGGCAGCAGCAGGCCCACCACTTCGCGGGGTTTCATGCCGCAATGGCCGAGGGCGGCCTGTGCGAACCTGTTCACCAGCATTCTGAGCATTCCGTAGGTGTACTCTCGACCCGTAGCTGCGCAAGTCTGCGAAAATATGATACATTTAAAGATTGTTCTAGTCCCAATGTGTCTTCAGTTGTATCCTCATGGATATGTCTTTTTTTCTACACTTTGTCTTCCTGTTTGGACTTCAGTTTGTTGGTAAAATAGTGGACTTACCGCTGCAGTTTCGTCCGCCCATTGTTCGGTGTCCCTGAAGACGTATTCGACGATGTTCTGGTTGGGTATGTTCTCGCACGGTCCCAACGGCGACTTGACGATGCCGCCGCCCATGTTCCTGACCAGTTTCACCGCCGCATCGGCGTTTTTCGACAGGATTCGCCGCCTCGATCTCGTCTGTTGCACGCTGAATTTCCTCCTGCCGGTCAGGGCGTTGGGCAGCAGCGACGCCGCCCCCGCTTGGTAGTTTTGGGCCATCGCCGAGAAGGCGTTTCTCACGTTGATTATGGACATTTCGATTCAGTCTTTTATCTGGAAATAGGCGATGTTTGAGAGGTTGCCAAGCGTGGGGAAATTTCGCTAGGTTCGCTGATTTTTGAAGGAAATACACTTTTTACGAAGCTTGCGAGTCACGAGAGGAAAATGAATGTATCTTGGCATTTAAAAAAAAATCATAGTAATTATTGAGCTCGTGTTTACTCTACAATTGCTGCTCGTTTACTTACTCCTCGTTTGCTAAAGTTGTACGTTTAAGTAGGAGTGAACAATCATAATAAGCTGCAGGCGTTATTGTGTATGTGTGTATTGTTAATTTATCAAAACACTTTTCCGTTTGTAAATAAGAATTGCAGCCACAATACATTGCGACATTTATCTCTACAATAGAGGAAATGAAACGGAGGCTCGCGAGTGAATTTAAACGATTTATATGTTTATGCCGCGTTCCCACTGGCGCTCGATCGCAATTCATTTAGCGTAATCCTTTTTTTATAAGGTTTCTTATTTATTATGCAAATAGAATACCTTGTATATAATATTTTGTATCGATTTAGCTACATAAAGTTCTCAAATATGAGCAAGTAATATTGATAATTTTTTCGTTTTAATACTCGCAATGCTACTGCAACTAAAAATCTAATTTAATAGTATAACTTTTGGGATAAAAAATCCTGTGATTTACACATATTCTACCTATCAAAAAATCAGTGCAGCCACTACACAATATAACGGTTAATTTCCCTGTCATCTAAAATTATACCATTGAAATACGTGCAAATAAAATACGTGAAAGCGGGAACTTGGCAATAATTTCACAAGCACTAGCCATAAAAATTAATTACTGGTTATTTAAGTTTGCGATTTCTTCCATTAATAGTACATTAGAAATTAAATGCTGTATGAATAGCATTTTGTCCTTTAACAATGTGTGAAGATTAAACTTATTTAAATTTGTAATATCAATTTAGACAGTTCGCATGAAAAATTATAAAAAATATTTTTGTTTCAAAAATTAATGAATATATTTTAAATGAAAATGTAGATTATGCGGCTGGTGTTGTTTCTTATTATAACCTTGTGCTCTTTATTGTTATCTAGACTTTTTTATTCGTTTATTAAACTTTTTAAATTACATGTAAGGCAGTATTTATCATAATGGAATACAAGTTATATTGTAAATCCTACGAGACGATATACGATAATTAAAACAGTACTAAATGTTAACGAGCATTTACAATTTTGCAATTTACGAACACCAATAAATTTATTCCGAAACGTTAAATTATTCATTTTTTAGGATAATTGCAAACGGTGAAGCGCATATTTTTTTAAATTGCAAATAAGAAAATACACTAAATAATTTCCATATCTTTATAAACTATTACATTTTTAATAAGAGATTAAAAAAATGGTAGATAAAGCGGAAAAAAACATTTTGAATAAGTACTGACTTTATTCGATGAACTTTTAACTGAATTAATTAACTCAACAATAATCAAGGTTCAAATTCTCGACTTTATTTGGTTATTTGAAAATAAACAGAATGATTAAAATGAGAGATTCGCTTGTTAGCAATAAATTATTTTTTTAATATACTCGTACAATTAAATAAAAATATTCACGAATTTGTTGAATAGACAATTATATTTTGGCAGCATTAAAAATATTAATTACCGGTATATTTTAAAAGGTGAACAAATTCAAACAATAACAAAAAGCCCGTTTGAATGGTTTTGCTATCACGAGTGACTGTTATCTCGACTTTTATTGCAAGTTGCGCAATAAATTGTTGCCAATCTTAGATTTTCTTGTTACTAATTTTCCTCCATATGTAGGATGTTCAATTGACTTAATTACAAATCCATTGTTAGCTAAAATCCAATTAATCATGCAATTTCAATGAATCCGACAGTTGGTATAGACGAAAATACATTATAATCTCGTTAAATATCTTGTTTGCTTAACGATTTTCACGCTAGAATTCATATTTTTTCGGTTTTATAATTAACTTTGTTTAAATATTCGTTCAGTACAATGCTAAGTATCAACTAATGTATATTTTTATGATAAGCAGGCTTATTACCAGTACATTAAGCAATTAAATTATTTTGTTTTTTTTATTATTGACAGGATTTTACCGTTTCGTGTTTTAATGAAGAAAATTTGTAATAGACATAAATCACAGAAGATAATGAAATGAAAGTGGTGATAAACTGAAGAATTTTTATACAGGGCGCTTCTCGAAAAATGGATCAAAGTTTAGGAATGTATATTGCACAAAATTGGGTTAATTTAAAAGATATGTAATAAATTGGCGATTAAAACCGAAAAATTGGCAATAGATTTGTCCCACAGGATATGATTCGTCTGAACCAGCCGAGGAGAGGTCATTTGCCTGATACATTCGAAACGTTTGTTTATTCTTGACATCAGTTCATTCTTATCGATTGCAATTATTTTTTTCCGATTATTAGTATAGGTAAGGAGTGTTTTATATTAGGGGTAATAATCAATAAAGGTGATTGAAGAAGTTTGTTGTAAAAACCCTATAGGTAATAATAATAATAAAATATAAGGGATAAAAGCGAAGAATGGTGTAAATAAGGGATGTTAGAGAAGAGCCCCGAAATCGGCAAATGGGCCAACAGGTTTACGGTGAACCAAAAAAACTAGTTTAACAACTTTCTGTCCATAAATTATTTAATAAATCGGTCGCCCGACCGACCGACCTACAATTTGGGGTCGATACGAATTCATTGCATAGAATTTCTCGACGGAATTATTAGAAAGTTTACTAGCACAAATCATTCGAAAACGGGTCATTACGACAAACTATTATGGTGAATTTCGAAATCTTATCGCTAGCGTACAGTATGCTAGACCTGTGAATGAATATACTATACTATAGATAGAGTATAGAGTATAGTGACCCCTTAAACGCGCCATCTACAATCCACGGTGCACACGTATGGCGAAAATAAAGCTAAAAACTCACCCCTAAAATGACAGCTGACGCAAACACACGCTCCAACACCGACACAATCCGACTTTGGATATTTTAATACGGGAGTGTTTTACGAATTTTTTTGTCAGTTTCTCGACATCAACCGGTCGCCTTTAAATTTACTATTTGTTAGAATGCGTGCTAACGAATGTGTATACATATAGATACAGCGCGCGGAGTTTAACCATAAAGTCCAAAGTCCGAATTTCTCCTCCGCCGTTTCTGGGCCGTCGGATTTTTGTAAAAATACCAACCGTTCCGACTAATATTGAGCTTTATGTCGACGCACTGTATGGACCATAATGCGCACAACTCCGTCGTTCTATCACTCGTATCTCGCCGTATTTATTTATAGAACGGGGCAGTTGGTTGATATTACGTAGAAAACACACCTCCTTTTGTGCAGGTAATGGCATAAGCTTCGGCTGTACTTGTGTACCTACTTCTACTGTCGAATTCGCCGTTCAACGCCACTAGAGTCTGTTAGTTGGTAAGGGATGCCCTGCTGGGGTGGCCAACGCGTCCGAAAGAAACGGAACATTTAAGGGATGTTTGCCGTCGGTTCTATGTTGTGGTGTTTGGGGGTGTTTTGCGATCGAGCAGCGCAGTGGGACATTGTGTAGATTTGCATTCTCGAGACTCCTGCTAATGTCTTATTATTATATTAAGGGGAGTTTTCCGCTCGTAATTAACGCATTAAAACCTACTAATTTTATTTTCCTTAATAATTTACCAGGAAAAAGTTGATACCTTATCAGCGACAAAATGTTGTTAGCTCACTAAACACACAACAGATAAACAAAATTCTACATATTTGTAACGATTTGTTGCATATATTTATTGTCATTGTAATAAATAAAAATATTTATACTGATAATATGAAAACACCTTATACCTACATACGTATATTAGTTGGAGTTTAGGCGTGGGCTGATATAAAAATACCTGTTTCTATTAAAATAACCATCACATTAGAATAGATGAAAATATTTTGGTTAAACGTTTTGAATTTTATAAGGTCAGGCACGTCTTAATAAATTTTTTTAACCACTGGTTATTATTTAAATAATTTATATACAGGGTATTATAATTAAAAATCATGATTCATTGTCTCATTTCACCTGCATAAAAATTAATCTTTCAAGTACATCATTAAATATAAGCGTTTGATTTATATCTATTATTATTGATAATATAGTATAAACATAAAAGAGTTACTTTATATTTCTTAAAGTCAATGAAATAAATGGACGGTTTTTCCCTTTTAATCCGCATCTAATTCGAGTCCTTTCATGTATTCTCGGGAATCTGTAGTTAATCGAATTATTTTTATAAAGTTAATCCAACTAAATATAATTTATAACAAACATGTTTAGTGATATCCTTATCGTCTGTGTTTTCAACGCGAAGTACGAAAATACATTAGGTACAAAGGTCAAAGGTCTTTACGAATTTTTTTAATTTATTCTCGTTTGAATTTTTTTAAATTCCATTATTTAACATTTCATCGAACGAATTACTTAAAGTTCAATGTAGGTACACATATAGAAAAACATTTATGCTAAAATCTAATGATACTTCTTCTTAGTCTTTAATTCGGTTCAGTTCATATTTTCCTTTGGTTTTATCGCAGATTTTTATCAAAAACTCGCAAGTCAACTTGTATTTCAGGTTCTTTTCTATGAGGTAGTCAAATATTTTCTGAAATTAACCAAATAAATCTAATATTACACTTCAATAATTGCTTAAGGATTTCAAAAATCAAAGTTAACAAAGTAAAGTAATAAAAGGAAGAGATATCTTGATATTTTTATACAATATCATGCATTAACTATTCAGAAAACCATTTAATGAACTGTTATTCTAAAGGAAATACATATGTAAATCGATGAATTAATAAATAATAATAGCAAATTTCAATACGTACAAAAGCAAATATACTTCCTAAACCGGTTCCTTGGTACCTTTTAGGAATGAATGTGTGAATTAAATCGTAGGTATTCGGATTAATTTTATTATAAATTAGAGTAGCATGGGATTTGTTCAAAGCTACTCGAAACATTTTTTTAGCTGCCACATCTTCGACTGGATTTTTTATTAACATCGTTTTAATTACATTGATATTACTCACTCGGTTCATTGTAATAATATAATATTCAGTTTAACATCGTCAATTCTAAAATATTTGTTTTTAAAATTGTAACCTCTATTTGGGTTTTGTTTTGACTTTTGTTTTGACGTTGACACTGTTGATAGTTAATGACTTCTACTAATCGGCTATGCAGGGCACGGCTAATTTAATCTGTTGAACTGGCAACACTGTGGAAACCTCCTCTCTATTTAGTCGATCGGTTTATAAAACAGAAAACTGTAATGTGTCATGTCAATTGTCATTGTAAAGACGCGCAGTTTGTATTTGAGGTTTTAGATGGCAACAGTAGGTTGTGAAAAATTTGTTTATTTCAATCATCTTTTTAAATTTAAATCCAAGAAAATTCTTTTTAAACTAGTGATAATTGTGGGTTTTTGTTGGTTTGAATTTGTTGAAGCACAATGTATCACTACCAATAACTCTTAAGTGTTATTTATACGCAGAACTTGTGATCAAATTCTTCGAAAATTGCACAGGTATGTTGATAATTTTTTATCTTATAATTTTCTAATGTTTATAGTAAATTAATTTTGCACGAAATATCAAAGTATTCACAAAAGCAGTTACCTATTCTGCATATTCTGCAAGCTTTTGATTAATTAAGGAATTAATCATTAGTAGAGAATTGCCTAATTTGATTTAACTGCTTACAACTTTATTCACAAACTCTATCTCCCTTATAATTATTATTAAGGGCTGTTTATAGAAGCATAATTTTAATCTTATGTAAATATACAACAGTACTTATTTGTATTGTATTCACCATAAACTATTTTGAAATATTTGTAATTTTCCCTACATTACACAACTGTAAACAAGTAGACAACTGGAGTAGACAGATTACATTGTAGAGAGGGTGAATCCCATAACCCTAACTTACCTAATGCGAATTGTCAATGAATCTAATACCCCAGTCAAGCGCGTTTGCTCTTGTTAACAACTCCAAAAGAAACTCTTTGATGTGGGACAATCGAGCCCTTAAGTGAGCATATCGAAACGCATAAAGAGCGAGTGCCCATTATTGTGGGAGGAAGGTGGAAACTAAAGAAACCGCGGCCGAAGAGTAGGCGTGGCGTTAGGCAATAATTCAAAGTTCAATTATACCGCAGAACATGTTAGGACTGAGAATAAAGTGATTTTCAGTGGCGTGTCACTTCCATCACTTCCATAAAACCCTATCCTAAATTCTGGTATTTTGTTTTACAATTGTTTGGTCGAGTACTTAACTTTAATATAAAGGCTTTATATCACTATCAGAAACGTGAATTTTAATAAACAGCACAGATATTGGTGTGCCTCTACCTCTAGTAGAAACAATGACCTCATATTTAGGTAGGTTTTTACAGGGTTGCAAAGACTACTAACTACTTCAACTAAAAACAGTAATCAGAAAACTAAAAGAATACTGACAGGGAATTTGTATTGCCCAAAATAATAAGGTAGACTGGGGCAAATCGGTTGTAAAATTTGAATAGTTCAAATTAAATCTAAAATGTGGCTTTATTTTTTCTCTTATTAGAAATGCTGATGCCACATTAAATTCACAACTTCCTAAACTAAAGAATCGAGGTATTAAAAAGTTTTTTTGAAAAAGGAAGAAAACGATTTTACATATTTTTTAAAATGTTTCATATTTGGTTCCTCTAAAATTTGATATTGTGTTTATTTATTTACTTCAAAAAATAACAGAGCTACAAAATAATAAAGAAAAAATAAGAAACAAACCCTGTCTAATGCACAAAAGAACTATAAAAATAATAAAAAACATTAACGTAATAGGTAAAAATATTACATTTACCCCATTTTTACATTTGTCCCAGTCTACCTTATGGCAAAAAAATGTAATCAAATAAATATAGAAAAACAACCGTATATATGAAGTTATTTTTACATAATTTTGATGAGTAACGCGTTCGAATATCACATCATTTTAATTAAAACCTCTATTTTTCAATGCGTCTGTTAACCTTCGTGATTATACGCAGACTCGTAGGTGTGGCTAAGTATTTATAAATTAACAATTATTCCGAGCGTTTGTAATTAACAATGCACAATTTTTTCCAGTCGATCCGATAGCTCCGCAGACGTCGATAATAAATTAAATAACTGATCGTAATCTGGGCATTTTCCTCACGCTTTTTGTATTCTATTACCGTCGATATTGGTTAGATATAGTTGTGCGAGTTTGGTTTCTCATATCGATAAATATCGAATTAAGTATTTTATTTCGTTATTAAACGGTTTAATCTCGAATCGGAGATCTCGTTGTTTCTTCGATCGAATACTAAATAAAAATATCCGGGTTTTACAGTTAGATATATTAGACAGAGACGATTTAATTAATGGAGTGTATTCGGCGAATCGATAGACATTATATGGTATTGGATTTATAAAGATGAAATTTTTGAACAGTAAGTATAGGAAAATAAAACACGAATAACAATAGTTATAATTGTTGTTTGAAAAATATTATTGTCTCATCTAAATAAATAATTAAAATCAATGTATTCCAAATACTTATCTGCTAGGGAATTAGTATAATTTAACCTATACTCATGTAAATCAAACTGGTTGAGGTCCAAAACAACTAAAACATCTTGTTATACATTTTTTCTTCATCCACTCCCGCAGGCATCCTAATAAAATTGAGACATTAATTAATATCGATTCTAGTACCTACATTTTTTTTCCTGTCTTCTTTCGAACCCAACATTTGTTTTATTGCACATTAGCATTAAAAATAATTAACGCGTCGATCTATTAACATAATAAACGAATAATTTAACGAGCCGATCACCAATAGCAGCAGGAATATTTAATGACAAATCGAACATTACTATTACAGAATCTAATCATTAGCACTTTCCGATGGGTTTACGGGTTTGATTTATCGCCCGAACCGAACACGGCACGGAACGTATTATTAATTTATGCCGACGATTTTACTATTTGTTAGTTAATTTATATTGTAGAAGAGCTAGTTTCTGCAAATTGATTAGTCGCCAATTGGACGCGTCAATTTAGAGCTCAATACAAACAGCTTCATGAGCCTCAATGAGTCGGTATAATTTAATTTTTTTCTTCCAAAAAGCTTTGATTAAGCTTAATAAGTTACAGGTAATAGCTCGAGTTTTGGAAGTAAAAGTAGAGTACTTTGTTGTGGTACTCTCAGGATTGAAAAATAATTTTCGTCGGTTCTCACAGGTATCTACAGTATGGCGTATTTGTAACTGTCGCATGGTAGTTTAAGCGACCGAGGAACTTATAATTTAAAATGTTAATGCTGAAAAGGAACTTGTTAAGAATTTTCTCGGCGCATTATGATGTAGCCGTATAGAAGCGGGTAGAGAGCTAAAGGCTTCGGAAAGATTAAGTTATTATATTATATTATTAGACGCTATGACAGTTTAATGTACTGTGAAATATGAGTGAAATATATCCACTATTTGATTGCCTTTAATATTCGGTGAACACGGTTATCACCTAAGGATATGGTATAGTCGGTTCCCTTGTTGTTCAGATTTAACACTATTTTAAAAAAATTGGAAATACTATCTGTCTGAATTTTCCTGTAATGTGGTTCCCAAAATGTATTATTCACGTTCTGTACACGTACAATTTTTATATTATTCCATTTTTTTGTTCATTTAATAATAATTAGAGAAGATATAGATACTCAAAATAGTTGGTAACTGATTAAGATTGGCTTATTTAAAATTGTCAGATTTACTACTTTTCCCATTTTTTTACTTTAAATTTAACTACACACAAAACACAATATTTTTTCTGTAATTTTCGAAATTTGCTTCTAACCTGCGGGGACCCTTACTATACCATAAGAATAAGCCATAAGTCCATTGAGATATGCAACACAACATGGAAAAATAATAATTCACGACGTTCGTTCCTCTTATTAAAGAAAAGGTGTTTTTGTAATTGAAATATCTGTCTATGGAGGATGAAATATACGCTGGGATTTAATTATCGCGACGGGTCCGAAAAGGCCGGGCCGACGATTTTATAGTCGAAAGGGAATTAAATAGAGACGTATAGAAAAGAGGGTTGAAAAACTTTCGAAACCGTGGCTAATCTACCTGAAAATTAAATTCGTTCTCCTTTTTTTTGCTTTCTAATAAGAATAAGATTCAGGAGGGGACAATTAACTATTTATTTTTTCATTCTGTTATTTAGGCAATCAGTCAGTGACAGTTGCAGTTGATTTTTCATGATTTTAAATGGATTTCTAATGATTTTTGGGGAGCAGTTTTTACGAATTTATGTCGTTTATAGTAAAGATAACTATTTTATATGTATAGAATTTAAAAATGTATAAATAAGACAATTCCCTTGCATCAGATTCTGTGATTTTTTTCTTGCGAATCAAGCTGGAAGATACTTCACAGGGTGACTAAATACTCCTGCGACTTTAGAGTTTATAAAGTAAATCGCCATTGATTTTATAATGTTTTTATTTGTTAGAAATAGTTTCGACATTGTGGTGTATAATAGGTGATAGGTCGTTCGGCTGGGGTGCTATTAGGAATTGGTATGGCAGCATTCAGATAAACCGTCGAAATTAAAACTATAAGAGAGAAAGATGCGAAAGCGATAAAAAGGATAAAAAGCCAAAGGCCTCTTTGGCATACACACACACCGCGAACAGATCATATCTGAGACACGATTTTGTTCAGCCTCAACTCTCGCCTTTATACAAAACCTATATTTACCGACACTTTGGTGTGAAACAGAAAAATTAAGCGTTTGCTTTAATCGTTTTCACTTATCTATTAAACGGTTAATCAACTGTTTAATATTTAATAACGAATGTATCATTAAAATGTTATTGGCTTTTAATTGGGAGGTGGTTTTCGAATATATTTTATAATTATTGGAGATTAATGGGATATGGGATGCGGTTTTTCGTTTCTTTTTTTTTTCATTATTCATTTTTTTCTATACTCTCTTATATCGTGAATATTCCCAGTAAATTACAGATGGCCTTCGAGCATTTTTTTTATTTAAATACCTGCATTCTTTAACCCGACGAACTTTATATTTCGTTACATTTTTTTTTATAAATTAGGTACTTCGTGCA